GCCATATACGTAGTAGAACAATTCTTTTATTTTATATTCTTTATTCGCATGTCATTTTTCAAATATCAAACAAAATAAAACATCATACCATACCCAAAAGCTGAAATAATAATAAAAAGACATATAACATTTGTTAATGAAATTTTTACATTATGCATTTGAAATTTAAATGTCAAATTGACCAAGGAAAAATGAAGAAATTCAAAGACATTTAAAACTAATACTTTCAACCCTATTTTTTACTCTCACTTGCAAAAGAATTATATAAAATTAATCATTAGTGAATAGTGACTTGTTAAAAAATATCATAAATGACAATGTTTTCTCTTAACTTTATTTATAATCATAACAAAACATAAACTATTGGGAATTATATTCTTTGAAACTTTAAGGATAATCTTGTATGAAATGGTACATAATTTATTTAATTTAGGTCATTTAAATGTTCTCTACGCCTTTGTTTCCTAATACTACAATTATGCCAAAGATAATTTTTCGTAACTCTTTTATGATTAAACTTATGCTACTATACAATTCAGATGATTGAACAATGTTTCTCAATTGCATAATGAGTACAATTAACTTTCTTCAAATTAAAATTAATTTGTGGTTCAGATTCACGAACTGTTCTACAATCACCATTATTGATGGACAAAATATATGATTCTCCCCATATTAGTTGAGGTTATCAAATAAACTGATTCATCATCCAACATTAAATAAATATAATCAAACTAACTTTATTTAAAAAGTATCAAAAAGAAATACAAAGTATAAAATTTATTTATGGGTGAAGAGATTTTTTATAATTAAAATTTTTTTCTATTTTAGTCCAGTCATATATTACATTTTAAATTTTGTAATGTAGTTATTAAAATTGTATTGTTTGTTTTTTAGTTGTAATGTAGTTATTAACATATAATAAACAAATACTCGTATGAAAAGTATCTAAATGTGAAAAATCATCTTATTTATTAATTAAATATTTTTTTATAAATGAAGAGAGTAAAAAATATTGCATTGAAATTACCTATAATACATTGTCCTATTATAACAAAATTATAGTATAGACGTCTTTTCTTTTATAAATATTGTTATATAATTTTTAAAATATATTGTTTGTCTTAAATTTTCACATCAATATTACAATAATTAGAATCAAAACTAACTTTTATTAGATTAATTAGAACAAAAACTAAGTTAATTATAACATATAACAAAAAAACCAAGTGACATTGATTTAGAGAGATTGATTTTTTGGGGAATTGAAAGTTTTATTATAAATGAAGATAATTAAAATCATTAAGTTATGAAATAATATTATCTTAAAGTTATTTTATTTATTAGTTAAAAGATATTTTTTATAAATGAAAAGAGTAAAACATATTATATTGAAATTGAAAGAAAATTATCATAAAAATTAATATCTCTTTTCTATAATTAGGCTTATTCAAAGTTTTCATACCAAAACATTGAATTTGCATTATATATATCTTTACTTAGGAGAGACATTAGGTGTCAATGTCCGCTTTTGACTTTTTTCGGTCAAAATTGATAAATTTTGACTTCAAATTAAATAAAAATGATATTAAATATTGGTACAAGAGTACTTTTATTCGATTTATTATATCAAACATTTTCAAAATATTATTTTATTTATATAATATATAATGTATATTTTATTTAATTATATGTCAAAGGTTGAAAATGATTGCCTGAAAATAACCAAAACTAGACAAATACTCAGAGACGGATGTAGTATAAAATTTATTCATAGGTGAAGAAAACATTTTATTTCATAGGTGTTAATATTTATAGAAATAGAATGAAACTGATATAATGTAAATGAATAATGAACAAATATATAGTTTCTTTATAGGTGAGGAGTGTATTTATTTATTATTATAAATATTTTTTGTATATTTTATGATTTATTGAATCCGAGACAGGTATTAAAAATATTTTTATGTAGCGTTGTGAAAATATAATATTCTATCAAAAAAATACATTCTAGGGAAAATGATTTTAATTCTAAATTTGGAGTTATGAGTTCAAAATAAGTAATTGTCATTCTCGAAAAAAGAGTAAAAAAAGTAAAATAATTAAAGATGTCACATGTGAAATTCTTAATACGGACCTGGACCACCTATTTATTAACTGTCCAGTTACTAAGGCCCTCATTAGTAAAGTCTCAAGGTGGCTGAGATATAACTTTGAGGGTGAGGGAGTGAAAGAAATAAGAAGTAACTGGTCAGAAAAAAAGGCAATAAGTGATATTAGTGTATATGTAGCAGTTTGTTACACCACAAGAAGAATAGATCTTCAATTGGGTCCTTTACCATATTAATACTTATTGGGGAAGGAGGAAGAAGATGATGACTACATAGCTAGTGATTTGATCTAGTTAGAAGCTTGAATTGTTCTTGGCTTTGGCTTGAATGGTGTAAGACACTTTTGGTGATGAGTGAAAATGTGCATTTATACGCCACATATGCATTAAATTCTTAAATTTATATATAAAGAATTTTGATGTCAAAAGCGGTGTCACAAATGATATTACCTTATTATTGTATTGGGGAAATATTATTTCTTTGAACATTAGACATTTTTTTAAAAAAAATTAGTATCACACCCGTGCGTTGCACGGGTCATTTTATGTTATTAAATTCAAATTATTTTTCAATGATAAAAAATGAGATGCAATAGAATATAGAGATTATAATATTTTAAGGTTCAAAATATCACTGTTTTACAAATTTTGAAAGACTTTTTTATAAGCTACATTATTAGTACAATTTGTTGGAATATTGTCTTCATTGCATATCACAATCTTCAACCTACTATGATTAGTTACTCTTAAAACTGCAACATAGAGTTGTCCATGACTAAAACATGTTGGATTATTGTTACGGAAACTTGTGATAAACCCTAACTATTCATAGCTTCATCATTAACATTGATGATCTCTCATCAACATTTTTCAAAGCAGTTAAGATCTTCATTTTCATAGGAATGACAATTTTGAAACGTAGAGAAAAAAATTCACGATGAATGTAGTGGCTACGAAAGATTTGTAAACAGATGTATTTATAATATGTTTTTTGCATACAGGGTTTAAAAAATTTATTCATTTTTCAAAGTGCTATACTGAATTTAAATTAATATTACTATATTTAAATTATTTAATTTATTATATTTATAATTACTATAATTAAAATGACCCGGTAATTAATACGGAGTATACAATTATTTAATACCTTGATTAATTATTACTTTTTTGATTAAAGTTACTATAATGAAAATATAGTAAAATTTAGCCATTATAAAATTACTATTATAAAATTATTATAATTAAAATTACTATAATTAATTTGACACGGTAATTAATATACAATTATGTAGTCACACGGTTATATAACCTTTCTTGGTTATTATCTTTCTCGTAGACTCGATCACGGGCCCGGGTATCCGGCCCGCCCGCAAAAGCCCGCCTGCAAAATAGAGGGCTTGGGCTTGACATTTTAGGGTACGGTCCGGGCTTGGGCCTTATAAATGGTGACCCGAATATTTTAGGGCCGGGCTCAGGTTTATGCTCAAGCCCACGGGACGGCCCGACCCGAATAAATTAAATATTTATTATTAATATAATTATAATAAAATAACAATAACCGCATTAATAATAATAATAATAATAATAATAATAATAAAGAATAAACCTATTTCAAATTATTATAAACACACACATATACTTCTATGGAGAGAAAAAAATAAACTATAGGTATATATAATAAAATGAATACATCTTTATTACTCCGTATTGTTTGCAACGTATCACACATTGATTATGACATTCTAATAGATAATATTTTGTACTCCATACTTAGTAACAATATCAAACAAAATATATTTATATATCAATTTTTCTTTCATTTACTCATAATAGTTTTTATATCAAATATCTAATATATTAACTTGTTACTTTTTTTAAAAAAAGTTATTTTTTAAATTATTTAGAAGTTTTTGTCGGCCGGCCCGGCCCGAAGCCCGCGGGTAATCACGCGGGCCGGGCTTGGGCCTAGAAAATTTTCGTAAAGTAGTGTCTCGGCCCGGCCCGGCCCGCACTTTGATCAGGTCTACTTTCTCGCTATTAAACGTAAATATATATATTTAAAGGATATTTAATTCTTACAGTAGTTATAGTCTATTTTATATTACTATAATTTTGGGCACTTTAATTTCTTACCATCTTTAAATACTTAACAATTACTATTACTATATGTAAATTATTTAAATTATTATATTTAAAATTACTATAATTAAAATTACTATAATTAAAATGACACAGTAATTAATACGGAGTATACTATTATGTAGTCACACGGTTATATAATTAATGCCTTGATTAATTATTACCTTTTTTGATTAAAATTACTATAATTAAAATATAGTAAAATATAGCCACTATAATTAAAATATAGCCATTAGAAAATTACTATAATTAATTTTAAACGGTAATTAATATTTAAATACTATAATTAATTTGACACGGTAATTACACATATTACTATAATTAATTTTATACGGTAATTAACATTTAATTACTATAATGAATTTGACACGGTAATCACACGCAATATACAATTTTAATTAAAATTACTATAATTAAAATCACACGTAAGATTCTAATTTTAATAAAAACTTACGCTTTCCAATTTTATAACTTACCTTTCTTGCTAGTATAATTTTGGACACTTTAAAAATGACAGTTAATTAGCATAAAAAAATAAATATATTAACTTCACAATTACCATTTTATATTACTATAATTTTGGGCACTTACCATTTTAACTTCACAATTGCCATATGTAATAGGCATACTCTTTGGGCGGGAAAACGTAATATTAACTTCATGTCTTTTTAAATAAAGTATGGATAAAAACAGGCTTTTTAATCGCACATATCCAAGAGTAAAAGATGTAAGATCAGCCCATTAGTGAAAGCCTAGTCCAAACCCTAGTCCACCGACTCATATATAAAATCAAACAAAAATCTCCAGACTCAATTTCGAACTTCCGGAGAAGCTTCGCAGAGGTTTTCATCTCCCAGCAAAAATGGTACTTCTGCAATTTTCTTTCTCTCTCTCTCTCTCTCTCGTCTGCACGATTCTTCCTGGATCTGCCCCATATTGATCCAAAGTTTGGATTTTTTTTTCCGTATATATTTTGACAGGGAAAAGGTACCGGAAGTTTCGGTAAGCGGAGGAACAAGACGCACACGCTGTGCGTGAGGTGTGGCCGCCGCAGCTTCCACCTCCAGAAGAGCCGGTGCTCCGCCTGTGCCTATCCCGCCGCTCGCATCAGAAAATGTACGTTCGATCAATCCACTTGTTTGTTTGTGTGATATTATTGGAGTTTCTATGATCGATTTCGTCTGTTCTCATCATATCTATCATCAAATACTTTTATTAGTTTTTTCTTTGGTTTGCCGGCGATTGAATTTGAATCATTTGGGAAGATAGAAGTGGAAGAGATCTGACATTTCAACTAATTAGGAATGCTAATTACATTTGGGACCATTTACAAAAAAAAATTAATTTTGCAGGGATGACTTAAAAAGTTATGGGGAATCAAAAGCAAAAGTTGCCTATTTTAAAGGGAGCAAAAACATATTAAATCCTACATATAGAGAGGCTATTTTGTTGACCACCTAAAACTTCACTGGAAGTAAGAAGCAAGGAGTGAATGAAGTTTGATGTGTCATTTTAATTTGGTTCATTATGCGACTCAAACTAAAATATTTTCAATAATGAATAAATGATTTGCCTCCATTTGTGATGGAAAGTAACCAAGGCTATAATAAGACTTCTTGAGTGAAAAAGAAGCATTAGTTTTGTGCTAACCCCTTGGTAAACCACCAAGCCTGCATCGGACCCAGCCGCACCTTGGTTGACTTTGGATTACATTTGAATGAAGTATAGGTTGGTTGAAGTAATGTAAGTGTTAAGGAGCATTGTTTTAATTTTAGGAGATTAAGTGATGGTTGGAAAGTTTAAGTTCAAACCTTCCCAACATTTCAACCCTTCATATCTTAGTACTCTAAAATGGGATGTTACTCAAACGTTACATCTTATTTAATAGAGAAATTTTGAATAATTCCATTATACTTCCTCCGTCCACAAATAAACTTTACTTTGCCTGTTACGATGTTTGATTGAAGTTATTGTCAAATCATTTTATATGAAAAATGGTGTAGAATTGAAAAATAAAAATTACATATTAAAAAACTATATCAAAAGATCTACAAAACTAGAGGTGACATGACTATATTATTTTATCAAATGGGTGACAAAATAGGCCAACAAAGTGAATAAAGTTTGACACTGTGAATAGTGAATAGTGAACGTAAAGTTTATTTGTGGACGGAGGGAGTATAATCTTATTAAGCCCTTCTGAATTTAATTTTCATGATATCGCTGCTATGAGTAAATGGTTTGTTAATTTCATTGTTTACACAATTAAGGTAAAATTGCCCTATCTCCCTTACCATGCTTCCATTTCATAACACTCATTACTAACACTACATCTCAATCCAAAAAGCTATAAGGCAGACACTACCCAATGAGTTAGTACTTCTTCACTGTTGATATCATAAAAGGTTCCTACACTGTTTTGATCATTGTGTAATAGTGATTTTTTTCTATGGAATCGTGTCACTAAAATACCTGTGTTTTCCTAAATAACCAGAGTTATGGGGATTTATGATGCCTCTGCTCGCACTTGTTTTTCTAAAGACATTATTTTCTTCTTTATCTTTGTGCTAAGCTTCACTTCACCTGGCTTTTTATAGCCTTCAAACAGCCCTTCACACGTTCAACTGCCCCCGGACTTTCCCCATCTCATTTTTATTGTAAGGATAAAAATTGGGGAGCTCTCTGAACCCAGCCGTCGAGAGCCTTACAAAACTTACCACCCTATGTAAAGTATTGAATCACCTTTAGGAGGGATGGGCATACAACAACCCTGTTCAATCCCAACTCCATTGGCAGTCAAGATGCCCGCAACCTCACAGAGTTTTATTTGTTAATTTTGCATTGTTATTTTGATCAGCATGTCTAGAGATGTAACCCTCCCCCCCCCTAAAAAAAGATAAAATTTTTAAAAAAATTTGTATGTTTTGTTATTTGTTTAGATAACTGGAGTGTCAAGGCAATAAGGAGAAAGACTACTGGAACTGGCCGAATGAGGTATCTTCGCCATGTTCCCCGCAGATTCAAGACCAACTTCAGAGAAGGTAAATAGCCAATCTTTGCTATTGTTTTTTGGTATCTGAACTCTTTGTGATGAATTTATCATAAATTTTTACCTTTAACATTGTGTGCTTATTAGGTACTGCTGCTACTCCGAGGAATAAGGGAGCGGCTGCATCGTCGTAAATTTCGTTTATGCAGTTTTAGCAGACTCTTTTTCCTTCCGAATTTGCCCTAATTTTATATGCAAACATGTGTGGTTCTGCTTGTAGCAGAGTATGCTTTTGTTTATCGGGAGTAAATTATTTTCAACCATATTATATACTCTTTCTTATTCAGTTAATAGATGTTCTGATTTTGGTGAAAGGGTGAACCACATGAAAAGAGGTTTTGATCATGCCAACTGCATTTCAATTAAAATACCAACCTTTTGTGTTTTCATTTGGCAAGTTATTTTTTCGCGAGCCCAAAATGTCCCGAAAACGATCGGTGCATTTTGGGGGCAACACTCCTCAAGTCTCTATGACGTCTAAATCCGGGATCTTGGGGGGTGGGGTGGAGTGTTTGGAGAAGGGGTATAAGGGAATAAAAACTATGGAGTATCTATTTTATTAACGCAGCACCATATGTGACTCGATCATTTCAAGGTTAAAATACTCCGGGTCAAAACAAATGTGGTGATCTTCTTTACAATTTGTTTGAAGTTTCAAGTTACGTGGATTTAGTACAAAGACTTCATTTCACAAAAATGATGAATGAACAAGAAAAAAAATCAAATCATTTAGGGTCCGTTTGGTATACGGAATTGATAGAATTGGAATTGAATTGGAATTAAAATTCTATGGGATTCAATTCTATATAATTGAATTCACCAATTCCTATTCATTTTTTGTACTACCAATTTCAAATCCATACAATTTTTGTGTTACCAAACACAAGAATTGGAATTAAAGTTCTCAATTTTAATTTCATAGTTTGAATTTCGTGTACCAAACGGGGCCTTATACACCAAAAACTGGAATGTAGTTTAGTTTCAAAGGGACGAATAGATTAAATTTTACTCTATTAAAATAAATGCAAGGTGTTTTTTGTTTTAACGTGAAAAATTATTTTACATTTATTTACAAATGTTAAGAGTTTTTTTACGAATTTACGGAGTATTTTTTACTTTTTGCAATAATTAACTTGTAAATATTGCTACTCCCGAACTCGATACAACCCCTCTCAAACTTGATATTGACCAAAAAATAAATGGACTCGTTTAAGAACAATATTTTAATAAGTGTTAGTTTTTTGAGTTTTTTTTAGTAATTCAAATTGACTTTAAAAGTATTAAAATTGAACGATGTCGTAAGATAATCTTTTCAAAACACTGAAACTCTTACGAAACATGCGTGAGGTCATAGCTTGAAATCAATCAACACGCCATTATCTAAAAAATAACTATTCCGCATGCAAAATCACTTTCTTAATAATCACGCATCAGAATTTTTTTTTTAATTTCAAGACAAATGGAGTAAAAATAATTAGAAAAAAAAGGGCAGGGAAAAGAGGCAGGAAAAGAGGATTCCAAATATAAAATAAGAAAATGATACTCTCTCCGTCCCAAATTATAATGCATGTTTACTATTCACAGGGTCAAACTTCATTCACTTTCTTTCTCTATTTTCGTTAGCAATTTGATAAAATAAAATATTATTATCACTACTAGTTTTGTAGATCTTTTGATGTAGTTTTTTAATATGTAATTTTTATTTTTTAATTCTATATCATTTGTCATATAAAATGGTTTAAAAATAATTTCAGTCAAACATCGTAAACCAAAACAGGCGTTATAAAATGGGACGGAGGTAGAAAATGAGAAGATTAACCCAAATACTATCTTCATTCCATATTAACTGACTATTATAACTTTTTAGATACATTAAAAAATAAATGAATATAGACATAAAATATGTGTACGTTTATTCAATTTTAATGTATCTAAAACGAAAAATAGACAGTTAATACGAAATGAAGAGAGTACACGAAGAATTAATACTAGCAATCTTCATGTTGTTTATTATTCCCATCTTTGTGCTTCTTGTTGGTGGTTATATGCTTAACCTTATCAATCTTGTGTTTGATCTTCTCACTTAGGCATCCTCCTTTCTTATCTCCTCCTCCTCCGCCGTGCCCGTCGTCGTCCGGCGGCGGCTTGTGCCGCCCGTGGATGTGGTGGAGCTTCTCCTCCAGCTTATGAATGATGTTCGACATCCCTGTGCCGGCGGTGAAAAAAATGGTCACCGGAGAGAGGCTGGTCTTTTTTGCCGGCGGGACGTTTGTTGTTTATATATATATATATTTTAAAATCGGTTTGTTGTGCTATGGCTGTCTTGTGTTGGTTAACCAAAGCCATCCAATCTCCTTAGATCTCTCTGCTACATGGCGCAAAACATGGAAGTTTTTTTTTTTTTAAAAAAAATTACTCCACAAATTAGAGTTTTTTTTAATGTTATACAAATTCGTCTAGAAATTTGAGATCAAAACTGTATATGTCCCTACCAAACTGGTGTCTCTGTTTTACATCAATTGGAGTTAGGAAAATGCTTGGAGTTATCTCAAATCAAAATATAAGGAGAAAGACCAAAGTAGGACTAAAACATTGAAAATAAATCAAAATAGGATTTCCATATTTTTATTTTCGAAATAGAACTTACATTACCAAACATGGTCATATACATTACCAAAAAAATAGAGTAATTTGCACATGTACACTGCCACACTACCACAATGCAAAGACACATTACCACAGTGCAAAGTCTTATACCGAAAAAAAAAACATGAAAGTCCTATTTTGATACTTTTCTCTATGTTTTAGTCCTATTTAGGATGGTTTCTACAAAATATACTCATCTTTAAAACAATTCTCTAATGCTCCCTCCATCCCAATTTAAATCACTTTTTATGATTTACGATGTTTGATTGAAGTTATTTTCAAATCATTTTATATGAAAAATGATGCAGAATTTTAAAATAAAAATTACCCGGAGTAACAACAACAACAACCCAGTTAAATCCCACAAGAGTAGGGTCTGGGGAGGGTGTGTGTACGCAGACCTTACCCCTACTCGAAAGTAGAGAGGCTGTTTCCAAAGAGACCCCCGGCTCAACGTCGAAAGTTGCATTGCTTGACTAACTGCTACTTCATTAATTAAAGAAGCGCAGACAGTTTAGAGATCCATTTTGATTTATTCCATCACACCCCAAAGCCAAAAAATGATGAAATTTTGGCTCCATCGGAGATGATGGAAAAAAAATTACCCGGAGTACATGTTTAAAAACTAAATCAAAAGATTTATAAAGCTAGTGACGACTATATTATTTTTTTTTATCAAATACTACCTCCGTCCCATTTTATAACGCCTATTTCGGTTTACGATGTTTGACTGAAATTATTTTCAAACCATTTTATATGACAAATGGTATAGAATTAAAAAATAAAAATTACATATTAAAAAACTACATTAAAAGATCTACAAAACTAATAGTGACAATAATATTTTATTTTATCAAATTGCTAACAAAAATAGAGAAAGAAAGTGAGTAAAATTTGACCATGTGAATAGTAAACAGACATTATAATTTGGGACGGAGGGAGTAACTAATAAAAATAAGGAAAGAAAGTAAATAAAATTTGATCATGTATATAGTAAACAAACAATTTAATTTGACACAGAAATAATATCATACTCCGTACTTTGTAAGACTTTAAGATTGTATATTAATCACAGACTCCAAAAATTAGAGGATCCATTTAACTAAATTTTTTCTTAGAGCACTATTTTGACAATATTAAATTTCTAAGAATATCGGTGATAATTACGGATTATGTAATCTAAAAATATTCATGTAAGATCTCAACAAGTAGGTCTGGAGAAGATATATGTACGCAAATATATCCCCTACTTGATCGTAAAGATATTGTTTCCAAGAGACACCATTCGAATACAACCGCATTATAAATGATACTCCAATTCATACGCGCTTCGTATAATTTCAATATATAAACAAATTCCAACGACACATTTTTCATTTTCAACCATTTCCACTCTTATTTCAGGGTGCAAAAACACCACATACACAGCATAAACATGCTACATGCTGGTGGTAGATGTCAACAATGGCCCTAAACCAAACTGCGCCCTAGTTTCTGAGCAACCAAACGCCGGGTTTAACACGCTATCCAAAACCTCGATCAATGCTTGAGCCAGTAGTTGCGTAGTTGAGATATGTGTAACAATATCTCATCGCGTCCTTGGTTCGTGACGCTGCTTGTCATAATCCAAGGTGGAGCAGTTTGGAAGAAGTTTTGAATCAGCTCTTGAAAATCTTTGACGTTCTCTTCGGGTCTTTTCCCACCATTCTTATTCTTCTTCCTCTTATCACATTTGGTAAAAATTAATGTCATCGGAATCTGCAAACACAAAAATAAAAACGGTTTTCTGTGCATCCACCATTCACTTCTGAGAGAGGTAGAAAGAACAAAAGAATGTGTAGCCACACAAAGAAAGAATTCGTAGCAGAACACAAGAAAGAATTGTTTTTTTCGTTGGCAGTTTAAATATGAATAGTTTTATTTTATTATACAATACTTGTAATCAAAGTTTTAAAATCATAAAACCAAAAAATGAAAGCTGGAAACCACCCGATCGAGAGAACCGGGCTTGGATGCCACATATTTAGGTAAATCTGAACCCAAACCTGACTTATAATCATGTCCAAGGCCTGGCTAATTTAAAACATAAGTCGAAGTTAGAATTATGACGTAGTAAATGATTGTAAGCAGTAGAATGTAAGAGAGAGAGACGAATCAATCATATGCCCTTTGAATATCAAGAATGCAATCCCCTCTTCGGTCATGGAGAAAGTGTATTTATAAGGATCAAGATACTGACAAACCGCAAGAAACTACCTCCCACGTTCCCCTCAAGGGACCCATACTCATGGGAGATTATAGGGAACGCAGGGGAGACCATGAGGGATCATCTCGTCTCCTAACTCTATCCTACCTCAACCCGCCACTTGGCAGACTCCTAACTTCACTTTTGAGTTGGGTCAGTCCGACCCATCTCAACTAGGCTACATCCTCTTGTCAAATGTGTGGGCTTAGGTGGTCTGAGCCTAAATACAGTATTAATTATAGAATAGGCTGGGTATATCAGGCCTAACTTATCTACACATATCTGGGACGATCCAATATACCTTTCATAAGTATATTAATGAGATTGGAATTACCTGGTTCTGCCCAAGCCAACTTGCATATTCAAGGTCAATCTTTTTTGCAGGGATGCTAGCATCTATGAGAAGGAATACCGAGACAAGAGTTGACCGTTTCAGAAAATAGTCTTTGGTGAACTTGTTCCAATCTTTACGCACTTCGTGTGGTGCTGCAGCATACCTTGTGCAAAGAGCATTGGATTTTCAATCACCTTACTCCAAATCCAATAACTCAAAATGAAAGTAAATGAAACAAAAGCATCATAAAATCTTCTAGTTCCAAATAGTACAACCCCTCAAGGCATCGAACCAACCTCACGCCAGAGCCCTAGAACATTTGCAAAAGAGGAATTAAGCCCGTCCTTTTGATGGACTCATAGGCACTCCAAGATTCAAGTGAACAATTCATTAGAAGTCAGCATAGAAGAAATCACTTTGAAACAATCAATTGCAAATGAAAGATTATATGCTTATTCTGTTATTCAGAGTATTAGTATAGGGGAAAACGGGAGACTGATTATCCAACCATGACAGTATATTCTCCAAACTTGTAAAGTCTAATATGGCAAACCAGTACGATGTATTTTAGAGAAAAAAACACCACATGCAAACAGAAAATCATTTACCCATATCCAGGCAAATCAACAAGATGCCAGCTATCATTTATCCGGAAATGGTTGATGCATTGTGTCTTGCCTGCAAATAGAGACAATTACAGTTGCATAAATTTAAGCTGCTCCTTCCCTCTATTAGTATCCTCAAACAATTACACAGACACATGGAGAAAAATTAGAGTACTTTTATTTATACTAGTACAACAAGACCTTGTATGCAGAGCAATATGTCCTAACTGCTACTCAGCCTTGACCGAGCAACTAGCCAGTTAAGGTAGGAAATGAATGAAACGTAACTAAAGGTGGGTAGTTTGAGGTATGATTCGGGAGATAATATTCACAAAACGTAGGCAATTTTCACTGTAACTAGCTTAACAAACCAATTACGAATGCATATTCATGGCTCGTATATAATGCGTATTGTCGTGAAACAGGACTAACTTTTTCTTAAACTTTTCTCAAATTCAAAGAGCAACTCAATAGAATAGCAACCAGGCACCAAGTGTCAAAACTCAAACTTTATTTTCGGATCCATCTCTTTTTTCAAAACATAAACTGTAGCAGGAATAGAACAGCAATAATAAAATTTAGGTCAAAACCTTAAACCAATGCAATGAAACAATGTCCGTGAAAACCATTTGTGACAAAATGGCATCTTATCAGTCTCTATCCCCCAGAATGAGACACAAAGTTTCTTAACCTGCACCAATGTAGTGTGATTACCTAGCTCTTTTGTCGGCCAATTTGTAAGTAACAAACATATGAAGCCTTGGAACTTCCATCTATCTAAGGTTCCTTCTGACTGCTAGTTTTTTTTAGGTCTATTGCAAATTCCACTACTTTCAAATGATTAATCGAATATTCAAGCATTCAATGTAGACCACAGAAAGGGGGAGGGCATACCGGGTTTCTTGGAAGTAAGAGCGAGCTTCTTGCGCCTAACAATGGAGTTGAGCAGCGACGATTTCCCCACATTAGACCTCCCAACGAGCGCGAACTCCGGCAACCCATCGGCTGGGCAATCTTCTGTGCTCACGCTGCTCTTCACAAACTCCGCCCGATCCACCTGCGCGTCCCCGGCGTACTTGCTGAGCACTATGTTGGATCCCTTGAGAATCCGGGAACCAAACTCTCCGGATGCATCGGTTCCCGGCGGAAAATACAGCTTCCCGATTGAGATTTCCTGCGGGCGGCTATTCTCAATAGAACCGGCGATTATCGGAGTTTTGAGAAGCCCGGAGGAAGAGGTGGAGAAGGCGGCGGTGGGGTTGGGGGAGAGGGCGGAGGAGATTAGGAGTTTGGGTTTGGAAGCGAGGGCGGATAACTGGAAATGGAGCTTAGGGAAATGGTTGATGGACATCGGGGCGGGTTGGATGGCAATTGGAGGAAAAGGGTTTATGTAATGGATGACAATTTTATTTTTTAAAAAGAAATTTACCTAAGTAGGACTAAAACATAATGACCTTCCCAATATAAGACCATATGTTTTTATTTTTTAATGTAGGACCTTTGGTCATTATCAAGTAGTCATTATTCAATTAAATGTTCATCATTACTGGACATTATTCCTTCCACTAGGTCATTATTAAGTCATATCAAGGGAATAAAAAAGTTTAAGTCCTACATTAGGAAAGTCATTATGTTTTAGTCCTATTTAGAGCAAATTTCACTACCGACTACGAAATCCGAATAACATGGACTACCGACCACGACGACGTCGCAATGAACAATAGCTATATCATGGATTTCAATTATGTCTAAGTTTATGTTTTATGAATTTCACACAATAAATTAGTTATGACATGTGTTTTGTAACCTTATTTTTATGAATGAATAAATTATATGTACTCTATCAATAAATTTATTATGATTTACTTCTTATTTTAATTTCGATGTATGGTGCATTATTTAAAGTCAATAAATAAGTATTTTACTTATGAATTTTATCATTATTAGATTGTTTGTTTCATTATATGTAATTAATTTGCTAGTTTCTATAATTTTTTTTGTTATTCAATTATGAGAAATAAAGAAAAAAAATTGATTTAAAAAAATAATAGAGGAACAAAGTTGAGAAATTAAGAAAAAAATTGATTTAAAAAAAATAGTATAAGTTACTTCCAGATGGGGTGCATGTGCACTCTTTACAAACCAGAGATATATTATAAGTTACTTTTAAAACCACGAGAGGTGTTGAAGCTCCTTTTTGAAACCATAGGGGGTTGTGGTGCATTTCCCCCCGGAATTCTAGTGACACTTACATTTCGTGACACTAGTGGTATTACTGTTATTTTGGGGACTTTCGGTACTCCGTTCGTAAAATTAACGGTTCTTATTTTCCCTAAACCCACACCCTACCCCCGCCCCTGCACCCATCTCAACCCCGCCGTAAGCCCCCCGAAAAATGTGTGGTTATTATGCAATGCACAATAACCACACATTTTGTGGGGAAATACGGCGGGGTTGGGGTGGGGTGCAGGGGCAGGGGTAAGGTGTGGAGTTTTGGGGTAGACTAGGAAGATAGGAACCGTCAATTTTACGAACGGACCACCGGAAGTGCTCCAAATGACAGTGACACCGGAGTGCCACTATACTCTGGTGTCACTAGAACCCCATTGGTTTTTTATTACTCACCACTCCATTGCTTTTTAACTATCTGTTTAGATTTACGTGTGAAGCGTTCGACCTAATATATATAAAAATATACAATTAATTAAAACATAAAAGTTATACGAAATTATTGGTACTGAAAATTTTTTTAATGTTATTTTTAATAATTTTTTGCTAATACTCTCATGTCCCCATTTTTATTACAACTTTATTTTTCTCTCTTCTCCATAACTTTTATTTGTTTGTGTGCTTCCATTGATTATTTGATAAAATAAAATATTCTTATCGCCTCTAATTTGTAGAATTTTGATGTAATTTATTAACATGTATGGGGTAATTTTTATTTCTTATTGATGTGCCAATTTGCAAATAAAATATTTTCAAAAAACGTGAAATTTTACCTTGTAATTTTCATTTTGTAATCAAAATAAGGACGGAAGGGGTATATTTTAAGAGATATTGTTGGTTAAACATTAGGCTCGAGAAATGAACCATACAATTTAAAAGAAATGGAAGGAGTATTCAGTTAAATATCGTAACTCGCTACAAGAAAGTATCTTTGGAAGGTAGCGATCAGTATAATAATAATGGGGGAAAAAATTTCTGAAAATTTTACAACGGATAATTCCCTCGTTCGCGTCGAGTTCGGGTTCAATTCGGCATACTTCGAGTTCGGACTAAAAATGGCATTAAAAAAAATAAATATGTACAATTGCTTAAAACATTAATACCCCTATTGTTATAAGATATCATTAAAAACTTTGTATTGAGACCATACAAAGTTGGCTAGTACTCTATTCGTCTCTAAATCATTTACACTTTACGCAAATTAAAATCTTAAGTTCTTTTGATTCATTTTATTTAAAGTTTGGTATATAAATAAATAAAATAAAACATGCATATTTAAAAAGTACATCTAAAATTCTACTCTATCCATTTTCAAAAACACTTCCTCTTTCATTTTTTCTACTTCCAATAAAGCACTCCCACTTTGTACTCCAATTGTACCTTTACTTTTTCATACCCTACCTATCAAATCATACTTTTTCTCTAATAATCTATTCATCACATCTTATTTTTACCCATCACATCAAGGGTAAAATTGGAAGTCAACTATAATCTGAATTAACACTCCCTCATTTTTACACTTGGTCAAACTAAAAACTTTTTTTTAAGAACGGAGAGAATACAAAAGAAGAGATTATAAGAATATTTTATTTCATTAATTAAATAGTCAATGAAATATACACATATAAATGTCAAAGAACCAATTCAACCAAAAGCTCAAACTTGTGGTTGTGGCCCAGGAATGATTGTTATATACTCTAACGAACACGCCCTCTCACGTGCAAGCGTGACCTTTTTTGAGCCTTGCACGTGAAACCTTAATTTTTTTTAAACTGGATGACGGTGAGTTTCGAACTCGTGACCTCTTGGTCATCAAGGTTCTGATACCATGTCAAGGAACCAACTCAACCAAAAGGTCAAGCTTGTGGTTGTGACCCAGGAATGATTGTTATATTCTCTAACAATAAATAAAAGTTCTCGCGATTTTTGAATAGTGAATTGTATAAATCATTTACGGACGGAACAAGTATATACAAAGAATAATACGTACTCAATATAAACAACAATAATACTGTAAATATTGGCTAACATGTGTAAAAAAGAAAAAAGAAAAACTATACAGACGGCAGCCTCGTGATCTAATAGCTACGTACCATCTCAAGTATTATTTGTTAAAACCCAAAAATAACTCCCCCAAAAAAACAAAGATGATTTACACCCATGCATCACTAATTAAATAAAATTAAATAACCTTCTTTCTTTTCTTTTTTTCCTGCAAGCAGTATATAATTAATTACACGAAAGCATGCATGCATGCATGGAGATATAAAATGAATTTGTAGGTGTTTATTTTATTTAAATCTATTTGTGTCACGGAGAATATATGTATATAATCGAATTCTATCCCGGCGGCCCTACTGGTGTTTGTATTCATGGTGACGGCCGGAGTTGTATTTCTCGACGGCCAAACAGACCCGAATGGCGTTTTCGACGTTGCTGTTCAACGCCTCGACGCCGGACATGTCGAGGTTGAAGTCGCTGAAGGCGTTGGTGCAGTCTTCGAGGCTCGTCAGCGCCGCCGACAGCTTGAAGTTCAAGCTCCCCGTCTTCTCCCCGTTCCGCACCAGTCTCAGGCTCTCGTATAACCTATACATCAATTTTTCATTATAAGACTAGAGAATTTGTTTCACTATGTGAATAATTTTATTACAATAGTAAGTTTGATCCAGACATTTTAGGACACCTAAGGTGTTTCGTAAGTAAAACGGATAGTTCCTACCCCAACCCGAGTCTCCCTCTCTCCCCTGTCGTGGCAATATACTTGCCATATGGGTTAAGGAAGTTAGGAATCATCGATTTTACTAATAACGAAACAACATAGGTGCCCGGATCATTTTTGGATCATTTTTTTCTAAGGTCAAAAGAACCCTAGTGTTACATAAATAATCAATCCAAAAAAAATAAAGAATTTTTCGACACAGATGAAAAAGAAAAAAATACGGAGCAAAAAAGATTTTCAGGTACAGAGGAAATGGATGGCGTGTTATACAAAAAATTTTCCTTCACATTTTTAGTGATAAATCTATTGTTAAACACACCTTTTAACACAAAATATTTCAGAGACATGCATTGACAATGATGTGGACAAAGTTGGTGTGCATATAACAACGTGAAATGCCAAACCGCTCATCAAAACTTCGGTGTCAGCCGCACGAGGACACCAGATTTGTGTCCTCGGCGCTAAGACCGGGGGATGGGGGAAGGGAATACCTGTCATGGGTGTTGGTGTAGGCCTCGGTGCAAATTTTATCAATGGTGGAGGCCATGGAGGCGGACTTGCTCTTGTGGACGGTGGCTTTCACCTGGCCATCGTCCACCTTATCAAGCTGGCTCATGGCCGCTTGTAATGCCTTGATTATGGCATGGTTCCAGTCCGTGGTCCCCTTCACCGTCTCCTCGCACAACTTCTTGTCCACCGCGGTGGCGCAGAAGTCGTTGGGGATGGCGGCGTCCGCCGCGAGGAGGAGGAGAGAGGTCAAGGACACACAGATTATCATGCACCTGGTCATTGTCCCACCTGCTGATGCCATTTTGTTTCCTATCAGATTATTATTTATTTTTTTACTTATTATATTATTTAATCTGTTTTTTTTATGATGGTAATCTTTTTGTTGAGAAGGAGAAGGTTATTTAAACGTGCATGGGGATTGTGGAAATTGGTGGCTCACCATTTCTTCCTCATTTCTTGATGAGCTTTGAGCGGGAAACGGTTGAATATGATAGGAGGTAACATGTTTGAACCCCAAGCCCACTAACTTATTTTGTGACTAATAACAATCCACATCATACACACACACAATATAAAATATTTGCACGAAATAACACTAAAATATATTAAATTGAAAATAAATTCAATTAGTCATTATGCATGCGTGTGGACAATTCTTTGTGGGAGAGTGCCCAAAGAAGAGTTAACTTGTGTGATGACACGTGGCATACCACGTGTGCACACCACTACATAGTGCTCATCACATACCACACGTCACACGTCACGCCACATGAGATGTCTCGGTGCATATTAAATTTTATATTAAATGTGTCAAGAAATCAACTCAATCAAAAAATCAAGTTGTGATTGGGGTCCAAGAATATTTTTTTATATTCTAACATGCCCTCGCGGCAAGTGGAATCTTTTTTGAATCTTGCACGTGAAACCTTAAATTTTAAAAAATAAATTGCGCTGAGTTTCGAACCGTGACCTCTTAGTCAACGAGACTCCGATAATATGAGGATCACTAGTTGTGTTCACCCTACCTTCATTACTAAGGGGGAAAACGGAATAGAATAGGAAAGAGAATGATTATTTGATGTGAAAACTTGAAATATATAAAGTATTTACTTTAAATAAAGATATGATGCTACATTGAAAAATAAATAAATTACATGAAATAAATTATGAATATTTTTACACATTTGTATATAATTTTATCTTTAAGAAATTAGTAAAATTTATATAGAAATTTTAAATTAATAAAACAATTTTGATATTTTAAGTTTGTTCATCCCAAGTGGTTTATGACAAAGTGAGTGCTTTTTTGTAGCCCACCCTAAATTCTATTAGCCCCTGTTTGGTACACAAAATTCAAGTGATGGAATTGAAATTGAAGACTTTAATTTAATTCTAATTCTACTGTTTAGTAACACAAAGATATGTGGATTTAGAATTGGTAGTACAAAAAATGAATGGAAATTGAAAAATTCAAGTCCATCTAATTCATTTTTACAGAATTCCAATTTCAACTCAATTTCAATTCTGTCAATTCCATGCACCAAACAGACCCTTATAGTATTAGAGGCAGAGCACCTTTTGGCCTGCCTCGGTTTCTAATCCGTGACAAATTCGGACACCGGGACCTTGTCAAGGGCCTATATATATTTTTAGCAAAGCAATGCATTCGGGGAAAGAGCTAGTTAGCTCTTCTTCAATTCTTCTTCTTCTTCGCATGTGTTTCAGATGGTTCCGAAGGGATCTGGCTTAGGAGCCATATGAGAGCTACACCGATTAACGCACCTGAGAGATGTGCAATGTGATTGACTGTCTGTAGTGCATAGCCTCCATTAAAACCGGTTGGCAATGCCGTTGAAGCTTGGGCGGCTTCCATCACCTGATCCACACAAAAACGAAGCAACTCAACACCAACTCAGCCATATTAACAGATTGGGTTTAATCGTCGGAAGAAATTCAATACCCTTTCTACCACAAATTGGCCCAATATAAGCGCCTCAAGAATCTTCCTCCAATCCCAAGACATCTGCACCAAGCAGACAAGGTTTTAAGACTTCAGAAGTTTTCAAGCTCCGGGAACAACAGGGATAGAATATGATACACTTTTATCTGCCAAATCAGTAGTTAAGGAAAGCACTGTACGTGCCCCAATTGAACTGGTTTACACCAATTGGAGTGGTGTCAAAATGGACTCACTCTTTATATAATCGTTTAACCAGAATCTGCATTCAAAACGTGATATGATAATTGATAACAACCTTCACGAGTACGCTAATAGCAAAGAGTCCGAATACGGCACCAGATGCCCCAATAGAAACAGCATTTCTAGGAAGAACTAGCCAAGAAACAATGTTTGCCCCGACCCCAGTTATTAGATAAGAAAACCATAATGCAAGGCTTCCTTCTTCCTCTTCGACAAGCTTTCCTGAAAAGCAGAAATTTTACTTGACATGGGGTTTGCAATTTGGCTGCTATGAACGCATCAAGTATGAAACTGTTGGTGATATGTGATCAAGGAAGATATCTCACCAAAAATATACAAGAAGAAGAGGTTGCTTGATAAATGATTCCTGGCAAACGATGAATATAAGAAAAAAGTCAAACAATAAGGGGTTTTGGGGATAAGCTAAAACAAATGCTTTGTACGTTTAGTATTATACTTCCACCATAAATCTTGGGCATTTCTTACCAGTTGAAATGACAGAATGTGGCAGTCGCAAACTGATACCAAGCAGGATGATTATGGTATAAATACAATGTTCTTATACCCCGAGCCTGGACAACATTTGCTTTTAGATCAAGCAGCGGACAAATTTACTGAGATATCATGACAGACCAAAATATGAACCCTTTTCATGAGAAGTAAAATTCTTTAATCCGTTTAAGTTTCAGAAGAAAGCAAAGTACACCATGTAAAGGATTTAAAATCACCTGGAAAATGTGATCAGCAACATATATTCCAAGGTTTATGAGTAGAATCCAGAAAATTCCATTTACACGCTTCTGTGGCTTATGCTTCTCAACGGGCTTCCCAAGTTCCAGTTGTGATGTAATATCTGAACAAAATATCAAAAGATTGAATATTCTTTTATATCTTTACATGTAATAATATTCATAGATGTGATGAAGGCAAGACATAACACACAATTACTTAGCACGGAAGAAAAGCAAACCAGCAAATGACATCAGGCTTGAAGTCTTCAGGTAAAGCAGGCTTTAGCAGAAACATACTCCGTATTTATTTTAACATGGGAATTAGACAATACGAGGTATATCCTCAGAGTGCTTCTTAATGGTAAAGGCTAAAAAACCTAGCATCGTAGCCTTTGGCTCCTCCCTATTCCCTTTTTTAGTACTACTGTCTCCTTTCCTCAAGAGGAAATGCTTCAACTGATATCATGATATGCTTCTCCAAATAAAATTTTCATTATAATAAAAATAAAAAACACAATAATACTTGAATAGAATTGCATTACTATGATCTTTAAAGGTTTCTATAATAAAACAGTGAAGATTGAGGGATAGGTAATACACTAACCCATCTAAAATAAAATGCTTCAAACTAATAGATTATAATCTGTACTATGCATTAAACTTTGTCCATCAATAAGAATATGAATGTCAGCCAAATCCACCAGTTTCAGACTTGAACAAAAAAAATCCAGCTGGTGTATACACTTTTTTTCAATTGAAAGTGTGACAGTAAAAACCAAAGTAATAAAAACCGGACAATGTGACAGTAAAAACAAAAGTACTAAAAAATCCAGCTGGTGTATGCTCAAGGAAATACAATTAAGAACCCGACGATTTGACATGTAACTGAAATTTCCTTGTGTATCTAAATATTTCTGAAATGTTTAATGCTCAGGTATAATGAAGCTGAAGCACTCTACTGCAGCATATCCTACTACAGAGTATTATTTTCGTAGATGCAAAATACATGGCTTTCTCATTCCACAAATATCCTACTATGGAGCATTATAAGGGTAGGAGACGGTTTGCTTCCCCTACCCCCAGACCCCACTTGTGAGACTACACCGGAATGACCGGATAGGTTGCTGTTGTTCTAGTACTATAATACAGAGTTTTCAATTAAGAGTTATGAAGTAATTGGGAAAAACTAGGTCATCGGTTTTCTCTGACAACTACTGAAACATTGATCACTAATCCATCTAAAAGCAAATGTTATATTTAAATCTAATCTTGTGGCCTAATATACTGTTTTCCAAACAAACCCAAAGGCTCGGCCCTAAACAAAAGAAGATAACTTTTCCCCTAGTGTATACGCTTGTTTTTTTTCTCAGTTGATTGTAAACACCAACCCACTAATAAGACCACAATGTTTTTTCATTTTAAAGAAACTTCATTGTGTATGGTAGCATTTTATGTGTGGTCAACACAAATGCACAGATAAAGTAAACACAACCAAGAGACCATCGGCTCAACCAAAGCACAGAAAGGCTACAAACTTAGGCAACAAGGAACAATATTAGTTTTATATCAATGTACAATGTTCTTGACTAACATCTGAAATGAACATTCAACCAAATAAACTCATAGACAAACATAACCTGAAAGAGAAAAACTAACTGGACAGTAATTAGTAATAATTCCACTCAAATTTAACTTTCACGAAAGCAACTCATAGACGAACATAAGATATCGCAACAAGCTACCCAAATTGCAAGCCAATTGACTGGCAAACATGTTGAAGTCAATTCGAACATCAAAACTCAAAAACTCAAACGGTTCCAAAATTCGAATTGAAAGAAGGAAGTCTATGTGGTGGATCTATGGCGTGAAGAGGAATTTCACCTGAGTCCTTCAAATTACAGAAGAGGCGAGACAGGGAAGTTCGAAGTGGAAATTTGAGATTGAGACGGGAAGAAGACAGAGGAGTGAGAGACTTCCAAGACAGTGAATTGAGCGGAGGGCGTGGGGGCGGCGCTGACAACGATAGGCGGCCATTGCAGCCGAGCATAGACTGCCGAAGTAGCAGTTGTAGTCCGAGCATTGTTTTTGAGGGGAAAACAGTAAATTTGCCGGAATTGCTCTTTTGACAGAAAAACGAACAGAAGAACAAGTGGTTGCCCGGGTTATAATTAGACCTACCTAAAAATGACTAGATCACTTTTGACTCAACAGCTGATCTGAAAATACTGATAAATGTTTTGATGACCGAATCCAAAATGACTTGCTAAAAATGGGTCAAATCCGACCAAACCCGAACTCGACCTGACCGACTCGCTAAATTAAGAATTTTTCAAAATCATACACTTCACTACTCGTTTTTCGTGTATAAATTTATATTTTCAGAAATTTTTCTAATGATATTGCATAATTCTCTTACTTTTTTCCAAAACTTAAACATTTTCTAAATTTCTTATATTGATTTATATATCTAAAAATTATTTCTGAATTTAAAATAAATTAATCTAATACATTTAATACTTTTTTAATATTTTAAATTTATTAAATAGAAAATGTAAGTGTTAATGTGAATTTAAAAATTTAAAAAACCAAAGTCATAACCCGTTGGGTCAACTCGAACCCGATGACACTGAGTCATAAACATAGAATTCTCAACCCGAACCCAAATTGACCTGAACCCGAAATAATCTGATACATCTTTCTCACACCTCTCTCTCACAAATCTCTCTTTATTACTACATATTCTCTCAAAAATATTTATTATTTATTATAAATATTTATAAAATATAATTTAAAAATGGGTTCATCTTCCGACAATGAAAGAAGAGCTTTATTTTTTCGTTGTTTCGCGACGTGGCTTCAAAACCATTTCCAGTGAATTTTGGGTGTAAGTTAAAGCTGACGTGGCAGAGAGAGAAAGTTTGAAGCTCCGTTTTGAAGCCCCGGGGCTTCAAATGTATTACCAGTGCTCTTAGACCCGATCACGGCCCGGGTATCCGGCCCGCCCGCAAAATAGAGGGCTTGGGCTTGACATTTTAGGGTACGGGCCGGGCTTGGGCCTTATAAATGGCGGCCCGAATATTTTAGGGCCGGGCTCGGGTTTATGCTCAAGCCCACGGGCCGGCCCGACCCGAATAAATTCAATATTTATTATTAATATAATTATAATAAAATAATAATAACAACATTAATAATAATAATAATAAAGAACAAACCTATTTCAAATTATAATAAACACACATACATACTTCTATGGAGAGAAAAAATAAACTATGAGTATATATAATAAAATGAATACATCTTTACTACTCCGTATTGTTTGCAACGTATCACACATTGATTATGACATTCCAATAGATAATATTTTGTACTTCATACATAGTAGCAATATCAAACAAAATATATTTATATATCAATTTTTCTTTCATTTACTCATAATAGTTTTTATATCAAATATCTAATATATTAACTTGTTACTTTTAAAAAAAATTATTTTTAAATTATTTAGAAGTTTTTGTCGGCCGGGCCGGCCCGAAACCCGCGATCCGGGCTTGGGCTTCAATTGTAAGGCCCGTTATACGGGCGGGACCGGGTTTGGGCTTAGAAAATTTTCCTAAAGTAGTGTCTCGGCCCTGTGGGAAACCCAGCCCGGCCCGCACTTTGATCAGGTGTACTCTTTATGGAGAAGAAACATCGAATTATCCATTTCCGTCCGCATTAAATCCCTCCGTCTCCCTCACACGGGGAGCAATTGAACTGTCATTTCTCCCACCCGCCGGCCGCCCCCGCTCTCTATAGCTTTTGAAATTCGAATTCCTCTGGTTTTTTTCAATAGGGAGATCTGGAATCGAATGACGGGGGCGAGATGTAAATGGCGGCGGATTCTGAGGCCGCTGGTTTCGATTTCATGGAGTTTCCTCCTCGCCTCGATATTCGTTTCGGCCGAGAGGAGTTTGAAGAGGGAAGAAGCTCCGAACCATCGCGCCGCGCACTGTTCCGGCGCGGATCGCCGGTCGTCGTTCGTCAATTTCCTGTGGCAGTCAAATAAATCCGGTTTCGAGCACGTCTGGCCGGTAATTCTTCTTTATAATTCGTCCCTCCTCGGTGCTTTATTCGGACTGGTAGAGTTCTTATTTTTTTAATACTGCTGCTGAACACGCACCTGCGTGATAAAAAGTGTGAGGCAAAGGGAATTAGGGCAAGTTGCTCTGTGCCCACAAAATGCCTTTTTCAATGCGGAATATGTATGTTTTGTCTAGTAGTCATTAAGAGTTTTGTCTAAATAACTTCTAGGTCCCTCTATTTTCGAAAAGACAACTGAGTTCCTTATATTTTGTTGTAATGACTGAGAGTGACATTTCATCCAATAGATCATCCGTAAGTGTTAATAAATATATCTTTTTCCTATTTTTCCAATACCGTTTTTTCCTATTTTGCCATTACCTTGTTTTTTCTTTTTTTAATTTTTTTTATTTCATTTGTTTTAATATAATACAAACAATTTTGAATTTTTATACGATTTTATAGAATAAATTCTAAAATAACACTTTAAAAAATAGTAACAAAATGAAAGAAAAACAAAGAAATAAAAAAAGGAGCAACCTAAGATTTATTACCTTAAAACATTTAGAAAAGAATAGGAAAAAAATACATTTATTAACGTTTATAGATGAAATATTGGATGAAATATCCCCTTCCAGTCATTACAACAAAATGTAAGGACATTTGCTGTCTTCTTGAAAATAGAGGGACCTGAAAGTTATTTCAACAAAACTCGCGTCACCCGCGAGTAATTTTCTGGTTTATTACTCTCCCATCCAAAATGTAAAACGAAGCGAACTTTCAAAGTTTTTCAATCATTTTATTTAAAAGATTGGTACGTACGGAAATAAAACTTGCTTATTTAGAAACTAAGGGAATAGTTCATATCTTGCTTACTACATCATCTCTCCCCCACATTGTATCACGTCAGATTTCACTAATTTCGTACTCTTCTTTAGACATGGCAAAAAATGATCTGACCTGTTTTTGACCCGAGACCCAACCCGAAAATATTGGGTTTTGAACTAAGGTTTTACTGACCGAACCTGAAGTTGACAAAACCCGAAATTACCTGTTAAAAATGGGTCAAACCCACCCGAACCTGAACTCGATCCGACCCGCTAATGTAAGAATTTTTCAAAATCATATGTTTTAGTATGTAATGTAATGTTATAAAAATAAGATTTTAATTATATTTCTTTGTTTACTTCTCATTTTTAATGTATAAATTTATATATTCATACAAAATTCAAAAGATATCGAATATTATCTTACTTTTTTTCAAAATTTTCTGCACATTTAATTTTTTATTTGTAATATTGACAATCTATCATAAAAATTACTTAAAATTTCATAAAATAAATGAAAGTCATAACCCGTTGGGTCGACCCGAACCCGATGACATTGGGTCATGAACATGCAGCTCTCAACCCGAACCCGAAGTAACCTGAACCCAAGGTGATCGAACCCGAACTCGACCCGACCGACCATTTTTCCAGCTCTACTTTTCTTACATATGCCAATTTGCCAGCTTACTACAACCTTTTTTAAATAATTAACTTAATTAATAATATATGTTAGTTTTAAATTATATAATTCAATGTAAAAAATATTTGAAAAATATAAACAAAAAAATTATTAAAAATTAGATGACCCTCATCAAATTAAATTTATATTACAATACAAATAGGAAATAATATATTCTCTAAAAAAACATAAGCCATTACAAATCTACAATACTAAATACGGAGTGGAAAATAACATATAAAAAAATAAAACTAGTCATTGAATAGAGTTTTGAGAGAGTGTTGTTTAAAAATGGTTGTGAAAGAATGATATGTTGTTTGTGTATGTGTGTGTATACACTCCCTCCGTCCCCAAAATAATGTTCTCATTTGACTTTTCATATTTTCCATTGTGACACTTTGGCTGCTGATACACACACACACACACCGGGCCGGTGCCCCCCATAAATTGGGGGGACATCCGCCCCTGGATGTAGGGAGCATGGTATTGGTCATTTTGGCTAGCCTGCACGGATACATTTTTGGACACCTTTCCAAAAGGTCGGGCGAGCTCTTATATTCAAGGCAATCCTTCCTTTAATTTTTCTTTTGATTTACTTGTTTTGTTTTATGCCAACTAAAATAAAATAAACTCTAACATAACTAATGTTTGACAAATGAGGAGATACCCAAGATTGTATATAGTAGTATAGAATAAGCTCTAGGCCTCTAGTTAATGAGATAATAACATGGATAGTGGAGATACTGTGCTATATGTGCCTTTTCCTCAAACCTTTTAGAGGTTGAGCATTTGAAATGATTGTGATGCGCACTGAGTCGAGTTTGGGCATTGTGTATAATAGCTGGTCTGTGAACTGAATTCACTTTGTAGTTTGTACCCATAGTGTTCTCATTGGATTAGCCAATCATATCATGTGTTCTAAAAAACCTCATTGGCATTAAGTATTCACGGTTATGTAATATTGTATAGGAAAGATTCTTATTCTTGTCAACTTTTAATCTTGTTACAGGAAATAAAATTTGGATGGAATATAGTTGTCGGCAGCGTAATTGGTTTCTTGGGAGCAGCATTTGGCAGTGTAGGTGGTGTAGGAGGGGGTGGCATATTTGTTCCCATGCTTACTCTTATTATAGGATTTGACCCAAAATCAGCTACTGCAATTTCAAAGTGTAAGATGCAATATTTATTTACATTCATCGAACAATTTTCTTCAGCTATAATGCGGAGCAGATAGCCAATTTTATGTTGACATAAGTTTATTTTGTTTTATAAACAAAAAAAATCTGTATAGAAAAAGTTTTCAATGCCCGATATTGTTCAAAATCTTGATAAATAATATTCTGGTTTGGCAGGTATGATCATGGGAGCTGCAGTTTCCACAGTTTACTATAATCTTAAGCTCAAACACCCTACGATTGATATGCCGATTATTGATTATGACTTGGCATTGCTCATTCAGCCTATGTTAATGCTTGGAATTAGTATTGGAGTCGCTTTCAATGTGATCTTTGCAGATTGGATGGTCACAGTTCTGCTTATAACTCTATTCACAGGTAACTCACTCTATTAATTGAGTCCACTCTGCTCAGTCTCTGCTCCAATTGAATTAGGCCTCTAATTGGAGTTTTCAGGCACTTCAACCAAGGCCTTCTTGAGAGGTGTTGAGACATGGAAGAAAGAGACAATTATTAAAAAGGTATTCTTTTTCTGGCCTTTTTTTGTTTGTTTACTTGTCCCGTATTGATTTTTAGATTTATCTGGTTTTCCATTTTTGGGTTCAGGAGGCTGCCCAACTGCTAGCACCAGATGGTGAGTTTGTTATCTTTCTTTGTTGGGAGATACCTTAAAGGATCTTGCTTTGTGGCTTCCCCATATACGAACAAAGATAATGGGTAAAAAGATTGTAACATCTCTCTCAAAGTTTATACATTTGGCATGCTACATTTTTTCAGGAAGTGGACAAGTAGAGTACAAGCTTCTTCCTGGTGGACCTAGCAATGGCAGTCAAGACAGATCCAAAGAATCTTCTCGGAAAGAGGTGAATTAAATTTAACAGTCGATCTTCTAAGATTGTTCAAGCTCAAACATATGTATATACTCCTTACTATATAAATACTTATTTTATTTTCAATTTAGGTCTCTATAATTGAGAATGTTTATTGGAAGGAATTTGGACTCCTTTGTTTTGTTTGGGTTGCTTTTCTTGCTCTTCAAATCACAAAGGTCTGTTTCTTTAGTTGTTTCAGTTACTGTTGGGAATTTCCTCAGAGTAAATCTTTGTCCAGTAACATAATCCTTCTTTGACTCACCAGCTTTGTTTTTTGGTTACAGAATTATGCAACAACTTGTTCAACTCTATACTGGGTGGTGAATCTGTTGCAGGTTTGTTTGGTCCAAAATTAGGACAATACATGTTTTATTTCTTGTATTTAATGTTCACCCAGATTAGTTTATTTTTCTTTTTTTCCTTCTATTATCAATGCAGATCCCAGTTTCTGTAGGGGTATCTATGTATGAAGGTATAGGGCTATACAAAGGGTGGAGACAGATTTCATCTAAGGGTTATTCAGGCCCCTCCAACTTGAGAACAGGGCAATTGATTGCTTACTGCTGCCTTGGGATGGTTGCTGGTGTTGTTGGGGGGCTGCTTGGCCTAGGTGGAGGGTTCATTATGGGTCCCCTATTCTTGGAACTGGGTATCCCTCCACAGGTGAGTTTATGGGTTTCCTCATTGTGCTGTAGAGAGATAAATGGCGTGTCAAACATTTTTTTTATTTCGAACCTCAAATCACAATTTCCCTAGTATAATTCTCGTGGTTTTTAACTGGGAAATAACACACTGCACATTTTAAGATTGTCAAATTTCTTCCACATAATAAATATGCAATTACTTGGTTGTTGCTTTCTATATATTGTTTATAGGTTTCAAGTGCCACAGCCACTTTTGCCATGATGTTTTCCTCATCGATGTCTGTTGTAGAATATTACCTTCTCAAGCGTTTCCCGGTTCCTTATGGTATGCCCTTCTGCCCATCCTCCAAATTGACTTAAGCTACATTTGGAAACATTGTATAGTGTTTTGGATATATTTTTTTGAAGGCGCAAATTAATTTTGAAAAAAAAACTAAAAATAAAAGACACCGTTAGATAACACATTCAAAATGCTAGAGCCAAACACTTCCCAACGGAGGCTTACATGAACTGAATGTTTTCGCATGTGCACAATCCCGAGTGCTGAAATTTCGGCTCATAATGGCTGTTTTGCAGCTCTCTATTTCACTGCGCTCGCAACTCTTGCTGCTGTGGTTGGGCAACACGTAATCCGGAGGTTGATTGCAGGGTTTGGAAGGGCATCATTGATTGTATTCATTCTGGCCTCCACAATTTTCGTGAGCGCAATTTTGCTAGGTGAGCATTCATCTACCTTTCTTTTTTCCACTCTTTTCTTCATCTACTTTTGATCTATCTTTATTTGTCACATTTCTTTTTCTGGGCTTCTTTTCTGCATTTTCTTAGGTATACTCTCTTCCACAAACTACGAAATTTGAAATCACTCTTTATTCCCCTCAAATTGTTCTCCTTCCCTCGTTTTATTCCTTTTCCACCAACGGACCAACCAATCACCCCATTAGCATTTAAACCGATTCAAGTCATTCGACCACACTTGACAAATTTAGAAACTGCTATCACATTTTTACTTCCTACTTGTTTCTATTAGAAATTGTGCAAAAAAGGTCCTTAGGTTTGTAATCAATGAGTAAATAATACCTATGATAATGAGCAGAAACATTGTGTTTTTCATTCTTGTGTCGAAAAAGTTTCATAAAAAGTTACATTTCGCCATGTTTCATTCTTCTGTTTGTGCTTTCGTGTTCATGCAACATAGTCTGCTAACTTCTTATAACCAAAATTTGGTTAAACAGGCGGGGTTGGGGTCTCGAACATGATAGGGAAGATTCATCGCCACGAATACATGGGCTTTGAAAACCTCTGCAAGTATGATCCTTGAAATGCATCATTTCTACACATCATTTTTTCTCTCTCAAAAGAATATGAGAGAATTAGTTGTGATTCAAGAACAAGTCCAGATGAACGACGATATGTGGCTTGATTTGTTGGGTTTGTGGAGGCTGGATATGTTTGGATCCGATTAGGATTGGCGCAGTTTATTTTTAGCCCGTTTGTTTCTTGTTTCTTGGGGAACAAGTTTCGTAGCCTTAGGTTTCTTCCTATATATACGCATCTTGTACTTGTAATTCCTGAGACACAACAAGTGAATAAAATTCTCTTGTTGCAGCCATGGATTAGAGAATCCGAATCACGTTAAATTCTTGTGTGTCGTTTGTGTTCCGTTCTCTCTTGATTCTCACAGATATTTGTGCGGGTTGTGTGTAATTTCCAACATGATTCAGAATTAGTTGCACCATAGTAGCTGTTAGGTTCTCAATAGAACCATAGTGTTTGATTGGCCTCCATTGGAATGCCCACTTTGTGGCTGCTGTGATATGATTTTGGCAAGTCTTCTTTCAATAATGTTCAAGGATGTGCTTGGTTTGCAAATTGTCCATTGTCAATGAAACTCAAAGATTCATTTAATTTTGACAATGTTTTATTTCCAGGTAAATAATACTCTCCCCATCTACCATAAATCTTCCCAAATTGACGTCTTTGTTGTTTTTAATGAGAGTTAAAAAAAGTAGAAGTTTACTAAAATATTTGGGTGAAGTATATTAAATGAAGTGGTTACATATATGGATCATTTCATAGTATGTAAAATACATAGAAAAATATAGGCTATAAATTGATTATATAGAGGATTGTAAAAAATAAATAATAAAATTTGGGCACCCATGAAAGTGTATAACTAATATTTAACAGTATATTTATTGTTAATTAAGCCCCGCACTTTCATGATTCTTTCTCAAATTCTCTTTTGTCAAACTCTAATGGAGAATTATATTAAGAATTATATGAAACCTTTTACTCTGTAATTCTGTATCATAACATAACACTATAAGAGTAACTTCTTAGTTATTCTCAATAGGGGATGCAGGGATGCCAAAATCTAACAATAGTATTTTTTTTAATATGGTCCCTAAAAAGTAATAATTCTTCGTTTAGTTCATAAAAATGAGATCAATTTCCATAATAGTGCTTTGTAAAAAAACTCGTTCAATACTCATTAAAAATAACATTCTATTCGACTTATTTATGCTACTTATCATTTATTCTTATTAGAATCATATCTGATTAGTTCAAATTCAGATCAGATCTATTTAGCTCATATCCATTCAGATTAAAAAAGTATTTAAAATTAAATAATTTTAAAACAATAATAATAATAACAATAATTATTATTATCATTCTTAATTAATAATAATTAAATTTATAATAATCAAACTAATAATCTATTATCATCATACTTAATATTAAAATTAATAGTAATTAATAATAATAGTTAAATAATAATAATAATAGAAATGTTAATAACTATTTTTAACTAATAATAATAATAATTAATAATAACGATAATGACAATTCATAATAATATTCAAAACCATCATCATACTTAATAAAAAAAAGTAATACAAGTAATAATCAATAATAATAATAATAATTAAAATAATTTAATAATCATAACAATTAATAAAAGTAATTAATAATAATAACTAAAATAATAATAATGATAATGATTATTTTTAAAAGTAATAATAACTACGATAATAACTATTTTTAAATATAAATTTTTTTTAATTAATAATCATAATATATTTTAAAAAAATCATTCTTTTAGTTATAATAATTTAAAATAATGATAGATTTAATCATTAATATAACACTTAATATTGATAATAATAATTATTGGAGCATTGTTTATAATAATAATAAATACAATCATTAAAATAATAATTATAATAGTAAGAATATTAATAATTACAATCATAATTATTAATGCTAAATATTCTTGTTGTAATTTTTTAGTAAAAATTATTAAAAATAATTACTTATTATTATTATTATTATAAATTTTAATTAATAATGATAATCGTCATCCTTAATCACTACATTTAAGAACAATAATAGTAATAATAACTAATATAATTATCCAAACAATAATAATAATATTAAGAATAATAATAATTAATTAAAGTTATAATTATCAATAATACAAAATTATTATTGTAATACTATTAATAATAATTTTTTAAAATAATTAATAATAAATTACTATTATTATTATAATAATTATTTTTAATTAATAATGATAATAATCACCAATAATTATTACATTTAGTATTAATAATAATAATTATAATAATAATAACAATAATAAATATTACTATTAAACTAATTATAATACTATTAATAAATAATAATTATAATTATAATTATTAATAAAAAATTTATTAGTGTACAATCATTAGTAATAACTATTAATAATAATTAATGTTAATTATTATTTTTGATATAGTTGTTATTTGAATTTGAATTAAATCTTTTCGGAGTAGATCAGATCAGCCTTAAAAAATTTAGTTCATATCAGATCAACCGTAAAAAACACAAACTAATTTAGGAAAAAACGTGATAAAAAATACATAGTACTCTGTACTATTTTGATATGTACACACACACACACACACCCAGCTCTCTCTCTGTGGGGTGGGGACGTGCGATTCATTTTCTTTTTATGTTTTACCATCAAAATCAATCGTAAAATAATCCTCCACTTTGGACGTATATTTTTATTTTATAGAAAAAGTTTTCATTATTACTCTTTGATCTGCTCAATTTTCCAAAATACTTTTGAAATTCTCTTATTTTACTTTTACACGAAAGCAATATATTTGATGGGGAAAACGACATCAATACTTTGAGTCGTTTCAGAATTTTCATATGTTACATCGTTGTTTCAAGAATTTATGTATGTTTATATCCGTGTACCAAGTATTAGGACACTAATGTAAACATATGTCAATGTTGGAACGCCGGTGTAAACATATAAAAATTTTGAGTGTCATTTATTAAACCTCAAAGTAACAATATGGATGTTTCCTAATTTATATATCTTCAATACTAAAAAAACAGTACTCCCACCATATATCATGTCTTGATTTATACTATCTTCGTCCCAAAAAAATGTTCATGTTTTATTTTTTGTGCATCCCATAAAACACTCTACCCACATCTATAATGTCCTAATTTCTCTTTTATAGGTTCCGCAAAAAATGAAATAGGAACATCTTTTAGGGACGGGAGAAGTAGTATTCATCGAAATTATTTTTAAACCAATATATTTAAAAATTGGTATATAAACTTTTAAAACCATAAATATATCAAATGGTATTTTTACCCAATTACCCACGCGGCTGTGCCACATCACTCCATCAGCCTATGATTCCCAGGGCAAAACATATATATATACGCCAAAAAGTCAAAAAAAAAATAATGCCGTTGGACTGAAAATTCATGAATTAAAGGGGAAAAACAAAAAGGAAAGGAAAAGACACGTGGAAGGCTGAGATTTAAACAAGGAGCGAAGACACTAGCCGTAGGATTGTCCGAGTCCATTAAGGAAAAACGAATTGGGGGGTTTTGAATTGAATTGAATTCCTCCGCTCGTTAAACATTTGAATTCTGGAAAGAACCGTTCCCCTTTTTTCCCCATTTTCCCCTTTTTGTTTTCTTCTCCCTTTCTCTCTCTATCTCTATATTCATCCATCCCCTGTACAGATCTCTCCTTCTTCGTCTTCTCTGGTTTCTGATTCGGTTCTTCTCTGGTTTCTGATTCGGAATCCGACAGTTCGCTCTCTTACCCCGCCGCACCCTTCTTCATCCTCCGCTACTCTCTGATGATTGAGGCCGCCCCCTGTTCGGTGAGTGATTGTGTGTTGTTTTATTCTTTTCCGGAATTTTTTTTTTGTTTTGTATTGGATTTGAGGTGGATTCTCTGTTTTAGGGTTAATCTGGAGTTGATTTTGTCCTCTGTAGTTCGAATGATGGTTTCTGTCATTGGTAGTCTGATTTGGTTGTAGTTGAACTGGTCAGATCGGGCATCTTTTTTTTTTAAGGTTTCGAGCTCTGGTGGGTAATCTGAGCATTGCGGCATGCAGGTTTTCCTTCCTATTCAACAATGATGCAAAGTGAAGGCGTCGGACCTACAGTCGGCAGTAGTTTAGGCATTCGACCTCTGCACGGGTAAGTTTCTGAACTACGCGGGAGAATGTATTGTGTTACACCACTATGATATTTTTACAATTCACATTTTGACAATGTTTATAGGAGAACAACTGGGCCAACAAGACGTTCAACGAAGGGTCAGTGGTCACCAGAAGAGGTATGGTGTATGGTTTGATATCTTTATCAACAATTGACTAAAGCATGAAATTTGAATGATCATGTATGAAAATATTTTGTTCGTAAAACCAAGAAATTAGGCTCTTCAATATTGCTGTTATGATCTTTTGGGTGGAGCTGTCATTGGGTATAAATATGTCACCATCCCTTGCCACCTAATATGTGAACTCGTGGGTCAGATGACTAGAAACATTGTGAATGATGGAAGAGATCACCACTTGTTACTTGTTACTTTGAAGTACTATATATATTCATAGCCAGTAGCCAGTTTATCCACAATCTACTCTTCCACGAAAAAGTATGCATTTGTGTGCGTGTGTGTGTCTGTGTGCGCAATAATCTGGCCTGCCTAACGAGATGTCATTCATTTTTATAATGAGAGAGAAGTGATGTTGGAGATGATCAGATGATTCATCTTTTTGATCTTTTGGTCATTATGGTTCAATAGTGTGAGATTATAAACCTGTTTTCAGTATGTATTTTTTTCACAAGTTTGAGGTATGTGTTGCTCAAATTCAGTTTACAGGCTCTGGTATCTTGTCATTGTGTAACCTTTTTTTTGTAGAAGTATACATTTTGCCAGTTTAAATTTGTTCTTGTTGCAGGATGACATTTTATGCAAGGCTGTTCAACGATTTAAAGGGAAAAACTGGAAAAAGATAGGTATGCTGATTTATTCTTCTATCAATATTATATTCCACATTGTTACCCTTTTTCTTTCATTTTCTATCAAGCTTACACTGCTGCAACTCTACATCAAGTATGATACTTCTATGTCGCATTAGTGTTTATTACAATGAATAGTATGAATTGTGAATTACTTTTGTAGCTTTTACATTCAAATCTTTTGACTAATTTTGAATATTTTAGGTGTAACACCATTGTTTGTTGCACTATAGGCACAAATTTTAAGTTTTTATGTAGTGTTCACCATATTATGTCAAGACTTAAACTTATCCATGTATTGTTGTTCTTATATTCCATTTCAGTAATTTATCATACTGAGACTACCTTTTATACAATGGATTAATGGAAACAATAGTAAGATCTTTTTATTGCCCTGGCATTTGGTTTTGGTTGTCATACATTAATGCTTGAGAAAAACATAGTGTTTTCTCCTAAGATCCATCAGAATGGCTTTAAGGGACGCCATACAGCTATGTGGTGAAGATTGCTTAGTTTCATATTGGTTAGGACCTCTGAAATAGTATATCGTCAGAAATCATGGAATTCTCATTACCCCTGACCAAACTTTCTTACAGCAGATGCACAATGCAGTGATTATTCTGAGCTGATATCAGTGTGGAATTGATCAAGTTTGAAAAACAACTAACACATACTAGTATTATAAATTAGATAGTAGGAAGAGTTGCATTACATATACATCTAACTTCATTACAATTTATGAGAATAACATACCAGTATAATGGTGTAGTAAGGTAGAGGAAAGGTTTTGTGCATAGTTATGAAGGCGACGCCTAGGCATCTGGGCGGTTTTATGGACTCGCTTAATGGACGCCTAGCCTAAAACACCCAAGGGGATGAGGTGCTCGGCTTAGCCTAGCCTCTCTCCTAACCTTGCCTGAAAAAAATGCCTATGGCGATGGGGAACTCTATTATTTTTTTAAAGTAACATATGTCTGGTTGTTTAATGTATGTATGTGTGTGTGTGTGTGTGTGTATATAAACATACATATATACATACATCCTCCCCCCGCCCCAAATTAATCTTCTTTATTTCCTTTTGGGTTGTTCCAAATTAATCTTCCACTTTCCTGGAAAGCTTTTTGTGGCTCACCTTTTTTTCTCTCCTCTACATTACTTTTAACCACACAATTTCACTTTTCTTAAACTCCATGCAAAGTCAAACTGTGATTATTAATTTGGGACGGAGGGAGTATAATATTGTCATATTGCACTCGCCTAATGGATGCCTAGGCAGACGCCAAATCGCCTAGGTGACTAGAAGGTACTCTAGCGTCCAGCCTCCCCTAGCCTCCGTAACAACTATGGTTCTGTGATAATTGTGCGTGTGTGAACAAGCTTTGAAGTGTAGAATATTCTAATATTTCAATAGTTGTTAAGCTATAAAGAATTTTTGCTTGTTTCACCTTAGATTTTTAATAGTGGAAAGTTTTTTTTTTGAAACTGAACTGCTGCAATAGATGGCCAAGTATATTTTTAGTAATAACTGGTCTGGCTTTAGTAATAATCTAACATGGCCTGGAGAGCATATAGTAAATTTTCCATCATCTCTGATGGAGCCAAAATTTCACCATTTTTTGGCTTTGGGGTGTGATGGAATAAATCAAAATGGATCTCTAAACTGTCTGCACTTCTTTAATGAATGAAGTAGCAGTTAGTCAAGCAATGCAACTTTCAACGTTAAGCCGGGGGTCTCTTTGGAAACAGCCTCTTTACTTTCGAGTAGGGGCAAGGTCTGCGTACACACACCCTCCCCAGACCCTACTCTTGTGGGATTTAACTGGGTTGTTATTGTTGTAGCGGAATGCTTCAAAGACAGAACAGATGTACAGTGTTTACACAGGTGGCAGAAAGTTCTCAACCCAGAGCTTGTCAAAGGTCCATGGTCTAAAGAGGTAATGTTCTATCCCTGTTTCTGCCAGACCTTGTAATCCATTAAATTTTTTAAACATGTGGGGATTGGTATTCTGGACATATGTTGTCTACACATACTTCAGTTGTTGATAACTTATGAGCCAATCAACTTTTTGTGTCATCAGGAGGATGAAATAATTATCGAGTTGGTGGATAAATATGGTCCAAAGAAATGGTCCACCATTGCACAGCATTTGCCAGGGCGGATAGGAAAACAATGCCGTGAAAGGTGCACTTTGAAATTTGTTTGTCTATCACTCTATCTATATCACAGTTCACCAAAGCTCTCATATTACTTAAGTGCATTAAATAAGTAATGGGTCTAACCTATTAGGGCTAAAATATTTTAGCGCTTAGTTCTAATGTCATGTTGATTACTAATATTTTTATTGAGATAAGCTTTTTAATTTGACAACCTTGAAAGATTAACACAACATTTATATAGATAGGTAATGGTTCTAAACGACTAAATCTAGAATTGAATTGGGCTTTCTAGCATAGATCCGTATGCAAATGCATGTAACACTCTCCGTTACATTTCTGGGATCTTGTATGCGTCATTTGGATAGACGTTATAGAAGATAGTCCATTATCTCCATCTGCAGATTGTGTTTGGACTCGTATATTTATTTATTAATTAATTTCTCAAGGTGGCATAACCATCTTAATCCTGGAATAAACAAAGAAGCTTGGACACAAGAGGAGGAATTAGCTCTCATCCGTGCTCATCAAATTTATGGAAACAAGTGGGCAGAGTTGACGAAGTTTTTGCCTGGAAGGTAGTATACTTGTATATAAACTGAAAAGAAATCTTACTTTCTACACTCTAGGGAGATGATACTGATTAGATGTTGCTTCTCAATACTCACCTAGTCGTGGCTGTTAATATTTCTTGTGTTGTGTTTTTTTGTTCATTTATTTTCAGGACTGACAATGCAATTAAAAATCATTGGAACAGCTCAGTGAAGAAAAAATTGGATTCATATTGTGCATCAGGTTTAGTTTCACAGTTCCCATCTTTGCCTAACGTCAATAATGCCAGCCAGATGTTGCCTCCCGCTTCATTGAAGCTACATCAAAGTAGTGAAGATAAAAGTAGTTGTAGAGAGGGAAAGGAAGTGGATGAAGTTTCAGAATGTAGTCAAGGTTCACCTTTTGTGTGTGGTTCTCAATCTACAAGTGAAATGGGAAACACATTTGTACATACAACAAGTGAGGACAGGCCTGAGAAGGGGGGAATAAAGGAAGATTCAAGTTATAACAAGGATCAAACAGCGTGTAATGCCCTTCAAGAAGTAGCTTCTACTTCACTGCCTCAAATCCAAAGTAATAACGATAATTCTCAATTTATCGACCAAACTGCCATGAATGAAATTGGTGCTTCTGCTTTGAGAGGTTGCCAACTTAATTCAGATGATATACCCCATTTATCTGCACTTGATTTGATCCAGGTCCAATCAGGATTCTACATGCATTTTTCGACTAGCTGTGAAGACCATGGAGTGCCCATGCTGCAAAATGCTATGGACATGGGTATCATAAATCACATAGAAAGTATAGCTGCGAGTTCTGATACTCAAGATAGCATGTTTAACATGGAAAGTGGCCAGTGTGGAAATTTATATACTGGAAGAGCAAACCAACATTGTTTTCCCTCTGGAAATGATATTAGTGGTGTTGAAGAATCAGCAGAATCAGGAGGGGTTCTTCAACAACCTTTAAACTATCAGATTCCTGAAGCTGACAATACTATCAGGTCAAATATTTGTGGAACTTCTGCCTATCAATCTTTTTCCGTTCCTGTTATGTTTTGTGTTGATTCACACCAATTCATCGATTCATCATTTGAGAATCGAAGGCAAGATGCAATTACTTGTGGTGAGACCAGCCATGGCGCGAAAGGCCAACTAGATCAGTACATTCAAGAAAATGAGGCTCTAACAAGGTTAGTTCCTTCGAATGATTCTAGTCAAACACCATCAGATAGCTTTCATACTAGTCCCGTCAATGAGCGACCACATGTTGTAAAAGAAGAGAAAAAAGAGCCAGGAACTTTGTGCTATGAGCCTCCTAGATTTCCAAGCGTGGATGTTCCTTTCTTCAGCTGTGATCTTATACAATCTGGTACAGACATGCAGCAAGAGTACAGTCCCCTTGGTATCCGCCAGCTGATGATGTCATCTATGAACTGTCCTACTCCGTTTAGGTTGTGGGATTCACCAACAAAAGACACTAGTCCGGACGCTGTCCTGAAAAGTGCTGCCAAAACGTTTAGCTGTCCGCCTTCTATATTGAAGAAAAGGCATCGTGATTTGGTCTCACCAATGTCAGAAAAGAGAAGTGAAAAAAAACTCGATTATGATCATTTGAGTCGTGACTTTTCGGATCTGGCAAGGAACTTTTCTCGGTTGGAAGTGATGGTTGATATTGGGGGCAAAGAGAATGGAACCACATCGTCTCCATTGTCAACCCAAAAACTTATATATGAAGATTCCATTGAAGACAAAGAAAATATGGATCCGGCGTTTGAAGGAACCACCACAAAGAGCATTAAAGTTGAAGCAGATGATGATGCCGCCATACACGTGAGTTGTTTTTCCATTTCTTTTTCCTTCAAACGAGTCTTTTCCCCTGTGTAATCATGTGGAGGTCCAGGATTCAAATCCACCTCGTGAAAAGCATTGGGGAGGGTGGCATAGATTATCCTTCATGAATAACAGTGAATGCTGTAGATAGTATCTTCGCACTCACATAGACGCACAAGTAATGAAAATAATTCAACAGCTCTTTTTTAGCGGGTGGGCAATTTTCAAGTACATCACTTCAAATTGTCTAGAATTTGTTATGCAATACTCTATGTTTTATTATATGACTTCGTTCAGTCTAATGAGCAGTAATCTTCAGATATCTTTATATATGTATTGTTATACTTTTTATCAGGTGAAACAAACTAATGGTGTTCTGTTGGAACGTGGTAAAGATGACCCTGTATTCCTTTCTCCTGATCGATTTGGATCTAAGGGTGGTAGAGCAATGACTTCTCAGACAACAACTAAAGGTCTTGGAACCCCATTTCTGAATCGATTGGAAACTGGATCCAACCAAGGCACTGTTTCAACTTCATCTGAGGCTCCATCTTTTTCAATTGTTTGTTCTCCTCGCATTTATGCAAAAAGAGAGGGAAGTAACTTTGTTGTAGCAACGTCTGTGCAGTCTGTTCCTGCATCAGAGAATGCTGGTGACAATTCTGGAAATGGAGTTGCTGTTGACAACAACAATATAAGCATGTAAGACTCATGTTTCAAACATTTTGTGTTTCCAAAAAGTTCAGTTTAATCACATGAAGCTAAGCTTTCATGTAATTGAGGGCCCTGTGCCTAGGTAGAAATTTTTGCCACCATGGCCCCAGTAGTGTCTTAATGCTTTGTTAATGTAACTCTTTTCTGATATTTTGCTCCCTTGATATTTGATCATAGGTTTGGGGAGACTCCTTTTAGGAGAAGCATAGAATCTCCATCTGCATGGAAATCTCCCTGGTTCCTCAATTCTTTTTTGTCCAGTCCTAGGATTGACACAGAAATAACATTGGAGGTTTGTTTCTTGACACTCAATATTCAATAATGTGAATGTTTTGCCTTCTGTACTCTCATAAACAATTATAATATTTGTGTTGCATCTTTCCAGGATTTCAATTTCCTTTTTAGTCCTGGGGAGAGAAGCTATGATGCTCTAGGGTTGATGAAGCAATTAAGCGAGCAGACTGCTGGTACATTTGCAGATGCGCAGGAAATACTGGGAGACGAGACTCCTGAAAGTATACTCCGTGGAAGATGCTCCAAAATCCAGCAGAATGCCGATGATAGTTCTTCCATATTTTCATCTAATGCTTTGGTATGTATGCTTCTCCTCTTCACGTAGTTGAACTAATCAAGTTAGCCTAAAACGATACAATGAATCCAATAATATCAGTTGTGGTTATCGCTACTATTCCATTGGCACCATCATCATCACTACCACCATGTATTCTATAGCTGGTTTCTATGGCCTAGATTAACTTAGGTGTCAGGCACCCTTTGACAGCCTACATCTCTCTTATTTGAACGGATGCCTACCTCTTAGTCCCCTACGTATGCTAGGCCCCACTTGCCGACTGCCTAGGGCACATCTTTTTATTTTCCCCTTTATAGAACACTACATACGGAGTACTTTATAGCATCAAATGGTCAATAAGAGTTTCTCAAATCAGCTTAAACTTTAAAATTTATGTTTAGAACATCATTATTAGCACCTTAATCCCAACTAGCAACGCTGGTGGCATGCTGGCATTAAATGTATTTCCAATTAATAAAAAAACAAATTATGCAAAGAAAAAAATAATTAGCGGCAATGTTTACACCCGATTCTCTTCATTTGACAACCTTCATGCTAAAACATGGTTTTAAAATAATAAATCAAATGACAAATGCCCTTCACGTTGTAATGTTCTTCTTGATTAGTTGCTATTAGTAATCTCAAATTACAAAAATGGCATTGTGAAACCAAACGATACACCATTCAGAACGACCCGTACTGATCATTAAACTCACAATATTGTAAAATTGATCACAACATGCTCTCTTTCTATCATATTTCAATACAAATTTTTTCTTGAAATTTGTTGGTGGCAGACAGAGAGGCGGACACTTGATTTCAGCGAATGCGGGACCCCCGGTAAAAAAGCAGAAACTGGGAAAATCTCAAGTGGTGGTAGTGGCAGTGTTGTTTCGTCAAGCCCGTCGTCATACTTGTTGAAAGAATGCAGGTAGCTACCCTGGTGCCTCTCTGTTGTATCATACATATACTGTATCATAAAGAGTCATTATAATATACGTACGTGTGTGCGAATTTTCATTGAGTTTAACTAACTGGCTGTCAAAACTTCAAACATTTTTTGGGTTTTGGTTTATAAATTCATCATTACATGAAGATTTTTGGTTGTCAGCTGCATTTACTTTGGAACCTTTTGAAAATGTTGTGATTTAAGGGGGGTTCTGAGGGCTCAAAATTGTCTTATAACATGGGATGGTGAAAAGTTTGGAGTAACTTTTACCACTTCAAAGAAACACTATTTGTGTGATAACAAAAAATATTTCATTTCCATTTTTTTGTGTTTTTATATTTGTGTACGGAGATATGATTACATGAGCAACAACATAGCCACTTTAACCTTTTGATTTTACCATTAAATTAATTTTCATATTCTGAAACAAAAAAATCAAAGTGATGGATTCAAAGGGGTAGGGGTAGTACAAACTATCAAAAAGATTGAAGCTTGTAATATGACTTGAATAACTCAGAATTCAATCCCCCACCTGTTGAAGGAGAAGGTCTATTTATAACTCAGAATTCCCTAGGGGTTGACTTTGCCCAGGCTTGAGACGCCGAGGGGGGCCGTACGACGGGTTGATGGTCGTACGGACGAGACACGAGGTTCCAAGATAGATTCAACCTCGTCTCCCTCAAGCCTAGGGGGGGCGAGTGTATTGTATGGCTGAGCTCATCCTTACGGGCCTTTGGGGCACATGTCCATATCTCCGGTGAGGTCGTGCTTATTCCCTATGAGCTTGAGGGGATGAGCTCATATCTCCATCACAAAGTAAATTATGCTTCCACCGTCTCTAAATTACGGAGAATGTGTTTCTAATTGATTTAGAAGTTGTAGAAAATATATGAATCGTCTAGTATTTAATTTAAACAAAAGAATGAGAGGCTAATTTTGAAATAGATATAAGAGGAAATCAAGAAAATTAAGATGGTCATGTACAAACTCATGGTCGTGTTAAAAGTTAAATTTGCACTAAATGGTACTAAAACATATTATGCATGTCTTTTCCCAATGTACTTTTTATTGACTAAATAGTATTTGAACAATGTCCAGTAGCGGGAATAATGCTCAGTGGTAGACATTTACTTTGAACAATATCTAGTGACGGTGAACATTAACTTAAACTCATGTGGACATTAAACAATGGTACTACATAGAAAAATTTACTACTCTCTCCTTTCCAATTTAAATTGTCTATTTTAGTTTATAATATTTGATTGAAATTATTTTCAAACCATTTTATATGAAAAATGGTCTAGAATTAAAAACGAAAAATTACATATTTAAAAATTATATCAAAAGATCTACAAAACTAGTGGTGACAAGACTTAACTATTTTATCAAATGACTAACGAAAATATAGAAAAAAAAGTGAATAAAATTTTATCATTAAAATAGTAAACATGCAATTTAATTTGGTCTCGAGGGTGTGTATTTTTGTATTATATGGTATTACATTGAGAAATTTACTAGTCCATATTTTAGTACTTTATTGTTTATATAGATAAATTTCCCAAATTAAAAGCCAAGTAAAAACAATAAATTTAGGTGAAAAGTCATGAGCGATAATACACCTTTTTTGAACCATGTAGGAAAATATAAGAAAAACAAGCAGGTATATGACAACTTTCTTTAAAGGAAAATTCTATGGTGAATTTAAGTTTACTTATAGATTTACATATGAGCAAAATAAGCATTTTCTCATTACTTAAATGGATATTTTTTTCAAAAAAAACAAAAAAAATCATATGAGAAGATCCAGAAAAAAATGATATGCACTCAAGGTTCACCATAGAAGCACTCTTCTTAAAATGAAAATGTCACATAGACACAAATAGGATATTAAAATAATTACATCGCTTAAAATTAATATACCGAGCATATGAGACGACCCTGATAGGCATAGGAATACCAAAGAATAACAGGCATGAGAATTACAAATAATTTAAACTCGTTCATATGCAATACAATGCACAAATAGTAACAGGTGAAAATTGTTCACTTTCATTACTTATTTTTGTTATTTATTTGATAAAATAATGTAATTATGTCACACATCTTGTTCTATAGAACTTTTGATATACTACGTAATTTTTTAATTTGTAAATTTTATTCTTTGATCCTGGTCTATTTCTTGAATAAATTATGTTGGAAAGAATTTCAGTCAAACATCATAAACCGAGACTAGCCTCGTGACCCGTCATAATTGTTGATGCATAGATCGAATGGAAGTATAGAACCCATAGAACGTAAGACATAATTAACCACAAAGTAAAATATTTACTTAAGTGCGGCATATAATCGAGTTTAGCCGTCATGACAAAATATACTCCAAGTGTACATTCTGTTCATTTAGCCATCATTATTGGAAATTCTATTACTTCAATTACTATTTTATTAAATTTAAATAAAATTTCATAACTTATCAAAGTAAAAGAACTTTTGGTCTAAAGCCTGAATTGATAGAATATACCCTCTGGGAACTGAAAATTCTTACTAAAAATTCAAAGGTGCCCCTAACTATATTTCAAATAATGTGAGACCTGAAAATTATTACAATGAAATCGACCTAAAAGTAATTTTTGTCATAGGTAAAATTTAAAAACAAAAATTGTATATATTTGAGTAACAAACAAAAATAGGCAAAAAAAATAATTAAATTTGACCATGTGAATAATTACTGAGAAAGTTTTGTGGGACAGGTAGTCAATAACAATACAATTTCTACAAATAAAAGAACCAACAGAGGCTAATATAGGTAAACATATCACAAAAATTACTATCTCTAATCACCACATTGTAAGTAGAAAAATGGGGAAGGCTTTCACCTACCAACTTTCTGGACTTCACTCCCATTTCAAGGTTTAAAAATAATAGTAAAACATAATCTCATCCAGCTACAGTGCTTGACCCCCTCCCCCACCCCCCCCCCCTCAAAAAAAAAGACTCACATGAGAAATAAGTTACTCCAGAATAATCCTGTCAATTTTGGTCATCATGTTTTCCAGCTGCGCAATGAAAACATTTCATAGGTTACAAAGGAAAGAAAATTTATAGGGGAGAATAAAAATCAGAGATTGAACTTGTCATTGATTACAAATGCACATAACAAGAAATTCATCAATTACATGTAAAAAATATATAATATACAAAAATAGACATTGGTAAAAACTAATCCAATCCAAAATCAAATTTAAAATAAAATGGCTGATAAAAAATATTTGACAAAATTTGACAAAAGATACAGACAAAATACCCAATAACAAATTTGACAAAATACCAAACAAAACCAAAGAAACCTGACATTCCTCCCAAGAGGAAATCTTGGTGGTGCAAGATATACACAATCTTACATTCTTACCTCCAAGGTGAAGCGAGTAGATAAATGGTCTCTAAGAGGGACCAGAAAAACAGTGACTTGTATATTAGACCAAATAGCATTGCTAGAGAATAGGGTTGAAATATACCTGGACAATCTGATGCAAGAAGAAATCCCCATATTGCTTAGATGGTTTGGATTCTACGACATGAATCATTTCCTGAAACGAAGAAAAGGTTCGACGGACTCAAGTATTGTGCACTAGCTATGATAATAATATGTTAGAATAAATTGGATCCTGAAGAAAATGTGGAGTACGTTTTGGATACTGGCGTTAAAGGTTAGATATCAAAGTTTCACAATAATGACATATTCCATCCTTTCCGAAAAGATAGAAAAAGTTCAGCTTTGCGGAGTTAAAGAGAAGGGTTGAAAAGTGAAAAAAATATGAAATTAATTTGGGGCAACCCAAAGAGAAAAGTGATACGATCTTTTTGGGATGGACAGAGTAGATTATAGTGCACAAGATGCCAAAAGTAGTTCATGGAAGGAACATAATAAAAGGGTTCATTACTTTTCATCTTTGTTTCCGTTTAAAAATAACAGACCATATTACTTATCATCAATTAAGATAGATCTGTGAAAATAGATTACTCCTCAGTCTCCAATAAATGATTGTTTAAGAAAATGTTACAAAAAGGCTAATATTTGATTTAAGTAATGAAACAAAGGTAATTTATATGTAATTTGTATAAAAAAAGAGTCATGAAGCTAAATATTAAAAATGGTCAAACTAAAAAAAATAGAAGGATAAGTAGCATTAATGATTATATTAACAGGACACGTGGTGTAAGGTTAGGAATGGTACTCACGTCATCAATAAAGAAATCTAGGTCGGCATTGGAGAATATTTTTCCTTCAGAGTCAACAGAGTGCGTTTTGTGTTTGTATGTCATCAGAATTGTCCTGAGAGAACAAACCTAGACATCTCAGAAACATCATAAACCAAAAGCGCTTTGGATGAATTAGCAAAACTACAGTTCTTCAATGTTCTAACCTCAAAGTAGCTTCATCAACTTGCATGTAATTTGCAAGTTTTCCTAAGGAAATAGTAGAATATACTTTGAGGTAGGTCCTGACACCTGACAACAATTGCTGCTGCTTCACTTCGTACAGAAATAACTTCAATTGCAGCCTATAAGCATCCTGGACAGCAACACCATGATATAAATTTGTTACAATCAAATAATGAGATTATTTCCATTTGTTATGGCATAAAATAGGCATACTAGAGTGGCCACAATCACATATACTTATTAGATGATGAACATGAGCTCACATTCATACATGTGCACAATGGGGGCAGGGTCTTTAAAAAAACAAAGTTGAGAGAACCTCGTAAAACATTGTCAATTGGAAAAAATAACTTATTTATATTGGCAGTGAGTATTGAAAATCTGTCATAAATCTTCATGAACATACAAGTTATTACTTCTTTTACGTTGTTAATTTTTAATAGTAAACATCATGGAATACAACATGCAATATAATGGAATCTCCATTCCAACGTGTGTGTGTACGCAAAAAACACACATACCACCAAGCCCAAAAAACTACCCAACTACCCTAGTCCTAGATCTTCACATGCTCATATCTAAGGTCATCAACTGTTAGACTACTTCTAATACTACGTACTCCCTCCGTCCCATTTCAATTCAATTTATTTGAAAATTGGTGGCGTTAAAAATAAAAATTATATATTTAAAAACCACATCAAAAGTTCTACAAAACAAGAGATGACCCAGGCGATTGCGGATGATATAACGAGTAAATATGTTCCTCCCCACGTCAATATTTTTTACTATTTAGGTGGAATTACCCTAACGTGTTTTTTAGTACAAGTAGCTACTGGATTTGCTATGGCTTTTTACTACCGTCCAAATTTGCGATTGGTTTCTGAACCCATTGAGATGACCCAAGAATTTCGCTATTTCGATTTTGCTAGTCCTTGGGAACAGCGTAGCAACGGATAATTGAGATAGGTTCCAGTCCAGGGGACAAATCAATAGGAAATGAAAGAGTTTCACGGGAATTGTCTTGATCGTCGGATATCAAGACTAGGGATGTAAATGAATCGAATATTTTTTGTTCGATTCTTGATTCGTATTCGTTTAAGTTGATTCGTATTCGATTTTTTCAAATCCGAATACGAATCTGAATAAATATTCGAATCCTTATCGAATACGAATATGAATCAAGGGTATTCGATTCGTGAGTTTGACAAATATATTCAGAATATAAATCTAATTATACAAATTATATATATATATATATATATATATATATATATATATATATATATATATATATATATCAAATGGTTATAAAATATTTTAAAATCTAAATGAACTGAATATTTTTAAACGAACCGAATATATTTAAACGAATCGAATATTTAAACGAACCGAATATGTTTAATATATTAAACGAACTGAATACGAATCTTAAAAAATATTCGAACCGAATTCGAATTCGAATATCACTCCATCTTAACGAATATGAATATTTTTCATGAATATTCGATTCGGTTCGATTCGTTTACAACCCTACCCAAGACTATATTATTTTCTCAAATGGGTACCGAAAATGGGTAAAGAAAATGGTTAAAGTTTGACCTTGTGAATAGTACATAGGCAAATTAAAGGGGAAAATAACTAAAAGTCACTGTACCACTAAACACACACACACACACATTAAGTTGTGAGAGAGAGAGGGAATGCTATCATAAGGCATGCCTGATCAATTGTGTCACACACATAAGCACCCAATCTTTAGATTCATTGGCGCAATTGACCAAATCAAGATCTAAAGGTTGAGAGAATGGGAGCATGTCTTCATGATAAAATTGGTCAAGAAGGCTTGATGAAATAACTCTTCCACACACCGATATGTTTATATCATTTTTATTTCTTACTTTTTGTTCAATTTCATATTTAATTATTTATATCATTTTTATGTCTTATTTTTGTTTTAAAATTTTTATTTAATGTTTTGTTATATTTATTTTATGTTTTACTTGAGGCTCTAAGTCGTATCATAGACTCAAGTTGGAGTGGTTTGCTCTTCCGTTTTGGTTAGCTCTCTTAGGGTTAGCTAGGCTAAGTGGCGTGTTACTTTGTCGCTCTTTTGTAATATGGGTAGTTTTTCTCCTCTCTTGAATTTGTTTACCTTCATTATTATTTTGTAATGTAGTAATTTATCTTTTGTTCTTAAGTAGAGGTGGTATGGAAACAACCTCCAACCTTTTTCTCGTTAGGGGTAAGGTATGCATACATCCATCCCCAAGTCCCAACTCCACTTGTGGCGGGTTAGGTTTTATGCGCCTCCGTTTGTCATATTCATATTCATGTAATCAATCTCTCACTTTTATTCCCTAATTTTGGGCATCAAGTTTTTATCATATACAAAAAAAAGAAAAGTATATCCCATCAACCAAATAACTCATAAGGGCTATTAATAGAATGCAGCTGAACCATATGAAATTAAACTATGTATAAATACCATGAGGAAATAATAACATTATAACTCAATATTCTAGAGTACCTGGTTGTAATTTACAAGAGGCTCTTCGAAACTTGGGGCAGCAGGAGTAATGAACTTAGGGCATGCATACGAGAAGAGTTCATCATAGAGAGTAAATGACTCATCATCATATCTTTGCATTTTCATCATCTTGTCCCCATATTTCTCCCTTAACTGAGAGTTCACAGTCTCCTCTACAGTCTTCATTTGAGGGCAAAGACACAAACAGATTGCTAGTAAGGCATACATCTGCTCATTCTTCTTTAGTATTTGCTCGTATTGAGAAGATTTCTGGTGCTCTTGCTTATTTTTGTAAATATATAAAAGGATGTTGTTGAATTTTTGGATGGCATCCACGTACCTGCAGGGTGGCAGTGGGGAGGGGAGGTGGGAGGGAGATAGTTCAATATTGGGAGATTTACACAAAAATATTTATTTTATAATTAAAGAACATTTTGCATCAAAATGTGCACGCACACGGCACGCACACGGCACACACATACACACGCCCAAATACACCACATACCTCCTGAGCATAAGATTAGCAAAGCCATAGTGGTATATTATAGCAATGTAGCTTCCAATTACAGTGTCATATACACCTTGTTGTGTTATGTCAATGGGGTGTACGCACTTGAGGCCAGTATGATAATCACCCAACAAGCAATGAACCCTAAGCAGGCCGATCATACTGAAATATCCCAAAACCTTCAAGACGTTACTTCCACCGTTGTAATCATATCCATCAGTCGAAGTAAACACTTCAAGTCCTTCTTTTTCCCTCTCCAATATTTGGATAATAGTGGACTTTTCAACAAGCGCTTGTAGATAGTTAAGCACACCATATACATTCCATGCCTAGACAAAATTTTAGGGAGATGAAAAATCTTTCCACATGTGTAAACAACTAGAAATTTAAAAATTGAAAATATAAACTACAACGCCTCCATATCAAATATGTGTCTTAATGAAACATTTACAAGTTCATTAAAAAATGTAATTCACTTCTATGATTTGTATACACTCCCTCAGTCCCTCACAGAGAACGAAAATCATGCTAACATACTGGATCTCAAACTAGGTGTTCTAGTTTTCCTAGGCAATGATAGAACAGATCCAAGTGCATATTTAGTCTAGTAACAAATGATTAGTTGTCTACTCTTCCAAGAATAGTTATAGGAACCTTCAATCCTCCACTTATCACAAGGAAAAAGAACACGAAAACAGAAAGACTGAAATTGGTATACAAATTCATCTATCATATCCTGCTCAGACTTGCCAAGAGCAATACCTGATCATACTGCTTCAGCAATGCAATCTCCTGCTCAGTCTTGTTCTGCATCTTGGCACGGTATTGGCAGAAAGACTGAAATTGGTATACAAATTCATCTATCATATCCCACAACCACTTGTTTGGCAGTTGCATGTTTACGACTCCATGTAGCACCACCTACAGCCAATCACAAAAGGTCAATGGTTAAGCATCATTTGTCTCAACAGGACAATACAAAAGGTAATAACCAGTCAACACAGTTAATAAGACCTGTGAGAAGTACAAAAATGATAGAGAAGATTAAAATTCAGCACTTTGTACCAAATGCCAAGTCTAGCATAGTAGCATCTACCCACAATTTTGTGAGGGCCAAGGGGACACACGGAAACACGTGACAAACTATAATCCATTGACATTAACACAAAAGTTCATGTAATGGTCACACTCTGATTTAATGTGCCACAAATAATAGACATGAAGATAATTAAAAGATTGAGTAGAACTAAAGGTGTAGGGAAATAGGCAAGGTTGTTAAACTCGATATCCTAGCTAGGATCAGTTGGGGATTAGAGGATCATTAAACGTGGATCATAACTCAAATCCTATGACCCTAGAGTAGCATTTAATATTGAAAATATACCAGTATAAAACAAACTATACATGTGTAAAAACTCAAATTTAAAACAAATAGCCATAAATAATAATCATAACGCTGGAATAAACAGTACTCCCTCTGTGTTTTCATCCAAAACTAATTTCATCTGTGTTTTCCCAGTTGCCATAATACCCAAATTTGTAAAGATTTAATTAAAAGAAAATAATTGAAGTCTCTGAAGATCGAAGAAGACCAATGTCTTGCACACTGCAGATGGATTCTGGCGAGAAAATTGAAGTCACTGAAGACTTCAATCACGGAGTTATATATGCATGCTACAGTTCTCTAAGACACAACCTATCTGCTTCGTAAATCAAATGACGACTTCACAAGCCAACCAGTTCTCAATCTTTCTTCAGATCGAATCGGACGGCAATCCTACGATTCGACGATCCAGCTCGGCGACCTGAGTGAGCCGAGCCTTTTCCGATCGAAGACACATTGGATCGTGCACGAGTATTCTTGTGTCTTTCTATCGATCACTAATGTTGCAAAACACTAAAATTCCAACAAAAGAAAAAACTTAAATGAGCCAAGACTTGATAAACAGTGTTTGCAAACACACAAAAAACAGAATATCATTTCCTCCAAAACTTGACCTTTTTCTAAACTTGACCTTTTTCTAAAACAACTAGCACACGTATTCAATGGAACTTAGAGGTGGTGTTGGGAAAGTATCATTCTATTACTAATGCAAACCAATAAGTGCATGAATAAAGATGTGAAGATGGTACATATTCCATAATAAAAAAGGGATAGACCTGGAATAAGGAGCAGTAATTGTCCCAGGAATCGATGCGCTGTTTGAGAGTCGGGGAGAGCCGAGCATAGAGGTGGCGAAACCACATTTCCCGGTAAAGCAGGCAGAAAACATGGTCGTTATCGACGTAAGGCGCGACGGCGTCGACGGAGGGCCAGGGAGTGTCCTTGAACATGCGCTCACTGAGGCTTTGGAAGGAAGTCTCGCACATCTGGTGGATCTCGTACACGTTCTTCTCCCTGATATGCCTGTACAGATGCCCCACGAACGACTTCACCGGGTCGGGTACGAAGCTCGGGTCGTATGAGTTGGGTGCGGCGTCCGAATGCGGATGTTTGGCCACCGAGTAGGCGTCGTCATCGTAGGAGAGTGAAGTCGCCATTGCCGATCGAGGTCTCAGATCGTCGCCGCTTATCTTCCTGCGAAACTAGGGTTTATCACCCTATCAATCGAAGAAGACGAGGTCTGAATCTGGAGTGAGTTTCCACTTTTTTTGAAGCTTCTAACATGGTGAGCCCAAACTTATTGGGCCTTGTAAATACAAACGCCAGCAGATCTAACACAAAAAGTCCAAAGCTATAATTACTGAGAAATACGGAGTAGATTTTAAAATGACGCATTTTTACTTATTTTATTTTAATATTTACCTTCTGTCCCATTATTTTTGGAATATGAGAGAGTTGTAAAAATATTAACATAAATAAAATTAGTGGTATATATTGATATTAATAAATAATAATGGAATAAAAAATATAATATAAACAAAATAAGTAAATGACTGGACACCACAAAAAAAGTACAGAGTAAATGATAGGGCTTGTTGGACTGATCTATTTTCAGCACACTAGAGAAGGATGCATCATTTTGACTAAGTTAAGTGCATATTGAAGATAAGAGTTGTGAGGTTTTGGTCACTGATGAAAGCATAAACGGACAATGGAAAAGTTACTTCAATGATATGTTTAATGAGGGACATGTGAATCTCTCATGCCTCGATCGGCTACACACGAGAGAGGAGGATCAAAACTTCAATTATTATTAGAGAATTTGATAAATTAAAGTTAATGAGATCCTAAAATGGATAAAGAATAGCATAACGGTGAGCCTATACAACATCGTGGTTACCATTTGAAAAGAATTAGGAGGAAAAGGCATTGTGTAGCTAACTAAGCTTTTTAACGAGATTCTATGATTTAAGAAAATATCTAACGAATGGAGAAAGAAGATTTTGGTCCTTATTTACAAGAATAAGGGGATACTCAGAGTCGTGGAAACTATACAAAGATCAAGCTCAAGAATCGTACTTTACAAATATGATTTCTGATTTCTCCCGACATTAGAGGCAAACACATATGATTTCTCCAATTTTACAAGTGTGATTTCTGATTTCTGATTCTATGTCAAATTGTTTGGAGTGGGTGGCCGTCACACAAGATTGTATTTGTGATGCTTTGCACTTTAACATAATAAATTAATGAAGAGTTCTTTTCAAAAGAAATTGTTAAAAGTGTTAATAGAAGACATTATAAAGAATGTAAGACATCAGGACTAATATTACATGCATTAAACCATGTGCAATCAATCAAATTCATATTTAAAAAAACATTGCAACATGAAAATCATCATCCCCAAACATTGCATAACCTCTAAATTAAAATATCCTTAACAACAACAAAAACAATGACAATCACCATCTATTTTCAACACTTTGCTCGCCTTCCAGCTTCCTTCTCGGCAACCAATACATAGAACTCTGCATCAAGCATCTCGTGCACATCCAAATTCAACGAATGGCTCAAGCTGACGGTCTCCAACAACACCTCAACATATCTCATGAACCCTAACCTAGACAACACTCTAACGGCGTTTTCCATTCTGCATATGTGTGCCATAATTTGAGGAGAAACATAGTTTTCCCCTTCTCCTTCATCAAGGTTCATGGGTGTGCTACATTTGGTGGTATTTGGTTGTAAAGACACATTCAATAATTGATCTTCTGGTGCGTCAACTTTTACATCGGCGTGTTCCCCAATCCAAATGAAGCCATTGCAGCCAAGTATCAAGTCAATTCCATACTGGTCTAGATGGTGGAAATGCATTATATTGCTTCTTCACTAGATAGGGCGAAACTGGGACAACCATACCCTTCTCTAACTGCAAGATCATTTAAATGGTGTCACTAAAGTAACTTGATGTTGTTTTTTTTAATTCTAAAAATAAAAATATAAAGCTTTTTCATATATAAAGTTATGTGTCTTAGGAAATGTGTGCCATGTTATTGATTATTTATCGAAATCAATTTCCAAATACAAGAAAGGAAATTGCAAGCTAATATCCCAAAAATGTGAGATTTTACATAAATACTCCAAAGATAATATAATACTCCAAGAGAATTTTTAGCTTACATTGATCTATCAATTTTTAAGGTCTGTCTATGGATAATATGTAATTTTGGAGTATTCATATAAAAAAAATTTAAATCCTCGGAGAACTAGTGATAGTTATGTAATCTTGGAGTATTCTCATAAATATTAAAATTCCATGACAATTATAATGATTTTTTTCAAAAAGAAAAATTAATAAAATAAAAGACAAACATTTCCATACTTTTGGTTTCGAATTTGCAGGTGAATACTTCTACCATTACTCTTTTCATCACGGACTTCAGCCTGTATATCCCTCAAAAATTATAAAGGGGAATTAAAAAAAGGTAGATCAAATGAGTTAGGGTCTGTTTGGCCTATTCAAAGCGTTTGAAGTTAAGTCCATCCTCAAAAAAAACTTTTATGAAAAAAAAATACTTTTTTAAAAAAAATGCCAAACATATGAATTCAAGTTTGAGATTCCTTAAAAGCACTCTTGGAAACTATCCCTAGCTGCTAGAAAGAAGTGGGGGCATACTTACACAAATAATGTCATTCTCCTTGAAGACATTTCTCATGTTTAGCTCATCAACTGCAGTACGTCGTCTCTGAAACAAAACGAGATGTTTGCATACCAATGACCCTAGACAGAGTTTACAAACATGGGTGAAGTTTTTTACAAGGAAAAATAAGAAAACATGTTTTCTTTCATTTTTTGCCACGGAACTCAAGTAATAAAAGACCGGCCAATACCTGAATGCCATCTGGAAAATCCATAGAGGAAGGCATCAGCACCACATCTTGGCTAGAGTTTATCTCCACCCTCCAGCTCTTTTCAGCAACCTTTCAATAATTTAGAGAAATCACGTGAGAAAAATTATACATATTAAATAAAAATGTATTAATACTTGGAGACTTGGGGTGTGTTTGTTTTGGAGCCATCCATACACACAATGTACGGAACCTAAAGTCCAATAAAGCGTGTACATTTAAAGAAAACCATTGAAAACATAGTGGAAAACTCCCAACAACCTCAATCACTCGGCCCACAATGATGTCATTTTTAACCAGTTCTCGTATGTTGTACTTATACTTACAATCATCGAGAATGAAAAGGAAATAAATTCATACTACACATTGCAAATGAATAGCAATAATTATCTTAGAGTGAATTCTCAAAATCGTCTTTTTTAATAAGGCATTTTCCCAAATCGGTTCTCATTTCCTCAATACGCAATAATTACTCATGTCACACTTCATGATTGAGATATTTTCCCTCGATAGTCCTCAATAAACAATAATTATATACTTGGTACTTTATAATTAATATTCTTTCCCACAATAGCCCTCTGACATTCGGGGTGATAATATAATTATAACATCAGATGGGTGATTTGGAAAAATATTTAATTCAAAAACAGTATTTTGAGAATATCTTCATAGTTTAGATGATGAAAAATACTAAAATGCAAAAAGTTAATAATCATTTGATGGACATTTTTTATATTGAGGACTACCAAGAGAATAAATCGCAATTATAAAGTACCACATAGGTAACTATCGCTTAATAAGAACTGCTCTTGGAAAACACCATATTATAAAGGATCATTTTAGAAATTTACTCATAATCCTATTCATAACACAAACCTGGATCTCAAAGATCTTACAGAAACAAGATTGTCAACCCATTCAGCAACTCCACATCGAGTTGCCACAATATGGCCATCCATCTCATACGCCCCATGCCCACTTCACACAACAATCAGTTTTACAAAAAAACAATGAGAATAATAAACCAGCCGTAACTTACAATATACTTTGTAGCCTATAACTAACACACACACTCCCTAGACCCTACAATATGTGGTATTCTATTGGATTTGTTATTATTGGAATTTACCTAAATAGAACTAAAACATAATGACTTTCTCAATATAGGATCATATGTTTTTATTTCTCAATGTAGGATCATTGGTCATTATCCATTAGTCATTATTCAAGTAAGTGTCCACCATCACTGGACATTATTCCTCTCTCTAGACATTATTAAGTCCTATTTAAGGAATAAAAATGTTTAAGTCCTACATTGAGAAATGGCTTATGTTTTAGTGTTATTTACTACAAATTTTTCTTGTTATTATTATAAGGTACCAGTTTGAATCATATGCAAACACAAACATGCATATATGAACATATACCGGATTGCACGGGGAATCTATGTGGGATCTAAGAACAAAGAGTATACACACATATTTGGAGCCCCAATTTTGCAGTTTTAATGGGGACAATGTCGGAGACAGCTACTATAAAGGCATCTGAGTTGAAATTTGATGAGAATGAATTCAACAATTCAAGTGCTCTATCGAGCCTTATCTTCTGTGTTTTGTTGAAAGAAACTCGTGGACCTCTCATTTTTGACACTGTAATATTGAGGGAAAACCTATATGCAATAACATAGGCTCACCTTGTGTTAGTAACAAAGGCAGGCTACTCATTACAAAGTCCAGTGTAATAATATTGTACTCTTATAACTTCTACATTTGCGGTTTATCTATCTCTACAGCAAGTAATGTTGTTTCATTTGCACATCAAAACTAACTCAAGAACGGAAACAACAAGCGAAATGAGTGTGGGCTCTTAGGTAAAGAAAAAACCCATGTTTGACTGCTAAAGTGTCTATCAAATGTTTATAACTTACTCTGCCAGGTACACGTGACATTGATCACCAATGGCATGCTATGACTCTATGACAAGGGCTCCAATTGGGATCTTTCCGGGCTCCATTCCAAAAATTGAAAGTTTCTACCCTCTAACCTCTTCAACCCCTGCCCGCCTCAATAATTACTGTAGCCAACCAGCGAAGAGGGGGGGCTGGAGATGCAAGGGACGGGTAGGGATTTTGGAGGGTAGGAACCATGATTTTTTTGAACGGAGCACCCTACGAGCCTCGGGTCATTCCATAACATTGGTCATTCCATAACATTGGTGATCGATGTCACATGAGCCGTCCTCCAATGTACTTGGCAATTATGACAGAATCATGTGATTCCCTGATCCCAATTATCTCCGATAAAATTCAGCAAATTCTAAACTCAAAAATATGTAAATTTTTTTAATACATGCATTGAATTTTCTTCAAACTTGAAGCTATTTGCTTCGTCATAAAAAATAAGGAGTAATATATTAATTCAAAATTCTAAAACAATAGTGTAGAATAATATAGGTTTAATTATATCCTAGCAAACTAGTTTAAGAGTGCTAAGAAAATCTTTCTGAAAAATTGGAATGGCCTTGCGAATAACATTCTATAACTGTTTCAGAACAATTAAAATTAGGGCAAGCTAATTTTCAATGCTCAAAATCATGGAGAATATTCGATGAAGGTTGAATCAGCGAAGTCGGAAGAAGGAAGTACCTGGCTTGGATGAACTTGGAAGAACAGTGGTTGAAAATTGAAATGGTAGAAAGTAGAAACTCCCAAATTCAAGTTAATAAAAATTTCTTTTTTGGTTTCCTATTTTTGCAACAAAATTAATTTTAAGGAATACTGAATATATTATTCACTTTATTCCATCACGTCAACAGGTAAACATGATTTTTTTATACTTTTTAATACTCCGTATATTTTAATTTCCATATCAAGTCAAACCGAAAAAAAATTTATTGAACAAAAGGAGTAATGCATATTTATTTTTCTTCTAAATAGAATTTAACTTGTATTAATTCAAGAATGACAACAAAAATTTGGAACTGGAAGAAACTTGGAGATTGATGATTAAGGAAGAAACTAGAAGGAACCAGAAGAAACTGGAGGGAACATTAAGATTCTAAAAAAACTAATAGTTAAGAGTTTAAGCTCTAAAGAATATGATCAAAATTTGCTTCCGCATTCTAATTTTAAATTGAGCAAAATAGTTTTACTATTTTCAACCACAATACACTACCATAGTAGTAGTAGTACCATTAGTCCATTATATTTGAAGCCTTTTTTTATTATGCTCATTTTATTATAAAAAAAATCGAAGTTGTTTATTGTTCCTACATCATCCCTTACCCACGGTAAACTCGCAACTCAGCCCGTCTGAATGCACATCTCAATTTGCACCCCTTAATTTTGTTGATTTTTTAATCATATAGCCAGTGCTATAACAGAATTTTTGTTGATTAATTTGACACCAAAGTCAAGAAACTTCGGGAGGCGTAATTAGAGGAATGTATTAGGGACCAAACCGGGTTAGGAGGATTTAGAGAAAAGGTTAGGTAACACGTGAACCATCAATTTTATGATCAAAGTAACGTAAATGCCCTAATTGATATGATACCATAATATGGCATTGATTATCAATGTCCAAAGTACCTAACTAAAAAATGTTAATCTTATTGTGAAAATAATCATTTTATACATATGAACAATATTCATTTGTAGCTGCAAGATCCAGATGTACAGTATGCCTATTCTAAATTTTGACCATGTGTAAATTGACTTCATTATTGTAAGAGGCAAATTATATTCTCCTTTTATATATTTCATTAATCATCGATAAAATATGGATCGATCAGTGATATAAACTCCTGCTCAGTATATATAGAGCTGTCGAGTGGTAATGCCTCGCTCAACTTCAGGTCCACCATGTGGTTGATTTCTCGACTCGGTACTCGTCATCCCAAGGAATGGATTCCAAAGTTCTGCTTGGGCAAAAGGGCTAATGATCGGAATCACATTTGGTAGAAGTGGTGATGCAAGTCTTCTTCAATGGGAGATCAGAAGATCAAGTTCGTTCCTGGGTAGAATTGGTCCGAGACATAGTGGGCACTTCCCGGTACTCGTCGGGTTCGTCATCCTCGTCAGAGGACAAGAAAGATGGGCCCATCCATGCCTTAAAACCTTCGTGTATGCGTCTCTCTGTATCTGGGGTGATTTCAACAGGATGAGCTTCCAGCATTTCTAGCCCAAGATTGTGCCCAGCGAAGTCACCTTCATCTAGATTTACAGGAGCTTTTCTTTTCAAGAAGAAGGCTGTTCCTGCGTAAAGAATCACCAGCCCACACGACGTGATTTCGTAACACCAGAACAAGGGCACAGAACAACTACTCCCAAGAGTGAGCAGCGTTGAGCCAAGAAACAGAGCCAGAGTTCCAAATATGATGGCAAATAAGGTGTTGAGAATCGATAAACATCTCACTCCACCTGTCATTAAAAACATGGATTAGTAAAGTAAAATAACAAATACAGAACAAGCACTTACCCGTCTAAGAAAAAGAGTTATGTTTGGTCAAGTTGCAAGTTTAAAAATAAATGGAGAGGTGCAAGTGTGCAACTCCATCATGAACTCCTATTTATATTTTGAGAATTTATTTTAAGGTTTAACTGAACTCTTATTACACTCCCTACGTCTCATAAAAAGCGTCAAGTTTCTTGACATGCTTTTACAAAAGTAAGACTGCATACCTCTTGACCCTCCAGAGTGCAACATAATTGAGTTAAATATACTAGGTTTGTTGTTGTTAATTATTGACATGTTTTTTTACCCAAAAAGGAGTCATATCTAATGAAAAGAAAATAGTTTTCATGTTTTATAATGGTTATACCTTACTTAAAATTGAAACCATGCTCTTTTTTCATGGGGAAGGACAAAAAGAAAAAGATGATTATTATTAGGGACTGGAGGAGTAATAAGTATTAGAAAGGCCATTTATCCTCAATTGAGCCAGAAAAGCAACTTCTCATATGATAACAAAGATTAGTCGGGCAAGCCACTAAAGGAGACATTTGGAAATGGCATGCATTCGAATTGAGCCATTGAAGCATCATAACAAAATATGAATTCCACCATTTGGGATAGTGATAAAAAAAACTTATGAAAAGATACCTCTTCTAGAAGCACAATAGTTATTTTCAACCACCTTCAAACATCCATGCCTTCTAGGAGCAGAATAAGCAACAAATATTCCTGCAGTACGGCTACATTCAGTATCCATGACAAACCAAACAACAAATCTAAACACAAAGAAATTTGGATTTTGCGTTATTATGCATCGACCCATACTAAGTGACATTTCTCTAATTTAGTGGATGCTTTGTGCCATGGGCTGCCCTATATGAATTTTCTCTCTTTCTCTCTAATCTCTATGGTTTCTAGGCATAGATGTCTATAGAACAAGTAAAAAATTTACAGAAACACTCTATCTGCAAAACCAACCTATTCCTGGCCTAGAACAACATCCTAATCAGGTATCTTGTTTGCAAATGCATGGGAATTATTCTACAAATATCATCCTCTTAAGGCAAATAAACAGAGATCTAAGTGAACACGATCATGTAGCACCATATCTCTGCCTAACTAAATGAGTCTAAGTGAAATAAACAGTTCTGGAGCTCCATTGAGCAGCTACTTTAATCTTAAGCCCCGTTGGAAATCTCCAACGAACCCATCCGAAAATAATGAAAGAATTGTGTGCATCCCAAGCAATTTGACAACATCCACTAAATCAAACTAACAATCAACCGAGAAACGGTTCAAAATCATTGCTTCTTAAGAATCTGGTACCTGCAACTAAATACACTGCAGAAATGGCGAAAAAGACAAATGATGGCATAAACACAACCATCCAATAATAATCCACAGTCTCCTGATTGGTGAGGTAAAACGCCCCAAAACCCAGATCAGAGTCCCCGCCCCCGCCGCCAATCGTGGCAGTAGCTGAGGAGGCGGTGATATTGATAGAAAGCGGCTGAATCCTCAGGTCCCCGCAAAACGGCCGCCGAGCCGGATCTGCCGGGAACACAATATTGAAGCTGATCAGAGTGGAAACCAAGACCGCGGTCGCGATTAGGGTTACAGAGAGAAAAAGGAGCGGCTTACGTAACCGGAGCCACGCCTTATCCTCCTGCCGCAGACTCTCGTACTCGTTCTTCGGCATGAACGCTTGCCGGAGCGCATCCCCTATGATCGCCATTCGCGGCAAAGGATCTGGGGATTTAAAATTGGAGAAATCGATTTAATCCGCAAGTCTTGTGGATCAAAAATCATCGCCGGCTCATCTGCGCGGAGAATCGGAGACTATTATTCCTACATTTTAAGCCCTCCGAGTTCAAAAAATTACTCTTTTTTTTAATATTTTTTATGAAATTATTTTTGTAAGCAAAAAATATCATAAATAATTCCGTCTTTTCGCATTTTTCAAAAATAATTTCATTTTTCAATATCATCAAAAATAATTCCACATTTCTACATGTGTGCGAGTTTTGAGTCGCCGTTAAAATGGTAACGACCACTTAACAAAATTTTTGAAAAAATATTACATTAAACTTTTAATAGAGATTTGTCTCATTTTTTTTTTAAAAAATACTCCCTCCGTCCCAAAACGATCGTTACGTTTCATTTCTTTGCGCATCCCTTAAAATATTTTTATATCGTCTAAAATGCCAAAAAACATTTAAAACAATTTCATCTTATAATAAAGAGTAAATATGATAAATTTTAGAAATTTTAGATGTGAGTAGCATTGCTTTTTGTGATGCGCAAAGAAATGAAACGTAACGATCTTTTTGGGACGGAGAGAGTATAACAATTTACAAATTTTGTTTTCTCCTCTGGGAAATATAATATTGGATTATCAAAAAATAACTCAAAGTATCGCTTGGGAAAGAAAATGCAATACAAGAAAATTGTACTGAGTTATAAAAATAGTTAGTGCGGTTTTGGAGAAAAAAATATTTTACCATTTTTCATAACTTTTGAATTATTGTTTCAGAGAAAAAATTTGTATTGAATTATCGAAAAAAATACAATCTAGGTAATTCAATTCAAGAATAAGTAATACGGGTAATATAAGATTATCAATAAACATTCTGAAGCTTTGTTCATGAAAAAATTACATACGACAAAAAAATATAGTGAGTTATAAAAATAAAAGTTCTATTTCAGAAAAAAATTGTTGTGTTATTTTCAAAATTGTTGTAATGTTGTTTTGTAAAAAACATTTATATAGAACTATCGAAAAATATTTACAAGTTTTGTAGTGTCATTTTTTTAAAATAATAACAGTGTAGTATCAAAAAAACTATTCGAAGTGTCACTCAAGAAAAATAATTACAACTTACAAAAAATGTAATGAGTTATAAAGTAAATAAGTTAGCTCCATTGTGTAGAATAATTTATTATTCAATTATTATCAAATTTATCGATTATTGAAAAAAATAATTAGTTTCACTATAATAAACACTTAAATTTGGTATTATTTATAAAAATATTTTTTTTAAAATATATTTAAATTTAAAGTTAGAAATTTAAAAAAATGAAAAAAGAGAATTTACTTAAAATAATCCCGTATTTAATTTATTTACGAACAACATGTAGTTTCCAAAAATTCCGTTAAGTTGCCGTTAGCTTTTTAACGACGATCCAAAACTCGCACACATGCAGAAAGATGAGATTATTTTGCGATGACACTGAAATGTAAAATTATTTTTGAGAGACCACAAAACGGTGGAGTTATTTAAGATAATTTTCTCTTTTTGTAATAGTAATAACATAGGGAGGAGCACTCCACTGACACTACCCAGCAGTGCACTAACGGTGCCACTGTGGTTCATACCCCCTAACTCATCCACTAAACCCCCTCAACCTCGTCCATATCTCCCACCCTATGCTTAGGAGTGAGGCAAGGGTGGAGGGTTTAAAGAGTGAGTTAAGGATAGAACCCAAATTGTAGTGACGCCATGATTGACATTGTTGACCAGTATCAACAGAATTCCACTCATAATATACTTTATACAAAGTATAGTAAAGACGTATTGACGTCGTGACAAAGAGTCACTCCAAGCTTTTCAACATCTGCTGCTCGAGTAAGCGTTTAAGAGGTTGAGGTCATTAGATTGAGCAAATACTACACCGATGAATATTGTAGCTACTAAAAAAGATACAGGGTACAAAGTGAAAAAATTATTACTCCGAATTTACTTTGTAATCAATTATCAAATTTTATTCAGAATGATTTGGAAAAATCAAATTGAAAAACATACTCGATAAAGAAAGATAATACAAAGTAGATGTTGAAAACTCTAAGATGAATACTCGTTTTCAAATAACGTCACCAGCATAATTATGTCTTACATGTTAATTCTTTTGTCATTGGTCGACAATGCTACAATATACGTGGTAATTTGAATTAGATTCATTTGATATCTCTTCTAACTCCATACCAGAATTGAGGCAGAAAATGAAGACGGGAAAAGAGGAAAACCAAAAATCTTAAATTTCATATAAAAAGGGAGCCTATCAAGGAGTATATTGTAAAATCCCCGAACTCTACCATCATTTTGGTGGTCGCACATAGATATGGTTGAGATGTTTTTCTTGATGTAATATAGTAGTGGTCTGATTTTCTGTTTTTCATATTTGTTGTAAGACAGTGCTAATTTTCTATTTTTTTGTATTTGTTGCAAGACAATGCTATTATGGAGTTGATATATATCAGATGTTGTGGTGTTTAATAATATGTGTTTTGTTCGAAAAAGAGATTAGTATAAAAATAAAAACATACAAATTATAAAATATATATTTAAAAAATATGTCAAATTTTTTTCAAAAAGTGTTCCAATATTCTTTTTGGGGAGAGGTTCATACTATTCTCTCGGTGGACTCCAACTGATTAGGACGTATCCATATAGTTGGTCTCACACCATTGGTTGTTGGTGAAGAATATGCTCCCTATTTATCATTACATTTATTTTTGCAAAAAAAGAATCCGAGTAGAAATAGAAATTCCACGGAATTAAAAAAAAAAAGAAAACATGAAATAATAATAATAATCTCGGTAACAGAAAAACAAGAATTTCCCGGTGTGATCACGCGCACGCCAAACCAGAGAGAGAGAGAGAGAGAGAAAGAGAGAGGGGGGACTCGATTCGATTGTTGAAATTACTGAGAGAATTTGTCATCGTTCAACGGTTTTGTGGTTGTCTCCACCGCGTGAACGCGGCCGTGGTCTCGCCGGAACAGTCAATTGGACGAATCGGCGATAAGAGCGTTTGTTCCGGAAGGGGGCGACGTCGCTAGGGTTTCAGGTGAGATGGTGAATTCTCTGGTGGAGAGGGCGACGAGCGACATGCTCATCGGCCCCGATTGGGCCATGAACATTGAGATCTGTGACATCTGCAATCATGACCCGACGTATGTACCTACCTCTAGCTTCTTTTTTTTATAAAAAAACTTGTGTGTCCGCGTTTGCGAACTTTGGTTTGATTGCCGCATGTGAGTTGCACAGCGAGATTTTGCGAAGTAGCTTGTGAATTTTAACTGCTGGGTTCTTGAATTGGAGCAATTTAAAGTTTAAATTTTCAACTGTGGAGCAGTTTAGTGCAAGTGAGGTTAATTGGACACAACGGATTTGAGGATTCAATTTTTATGTTGAGTAGTTTTCTAGTGGAAGGTAGATAGCTGCAATTGGGTTGTGTACTTCATTTGCAAGCTAACCTTTTGAGCAGCAAATGCTGTATTTTCTACCATGGTTGAGTCATTTTATTGATTTAAGTTTGTGGTTTTACCGGGAAATATGCTCGATAAACTGGAACTTGTCTTATTTAGATGATCACTAAGTAAGTTGATGTTCCCTGAACATTCTCTTGCAGGGTGCTTCGGGATCTGGTAGCTTTTGTGTGTGTAGGACGCTATGATTTTCCATGAATGTTTAGAGAGAGCATCATTGTCATAGAAGTCATGTTGTATTTGAATCATTAAATGATACAAATGTGTTAAACTCAAGATGGTTTAGGGGTCTAAAATGTCACCTCGGATGTGAAACGAACCAGAGTGATTATCAATACAAAAACATTTTCATGTGCGTGCAAAGTGACTGATATGCTTCATCTAAACTTCACACTTTCTATTTTTTGCTTTCCCAAAATAAATTTCATACTTCTCGTTTTCCTATGTATGAATGACATGTGGCTCACTATTTTTCCCTTTCATATTTAAATTTTAACTACCTACTTTTTACTTTCTACACTTTTCATAAACTCAGTGAAGTCAAACACCAAAGTTTGATTTGGGAAGTAGGGAGTATTTGTTGCATTGCTCTTTGGAACCTCTACCCATCTTTTTTTTCTTTGTTTAGGGTAGATTCAAACAGAGCTTGTTGTTGATTATTTTGTTATTTGACCAGTTCTTTGCATATGCTATCATTGTTTGGTTTGATGCCCACTTACCAGGCAAGCAAAAGATATTGTGAAAGGCATTAAGAGACGACTTGGCAGTAAAAATCCAAAAGCTCAGCTTCTTGCATTAACTGTAAGTGCCAGACTTTTACTAAATTTAGTTCTCTCCCCATCCCTCCATTCTTTGTTCTCTCTTTCTCAAGTTAAACCATCTCAACTAATGGAAATGAGGCAGAATAGTTCTGGTGCCTTTGTTATTAAGAGTAGCTCCACCCTTTCCAAAAACCTTACGAGTTTGACTATCGTGGAGTTTTAAGAAAAGTGGTGAAAAGTGTAATATCAGAATTTGTTTAGATGAGAGAGATATTGTGATCCCCATGTTCATTACTAAGAAAGGAAATAAAATGGGAAGTATTTTTTGGGACGTCAAAAAAAAGTGGATGATTTTTTTGGGAGGAAGGGAGTATAATTTTTTGTAATCAAAATAGTTCTGGCTTTTGTCCCAAGGGGTGTAGATGGTGTTTGGCAAAAGGATGATTCCGTTTCTGATCAGAATTAAAATCCTGCATTGTGGGGAGAATTTGTTAATACGAAAGTGTTTGGCAATCATCCCATGGTATGCAAAAGGGATTCACAAATCACAATAAAGTGCTGTGTTTGGCAACCATCTCAACTGATGTTGGAGCAGCTACGTCCTAACAGGACACAATAAATCCAACCTAATTCTTTTCTTTCTGCTATCTCCAATAGCAGAACCAATTCCCATGATCAGAAACATACATACTGCAAACAGTGTCTTAGTTTATCCCCTAAATCCATTTAATAGTAATTTAGAACTAATTAAAGACATGTTTGTTTTCTGCACGATTTCATAAAATGGTAAAACAAAGAGAAGAATGAAAAGTCTAAGTGAAATGTGTCATGAGATTAAATATAAAAAAATATTGAATGTAAATTCTCAATGCTAATTATAATTTGTGATAGGCATCAATTTCTTTCTTTTTAACTTTTAAGGGGATAGATTACCTCTTCTGGGTTACCTTTGCTGTATTTCCCACTTCAAGAACACAACTTTGTTATGTTCTTTGAGCTCCTAGCTCGGTCCAACCCAAGTTGCTAACAAGTTCACTACTATGCCCTTGAAAAAGGACTGCAGTGCAATGCATGCCGCTTGATGTTCTATGAATCATTTGAAAATGATATGTTTGGTGTAATTTTTGTATTCATAATCCTATTAGAATTTTTTAAAAGATGTACGCTAGTTGTTATGATAAATATTCTATATAGAATATCAGTTTGATTAAAACTCAGGAGCTTTCATTTATTTACTCCGGAGTAATTGTTTTTTTTTGCGATCTTTTAATTTCTAGTTGTTGGAGACAATTGTGAAGAATTGTGGAGACATTGTTCATATACATGTTGCAGAAAAAGGTGTCCTTCATGAGATGGTGAAAATTGTAAAGAAGAAGGTGGTTTTTTTTGCTTTTGCCCTTTCTAGTTGACAATTTGATATTACGAACTGGTTAACACAAGTGAAAACAATGATACTTATGTACCTTTTTGCAATTGTAGCCTGATTTTCATGTCAAAGAAAAGATATTGACCTTAATAGATACATGGCAAGAAGCTTTTGGAGGAGCAAGGGCAAGGCATCCACAATATTTTGCTGCATACCAGGAATTGTTGGTAAGTTGCACACATAAGTATCGTTTCGCACTTCCTTTTATGAACTCATTTTTCATTGAGATGTGAGTATTAGCAATAGATGAGGCTGGATTGTTGCCCATTTTGGTTGACCTGCAATCTCATTATAATTGATAGGGCAGGCTTATACTAATCATGTTAGCTTTGCAAATTGCCAACAGAAATCTGAAAACTACTTGTTCTGCTAGCTTAAAAACATAAAACAAACAATGATACGAAATGAGCCCTAAAGTTGTCAAGCGAGTTGCCTTCAAATTGCCCGTACCCAGTTGCTTTGCATATGACAAACATAACTGATAACATTTTAAAATAAATGTATACACTTTACATAATTTAAGGGTGGACACAACACAAATGTCAAAGTTTTTGGGTTTGAGTCTTCAAATAAGCCTCAATCAAGGGTAAGATTGTGTGTGTATTACCTTCCCTAGACCTTACAATGTGGAGTGGTGAATGGTGACATTGATGCAACCGTTTGTATTACATAAATGTACTTTGACATATATGAAGGGGGTGGCAGTGTTGTTTCCATGTGACCTCAAGGCCATGAGCTCATTGGTTTGAGCTTTTGATAACTTGATACCTTCTTTTCTACAAATACTGAGTATAAGTAAAGGGCTGTGTACATTTGGCTAATATGGGTTGGATTTTTCTCATAATTGATGATGATGATGATGTGTGTGTGTAGTAATATAGCGAGTGAGTAGGACATCCTCCCATCCATTTACCCCCACACACTTCTATTTTTCTAGAAGTTGCATTATATTTTCAGTATTATAGTTGTTCCCTCTAACAGCATAATCAACCTAACGGCAGATAGTTGTCCCCTCATTCAGTTAGATAAAAATATCATCTGTGTGTGGTGTGGTGTCAAGTCAAATTTATAACGGTTTTGTTGAATAATAAAATATATTACTCCCTCTGTCTGGAGAATAAGCTCCCACCCTCCTATTTTGGTTGTCCGGAAAATAAGTTCCCATTTCCTTATATGGCAAATTATTTCATATTAAGTGACTCATTAACCCTTCCAACTCGACCAAATTATCAACCCCAATTTGGCCACAATTTATTGATGAGGGTCTTTTTGAAATTGTAGACATGATATTTTCAATTTTTTGAATTAGAATTTTTCATATTTTTTCAATGTTATTAATTGTTTTTTCCCTTATTTTTTTTAGAACATAAATCATGACCACAATTGATATATCATTTGCCTCTTTCTAGAAAATAGTGGATTAGGGATAACAATTTGTGGAATTTTTGTGACATGTTTGGATATTTAATTGATTGTAGGTGAACTTTTTTTCCTAAATATTATTTACATTTCTCTTTTACAAATGAACTTAACACTTTTCTTTTCTTTGCGTCCCAAAATAAAGTTTATGTTTCTCACATTCTTTTAGGAAGGGAATATATTATATATGCCTTACAACATTCTCTCTTCCAAACAAGTTTGAAACACACTTGTTAGTTTTCAACACTTTTCTTAAACCCGATGAAATCAAAGAATAAGTTTCATTTTGGGGTGGAGGAAGTGTACACTTTATTATTTATACATAATAGGTAAATGTAAAGTTCCGTCACACCTAAAGTCATAGCTCCTATCTATATTTTATCCTGACTGCACCCGTAGTTCTCCAACGTTGGCACCTTGCACATGTCGGAGAATAGGAGATTATGCAAATAATTGCCTTTTTGGTTTCTATTCTTTACTCTGACAACAATGCTTAACCTTTCAGCGTTTGGGAGCAGTGTTTCCTCAGAGGTCTGAGAGGTCTGCACCTATCTTAACCCCACCACAATCCCATCCTTTGGCTTCCTACCCTCAAAATATTCGTAACCCAGATTCTAGAGAAAATGCAGCCGAGTCTTCAGCAGAGGCTGAATTTCCAACATTGAGGTGATTTTTTGTTGATTATGTATGCTGCTAGTTTTCTTGTGGATTCCTTCAGTTTTCAACATATCATGTACCTATGATGTGATGTGAAACTTCATGTCAAGTCCAGAACGTTCATTTTGAGCTTACTTGACATTTTAAGGGCTGGATTAGATTGTGATTTTCCTCTTGTACTCTTTAACTTATTTTTCTTCAATAAGGTTACTGGTTATGTCTTTTAAATTCTCTTAAATATACTCCAATTCTCTTTAGTCTTTACCGGGCTGGAGTAGTTCTTTATTTCTCCAGGGTTAACACCCCAATTTTCTTCTCTTTTTTACGTGGTACTTTACAAATTGGAGGTTGGGATGGGAGATCTAATGGATACCCTCCCTCCCTGGATCTGAATTGTGATAGATATTATGAATTATGATGTAAAGATGTTGACAATATTTAATGTCTTTTATTACTTATGCTGGCACTTTGTCTTTCTAGCTTGTCAGAAATACAAAATGCCCGAGGTATCATGGATGTTCTTGCAGAAATGCTTAGTGCTCTTGATCCGGGTAATAAAGAGGTATCATCTCTATTAATGTTATAGAGGGTTGCCTTTACCCTGATGATGAATTGCCCCCTTTTCTTTTATAAATCTAGCTACATCTGATGTTCTTGATGTGGTAGTATGTTTCTGCCTAGCTATTGGCTGTAATGCTTTTAGCTGGGCGTGAAGCGTCTACAACGAATCTCTATCTAGTTGGTGGGATGTCCTCAAATTTGATCGTCTGTTTTGTGTGAAATTACCTCTGATTTGTGCTGAAAGAACCTCTTATCTTTGCATCATGATTGACAGGGGCTAAAGCAAGAGGTTATTGTTGATTTGGTGGAACAGTGCCGTACATACAAGCAGAGGGTTGTTCACCTTGTAAACTCGACTTCGTAAGAGTCACTTTAACCACTTTTGATGCTTAATTCCTCGACTTTCGATATCACGAATTCCATGTTAAATATTTACTTCTGATTATTTGCTGGGTGGGATAGAAAAAAGATTCCCAGTATTCTCGATCTCTCGCCTTCTTGAGAAATTCTAAGTTGCTTTGAGAGAATTTAGTATTAACTTCTTCTGAAGTGTTTAAGGACTTGAAATCTTTTTCTTCTTGAATAACTTTGGATGCATCTATATAATCAAAAGGAGTTGGCAGAATCCATTATGAATGTTTCTCCATTATTTCTGTTCAGTTTTCTTCGTTGTTCAAACTTGTAATCTTTATGAACATAAGTTACTGGTAAAATGGGGATGACTCGCTTTTATGCCAAGCAATAAGGAATTCATTTGACTTAAATTTACTTCATGCAGGGATGAGTCACTTTTATGCCAAGGTCTAACACTGAATGATGACTTGCAACGAGTCCTTGCCAAACACGAAACCATTGCGTCTGGAGCTTCTTCTTCTTCTTCTTCCCAAAAAGATAAACAACACGCTCCACCTCTCTTGAATGTTGATGCTCCTCTTATTGATACCGGTGAAAGCAAGCAGACGGGCCAAGGGTGAACAATTTATATTAATCGTTGTGTTTATTGTTTGATAACAATCGTAGGATTAGACTTGTCTGAAAATGTTGTTTTACCCTTCTTTCTTTCTTTCTTTCTTTCTTTCTTTCTTTTTCCCCTTCTTTTTTGACAATTTGGGACTGGATTGTAGGCTCGTGCCTTCCAATTATTTTCCCTGACAAAATATGAAATGAAAAACTTCTTGCAAAGGCCCCGGCTGTTTCCAATTTTGTTTTTTTCCCATGGAGAATGTTTTCTGAATTTTCATGTGTTTGGAAGTGGGAAAAATAATTAAATAGAGGAAGCAGTTTTCATTAAGCAGTGACATTTCCACTCCCCCACCCCAGCGTGCTTTTGTGGGCTAAACATTGAATTGTACATAGAATAACTTAATTTTCCAAAAGAATATTTTCCACAGCAACTTATTTTCCTGCAACCAAACATATCCTAAGTAGATCATTGAATGATTTGTCTTTTTTTCCTCAACAGTTCTTCCTCAAGTGCTAGTTTGGGGACACAGTTGCTGCTTCCTGCTCCTCCAGTAGCCAATGGTCCATCTACAACCCCGACTAAAGCTGGTCCTAAGATTGATCTTTTGAGTGGAGATGATTTCAGCTCATCCCCTGCAGAGAATCCATTAGCACTTGTTCCCGTTGGTTCGGTAGAATCTCAGCCTGCCAATCAAGATTCTCAGAGTAACGCTCTTGTTCTAGTTGATATGTTTTCAGAAAATAGCACCCCACAGTCTACATATGCAGTTAGCCAAACACATCCTTCATCATCATCCCCTCAATTCCCCCAGCAGCAGAATACCCAATCCCCTCAGCAATCTTTTTACAGCAACGGATCTGGATCTGGAACAATGTTTCCCCAACAGGAACACTCTCCATACCCACATGGATCAAATGCCACTTGGAATGGCCAGATGACGCATCAGCAGCAGCCCACATCTTCAGCTTATGGTGCAATTTCTCTTTTTGCTTTTCTTCTTCTCGATTCAAGTTACGTCAAATGCCAATGGAACAAAATGTGTCATTTTTGACAATGCTTTAGCTTTTGGCAAATAATGGACTAAATCAAAGCGACGTATTAAACTTCATTTACATGTCTTGTTCAGTAAATGCCATGGGTCTAGCAGAAAGAGCCTCTGTGGTTTTTTACAGGGGTAAGGTTGATGTTGCATGCATCTTGCACACCCAGACCCCAACAGAGTTAGTATCATACTGGGGTTTCTTGTTGTTGATGATCTTTTTCTTCTGTCTCATACGGAGTATTTTGTATCCTATCAGTGTGACATTCATCCTGGCAAGATTGAAATTATATTACCAAACCAGCCTCGTATATCACACTTGAGAGTAGGGAGATATTTTTAATGTTAAGTTAAGGTTTATATCATATTAATTAATGTCTTTTTTAATAAAATCAGTACTTCATATATCCTTAAATAACCTTCACACTTTCCTTTTTCACTTATCTCAAAATCACAGCCATAGTTTTCATTTTCTGAATCCTTGGCTTAGCTGGGGTGGTGGTTAATTTAGGGACGTAGGGAGGTAGACATCACTCGATCGTGATGGGTGGTACACTTATCTTAGAGAAAGTGTGGGATAGTTTTTGGTATGTTTGGATCCTGGAAAGTGCTAGGAATGGAGAAATGATGTGAAAAGTTATATTGCTGTGTTTGGTTTTACCACCAAAAGTATAAAGTTAAACGACCAATATTAATGTCTAAATTTTTACATATGTTTAGATTAGTATTTATATAATAATAGAATTACATGAATTAAGCTAAGTTTTAACAAATATCAGAAACAAACAAGCTTCAAACAGATGTTCAGTCTGTATATAAAGGAATACTGTGCATCCACAATAAATTAATGAGCATTTAAGTTTTTTTTCTTCTTTAGTGTGCAACGATTGTGCACACATTGAGCACTCTTAAGTGTTTACTAGTTACACAACTTCCCTTTAGTGAACAATTCTTTTACGAGTAGCAAGCATGTCTTCATTGGACACTTCAAGTCTTGAACCATGGTTGCATGGTATTTATGTACTTACAATGACCTTAGAATAACACTTAACCAATAGTTCTATTTACCTGGCATTTTCCAAATTACCGTTGTACCTTCAAAATGCTCATTGTGTTCTAATTCTTTGGCAGGTGCTGGTCAAACGGCGGCTGCATTCCCACCTCCCCCTTGGGAGGCCGAGGCAACAAATGATGGCGAAATGAATGGCAGTCCACTCGCACAATCCGCTGAAAATTACAATCAAGGCTACGGAGGAAGTCCACAAGCTCTACCTCCTCCACAAGCCAATCAATTTGCTGGCGGCAGTCCACATGCCCTACAAATGCAAGCCAATCAGCTGGGAGGTAGCCCTCGGTCTCCTCAAATGCATCAAAACAATCAAATCTCTTATGGTTTCCAAAACTACGCCCAACCCATGGTAGGGGCGTTTCACCCTCAGCAGCAGCATCAGCCAATTCAAAGCGGGTCATCAATGGGTATGTTTCCACAGCAAATGCCTTCTGGCCAAATGGCATATAAGTATCCACAGCAAATGTACAACAACCAAATGGCTGCCGCGTATGGATATGGTGGATACGGTTATGCCCAACAACAACCAAACAGTCAGTTTCTTGAGCAAAGAATGACCGGGTTATCGGTTAGGGATGATGGAGCATTAAGAGGTGGGGCCTATCAAGTGCCAACTCCCTCCTATGTGCCACCATCTGGGAAGCCTTCAAAGCCAGAAGACAAACTATTCGGGGACCTTGTCGACATAACCAAATTTAAACCAGCAAAAGGCCCTACTTCTGGCAGACCTGGGAGCATGTGAGTGTTTCTTCTGTATTGGCTATTTTTATTTTTTCTAACATTTTGCTATTACATACAGTATGTTTATTTCATTGATATATTTGGTTGTGCTTACTTTTTTTTCTTTTTCTAAACGTTGTTTCTCTTACCATATATATATGAGAATGCTTTTCTCATTGAACAGTTGTGTACATTTGCAGTAGGGTAGAGAAATGAGATCCCCAAGGATGGAAAAAAATATATGTTACAGCTTATAGGGGTTCTTTCTTTGCTAGAAATGATGAATGTGGAAAGTGTCTTCTGGCTCTATATTGACTTATTTGAATTCAATTCTTTTTTCTCTTTTGTCGGTGTAGAAAGTCTGTTGTGATTGTTTATTTCAACATTTTGTTATTTTAGTCGAATGCAAAATTTAGTTTTTCATTTTATTTTTGAATATCTGTACTGTGTTATATGTTTATGTACATATCCCGGGTTCTTTTGACATCGGATTTCAATGTTGTATTATGACATTGGGTCCGGCCATTTGAAGGCCTTATGGTGTTCGGTGTTCCGTTCCACCTTGAAACGATTCATATCCTCTAACGCTCTCCTCACACCCACCCAGGCCCCCGAGATAGAGTGTTGTGGGAGTTTTAAATCAATGTCATTATATGACATTATCCACCAATGTTAAAAGAACCTAGCTGTTATTATTGGAGTGTTTTATGGCGTTTATTAAAAAAAAAGCAACTAGCAAAAGCAATGAGCAACAACAATAAGCATGTTGGTTTAAAATTACTTTTGGTCAATACAATATTGCATTTTTGATTTATCAACCTTGGTTCTTCAAGTATAACTAATATACTCCTATCAAGAATACGTCGGATTTGCAATGAACAATTTTCATTGCAGACAAACATTTTCCATCGCAAAAGTGAGATTTATTGTAGCAAATTGTGAATCTGCAACGAAACTGGTCCATCGCAAATAAATTATCGCTAATCCCGAATTTGCGATGGAAATTACTGTTCATTGCAGATCTGCGACGGACTAGCGACAAGTATCGCATGGTAGAGGAGACATGGGGGTTGGGGACGGGTGCAGGTAGAGTTGTAAAGCAAACGAGAAAAAAAGAGTGTATATTTGTAGCTGACTTTCCAACTTTATCTTTGATGTGATGTGTAAAAATAAATTTGATAATTAGATTATTAGTGAAAAAAGTATGATGCAAAAAGAATACTTTGCCGGGCAATATATTGCTAAGGTAGGGAGGGGGCAGAGCTGGGGTCGGAGGGGGGTTTATGGAGAGGGTAGAAACCATTATATTACGAACGAGACACCACAGGTGTCCAAATAAATTGATGTCAGCAACTGGTGTATCCCTCGCACACACACACACATGATTGACTCCAGTTAGATGACATGCTTCGGTGAGATGACACAAAGCTCACCACATTAGACTGCAAAGCTTACCAATGACCAATGCAAAGCTCACTTGAAAATAAAGCAAATTTTACCACTTTGAACATCAAAAATCACATTTTTTGTAAATTCTAAAAATAAAAAAATTGCAACACCGGTCAACCACCGATCAGCGGCGGCAACTGGCGACCAGCAGCGGCAGCTACTGGACAGCGGTGACGGATGGGCGGCGACGACGGTGGCAAGGGTGGTCAAGGCGGAGGTAAGTGGTCAACATGGGTCAAAGTCAAAGTCGGCACATCTCTTCCTTTGATTTTTTTCAAAAAAAGAAAAAACTCAAAGTGTGAAAAAATGGTGAGCTTTGTTGTTGCTGGGGAGTGAGCTATATTGCTTTACAGTTGACAGAGGTGAGCTTTGCGTAATCTGATTGTAACATGTCATATTACCGTAAATGTTAGAGGTAGTAGAAACCATTCCATAGGTGATGTTGTAATATTAAAATAACTCTTGTTATAAAAAAATTTGATATTTAATATTTTAAAATTGTATCTTAAAATAGATCTAAATTTATTAAATTAATATTGTACTGTAACAAAATATTTTTTTTCAGACTCACTAATTTATATGGAATAATAAATTAGTGTTATAGTTTGATCAAAAAATCAAAATGGTACCATCTTCTTATATTTGCCTTTTTTTAAAGGAGACCCGTATTTGTCTATAATTGTTTTATTTGCCCCATTCCGGAAAGTCTGAATCTGAGTACCTGACCACCGCATCACCTCTCTCTCCTCGGCTCCTTCCCTAGTGGCCGCCATTACTCCGAGGCCATCAAGTCGCTGCAACCGGCCAATCATCACCGGATTCCTACCGGATTCTTCCAACCATTTGCGGTGCATCTCGCCGCCGCGGCCTGAAAGTAGTTGAGCTCCGAACTCCGCACCTTTTCTTCTGCGTTCGCCATTCGATTTCTCCCCACCGTTGTCTCGTCCGTGCTCCATAGGGATTGGTACCCATCATGCAGGTCTATTTTTTCTACGATTTCTTTTCAATTCAGAACATAAGGTCAAATAAGTGCTTTTTTCAATCTGGTTGTAACTGTTCCAGGGAGACTGGTTTTTGTGTTGATGGCATGAAATTGTGCATATTTGATTAGGGTTTGTTGGTTCACTTTCTAGTATTAATTTGGCATTGACATTGGAAATCAAACTAGGCTTTCATTTTCACCATTATGTATCATAAAAGATAGGTTCTTTTGATTTTATCTGGAAATCAAACTAGGCTTTCATTTTCACCATTATCCACATCCTTAGCCCCACCGTCACGGAAGAGATAGCGATGGGATGGTTGGTGAAAATAAGAGGGCCATTCATTTAACTAGTGTAGTGCTGCACCCATGGTGAGTTAAGCTCTTTTCATTCATACACCACGCAACAACAATTTCGTGAAGTCCCACTACTAGTGTTTGGAGATAATAGGTGTAGCCAGACTTTACCCCCACTTTCATAAAAGAGAAACTTAAGATTTACATCATTAAGAAAAGCTAAAGACTGCATTTGAAAATGAACTAGTGAAGTTTTGAAGAAATATCAAATACATAAACATTGAACATTAAACCACAAAAGAGTGAGAATGTAACTAACGGTCTATAACTATGATATAGTGATATATGCATTACTTTGTATACCTTCTTTATGAGAGAATGAGAGTCAGGACAAGGAGTTCTGTTAAGTTTACTAATGTTGAAACAGTATCATCAATCACGTGCATAAGCGGCATAGCAGAGTGGCACCTGGCAGTCACTAGGTCCTTTAGAGTAAACAGGAACCCTTCTAAACCCTTTACGGCCCTTCTGCACTCTTTATAACACTTCTCTGCAAAAAAATCTTTCTCTCAGCCACACACTTTTCTCAGAACTCTTCCACGCCCCGACTGCATTATTGAAGCTCTGCAATGACCCACTTCCACTTTCGCAAGTGTTCAACAATCAACTTCCCTTACCTTGCGTACTCTGGCAACCTTGCTTCCTTTTGCCTCTGGCAACCTTGCTATAGAGTATGTAGCATAAAAAGGAAACACATGAGTATCTTCTTCCAGTGGCCTGTTAAATCCCTCTGGTGAGAACTTGGTCCTGCTTGGTCGCGGAACAACTTGAAAAGGTCCAAAGACAAGAAGACCGTTACCTGTGATTCTCGTGGAAAAATGACTACAGGAGGAATTACAAGGGATAAAAGAAACCACTTGGGAATAAGATGTGATGTTGGAGCTTGTCTTAAAACTCAATCATCCATTGCACGCAGCTGGTCATTTTCTAAATCCTTCATTTTACTACAACAATCAAGAATGGACCTTGATTATTAAGTTATGCAGGGGCTTTATAAATGTGTTGAAAGACTTGGTGAAAATTAAGAAAATCTAGATTAGGTTTCACATGAGTTCACTGCTTATAAGAGGGCAGGCTATTTGGGTTGATAGTTTCAGTAAGACAATGGAGCACAGTTGCTACTGGCAAGTGAAGTTTGAAACTGCATTTCCTTTCTCATCTTTATAAAAATGAGTTACCCTAATAAGGTGTTTCATAACAAACAAACAAACAACAACAACCCAGTTGAATCCCACTACAGTAGGGTCTGGGGAGGGTGTGTGTACGCAGACCTTGCCCCTACTCGGAAGTAGGGAGGCTGTTTCCAAGAGACCCCCGGCTCAACCTGCACAAAAAATATGGTAGGGAACACAGTATAACACGGATAAAATCTTCAAAAACTTGGCATTAAGGTATTGACTATTGAGCTTGACGTATTGGAGTACATTTGAGGATGTAAGTTAATAATACATGATTTATATTACAAGTATATAGACTTTTCAATTTTCGTACAACAGTAGTGAGAGTGTCTGCATTTTAAAAAGCAATATATATTCATTGAAGAAGAAAAGTAGGCTTGAGCATCAAAGGTTGCAAGATTTGGTTTATATTAAATATAATCAAGATTTTAAGCAGCATTCTCCTAAAGGATATTAATGGTAGGAATAAATACTTAGTGGGGGTAATGGGTGGAGGTGGAGATGATGGTGAAGATGATTTTCTTTTCGATGATGACAAAACTTGAATTGGAGAGATGTTGCCCATTTAGGTGGTGTGGGTGAGCCCTTGGCAAGCGCTATCCCTTGATAGTTGTGATTTGATTAATTACATTCTCCTAATGGTAAAATTGAATGGTTAGTGGGGGTAATGGAAGGACATGGAGATGATGCTGAAGATGATTTTGATTTTGATGATGAAAAAACTTGACTTGGGGAGATGTTGCCCATTTAAGTGGTGTGGGTGAGTCCTTGATGCATTGATCATTTACTGCCCAAAACTTCATAGAAAGTAAGAAGCATGGGAAGATTGTATTGGCCATCCATTTGAAATTGCCTTTTGAGCAAATTCGGGATTGATCCGTAATTCAAATCTTTTATCAAGACATTCAATTTTTTCCATGATAGTTATATGCTTTTAAATTATCATATTCTATTTCTTTTTCGATGTATAATTTGAGAATTTTGTTTAGTTTATGTTATTTTGTTCAGGCTTCAAGAGCAAGGCTTTTCAAAGAGTACAAAGAAGTACAGAGGGAGAAGGCAGCGGACCCAGACATAAAATTAGTTTGTGATGATTCCAATATCTTTAAGTGGACGGCTCTTATAAAAGTGAGCTCATTTTTAAATATGAAGAGACAATAATATTGTCTTTTTCGTGACACAACTAGAGTTCAGTTTGTCATATTCTTACTTTTTGTTTTGCATAGGGTCCATCTGAAACTCCATTTGAAGGTGGAGTTTTTCAGCTTGCATTCTCTGTTCCAGAGCAGTATCCTTTGCAGCCTCCTCAAGTCCGGTTCTTAACCAAAATATTCCATCCAAATGTTCATTTCAAGGTACAATTTCTTGAGTACATTTCAGTATTTCACCATTCCATTACCAGAAGTTACTCACCATTCTGTTCCATTCACCGTTTAGTTGTAGAAAACAACTTAGGTGCTCTGGTCTCTTAGAAATCTTATTTGGACAAGAAGCTTAACCTTTATAGCATAAATTCTTTGAGAAAATCTTCAATATGGTGATATCATAATGCTCATTTCAACTAAATTTTGGTGGTTTTATTGTACGACTACAATGAAAAGAATTGTATACCCTTCTAGGAGTATTTGGTACCAGGAATCAATTCGAAAATAAACAACAACAACAACAACAACAACCCAATTGAATCCCACAACAACAGGGTCTTGGGAGGGTGTGTGTACACAGGCCTGACCCCTACTAAGAGTAGAGAGGCTGTTTCCAAAACCCTAGAAAAAGGAATTAGTAGTTGAGGTGGAAAAATTGGAGGTTAGGGACTAGAGTGCTAGAGTAGTCTTTGGTAAGAGTGGTTAGCTGTGTGTTTAAGACTATTAGGGTAGTCAGGCCTGCAGTGAATGATGTTCTTTCTCAATAGTGTTTTGATGCTCATCATGGAGTCGCTATTAAAAAACCCTTAGTCTTATTTCTTATGTAGAACCTGCCAATTTTGTTTTTCTTTCCAACCTTAATACAGAGTAATGAGTATGCTCCCAATATGGTAATATGACATGTTTTTAATATCATTACCAGAACAAATTATCCCGGAAATTTTTGTAGAATTATCCTTTTTTTCTCTTGAAAATCAATCAGTCTGGGGAGATTTGCCTAGATATATTGAAGAACGCATGGAGCCCTGCATGGACTCTTCAATCTGTCTGTCGGGCAATTATTGCTTTGATGGCACATCCTGAACCTGATAGCCCGCTGAACTGTGATTCAGGTACTCCCCATTATCTTCATAGCGTGCCTTTCTCATTCCACCGGGAGGACCAATTTTTTTGTTTCTTTTATCTAGAGATATGTATAATGGAAAACATTGTTTGGTTTGGGCATAGATCAAAGCAATCATATAGTAACTAGTGAATTAACAAACTATTTCCTAGTGTCCATATGAATGTGTGGAACGGTCCATATGCAGGGAAGCACTCTTTTCAAAAACCATAGATTGTAAACATAAATTTTCCTTCTTCTCACATTGGTCATAGGACCAGAGATTACTTTTATATCCCTTTCTACGCATCTCCCTAGGTGAAATTCTGCTAAACCATGTTATTTTAAAGCTCCATCTCTTCCAAAAAGGGGTTCTTGTTTTTCTCTCTGCCCGTCATAAAAATAAATTTTGCGTTTTCATCATATAAAAGTATCATGGTTCATATTATCTTTGTTTCTCGATGACCGTGCCAGCTCAAAAGCTGGACCTTTTTCCAAATTGTTCCTTGCGAACACTACTGGGTGTCATTTTTCTCAGTGAATTTGAGTCTCATCCTTGTGTTCAATGCTAAATATAACGCAGGAAATCTTCTTCGCTCCGGTGATATGAGAGGATATCAATCAATGGCAAGAATGTATACTAGGCTTGCAGCTATGCCTAAAAAGGGTTGAATTGGTGAGCAACTGCTACTACTTGTAAACAAAGTCATTTAAAAAAAAGATTCTTAAACGATTGATGAACAAGTTCTGCCAACTATGGAGTGTTGCTGTAAAATCATCAAATATTTGTTGTGTGATAGATTGTCATGCATTATTGCTATAAACCATATTCTTAACCTGAAAGTCTGTTTCTAGCTAAGACCATATGATAAATGTGCATTCTTAATGAGTGGGGTACTTTTGACACCAAGGGCCAGCATCATAAATTGACGCCGGTCCAATTGAGCTACGGTCTCTGTTCTCCGTAAAGGCCCCAGCCCCGTGTTTTACGGATATGCTACCATTAGTACCATAAATACTATAGCATTATCGGCGCAACAGGGGTGGGGGTAGAGACCAATTTGTCTTCGAACGGAGCACCTTAGGACCCTCATATGGACCGGGTGTCATATTTAGGGCTAGACACAGTGCGGTTCCGGTACGGTTATGGTTTCAAAACTGGAGGTTCTGGCACCGCCGCCCGGTGGAACTGTAACACCGCCATAACCGGTCCCCTAGCCGGTTCCAGAACCGGTGGTTCCGGCTGGTTCTCGGTTATTTGTTTTCTAAATCTAAATAGAGCAATGCTAGGGGTACACCCCAAATGTACACCACCCCCTTCTCCACCACCCATTTTTATTTATTTATTTTTTTTTTTTGAATTTCTTGCCTTTTTTTGTGGACAAGGAGGGGGTGGGGGACAAATGGGGTACACATTTGGTGTACCCCTAGCATTTTTCATCTAAATATCTAATATTCCCTCTGTCCCTGAGTGTTTGCCCATTTTTTATCTTTTTCGGTCTAAATTGGTAAACTTAGGGGTGAGCATGGTACGGTATTTAGCCCGTACCGATACCGTACCAAATATTTCGGTTCGGTATGGGATTTTACACCGTACCGATCCCGATCTCGACATATCGGTTCGGTATGGTTCGGGATGGTTCGGTATCGGTTTCGGTACAAATCGGGATGAATATACATACCTACTTTACACCTTAAAGTTTAACAATGTCCCTTTATTTTTGAAAATTAAAAGTGAATTTAAATAAAAAAACGTGAAAAATTAAAAAAATGAATATTTAAATGCAAGGGATGCATATCAAAACATAGTTTATATTTCACAAACTAAAAAAATGAACGACAACAAAGGGTTTTTCGAATCTTTGTGAATACTTTTATGTTTATACACAAAAACTAAAACTCAAATAAAAGTATAACTTACACATGATAAAACTTCAACCAATTTTTTTTTAAAATTACTCAGTATTATTTAGTGAAGGAATATGAAAAATATTACTACGGGTTATTATTTTTTATAATATTTTAGTATATATGTTCGGTTCGAGATTTTCGGTATGGTACGTCACCTCGTACCGTTCCCAAATACCGTACCGACCATTCGGTTCGGTACGGTTCGGTTTCTTCTCGGTACTTTTTCGGTTCGGTATTTTTCGGTTCGGTATTCTCGGTTTTTTCAGGAAATTTCGGTATCGGTTCGGTACTTGCTCACCCCTAGGTAAACTGACTTCAAATTAAATAAAAATGTTATTAGATATTGATACAAAAACAATTTTATTAGATTTATTATATCAAATATTTTAAAAATAGTATTCTATCTAATTAATATACAATATATATATATAATAAAATATTTGTCCAGTTTTAACTTTTTTTGGTTAACTATTTTCAAAAAGATCAATAGCATTATCTCTTTCTTTTGTCTATATTCTATTTAATGGTCATAAAAATAACTATTTTCATCTAAAAAAATAACTATAATAATACTCAATAAGAATTTTAAAATTCTTAATCTTAAAGCGTGGATCACAAACAATATTAATTTTATAAATATCAGAAATTTATAAATAATAAGCACATCATTTATCTTTCATATTATACACATAAGGTACAATTATGGATCAGATAAACTTTCACAAAAACATGTAGGAATTGTAATACACTCAGAAAAAATCTGTTTGTCGTAAATTTATAAACATGCAAGAAAGTAAGAGTGACATAATTAAGAGCCTCTAACACGTTCAATTTTTCAACAAGATTAAATTCATTAAATCGATAATCGTAATGTCTATCTAATCGTAATGCTTTTAGCATATGTTATTGGTTTTCTATCTTTAGATTTACAATAAAACTTCCATGCATGAGAATTAACATGACTACTTCAAATTAATTTTAAACGAGCTTTAGCGTTGGTCAAGATTCCCCCATATTTGCTAATTCCTATTGAACATAAATTTAAAAGGTAAAAAGAATAAAGTAGGAGTAAAACATTGAAAATATACCAAATAGGAGTTTAATGTTTTTATTCTTGAAATAAGAGTTAAAATGCATTTACTACATTACCAAAAAGTAAAGTAATATGCACATATGCAGTGCCACTTTACCAGAGTGCGAACTTCCATTTAAGGAATAAAAATATGAAACTCCTATTTTGGTATTTTCTCTATGTTTTACTCCTATTTAGAATGATTTTTTAATTTAAAACATGATAGGCACACCTTTGCTGTAATACCCATGACGATGCTAGGGGACAAATTTTTTTAAGTCTGGAAATAACAACCGTATTATTAGTAGCATTATCAAAACAAAATGTAATCACTTTATCAAGTGAATTGTATTCTTTCATAATATAGTCAAGCAAAAGAACAATATTATCACCCATGTGTGACTCATTGAAATCACGAAATGCAAGAACACGTTTTTGCATTATCCAATCACTATCTATCCAATGACAAGTAACACTATGTAAGAAAAATTATGATAACTTTCACTCAAATATCAGAACAAATAGTAACATGAGAATTAAAAGTAAGAAAAAAAATTAGCTAAATTATTTTTTCCAACTTTATATTGTCTAATAATTTTTCTTTTAATTGTTTTTCTTGAAAAACCTCTTGCTTGAGGGTTTAGTGCGTTTCGATAATAATCAATAAATTCAAGTTTGTCCAGAAAACATGAATGATAAATTTTCTCGCAAATTATTTCGGTCATTTTTTTTCTTATTTTGCTTATCGCTATAAGCAAAAAGGCCGATCTTACCTTTGTTTGCAAAATGAGAAATTTAGATTTGTACTTAATATTAATAAAAAATAAGAAAATATATTAGAACTGGTAATATTACAGAGTATTTGTTTCAATGCTAATAGCAAAAGGGCAATGAAGGGGAGCTTGGGTGGTTAATCGACAAAAGTATATGAGATAATGCCTAATGTTTTTTTTCTATTTGATTTCACATAAAATTTTTGGGGTCCTAGGTTCCTTGGCCCTAAAGACTCAGGGTCCGTTTGGATATAACATTAGCGTTTTAAAAAAGACTATCTACGAGTAGCGTTTAGCGACAACGTTTTCAAAGTAATTTGCACCGTTAAAATTTTATTCAAAACGCTAACGCTAATCTCTAACGTTATTCCCAAACAAGCGCGACTCATCATTTCATTGTAGGGTGGTGATACCTAAGAGCGGTTCCATGAATGTTACCATTGCGAGTGTCTAATTTTCATCTTAGGGTGCATTTGGTATAAAGGAAATATATTTTCCCACAGAATTTCAATTCCAATTTCATTCGTTTGTAAGTGGTAGAAAAATATTTTTAAAGAAAAAGATTTTCTCTCAACAAATGGAAAATGATTCTCGTTTGCTTCTTTCACCACGCAAACCTCTCCAAAAACCTCCCAAACTAAGCCCTTAAGGTTTTAGCTCAAGGGGCTTGAGGAATTTGTCAAACCAATCACTTGCTTCTTTTACCATGAATGGTGTCATTTCATGCCCAACTCCAGTTTGCGCTATCACCTGAATTTTGTTTGAGAAAAATTTGAGAAATCTTTTAATACCTTGGAAGAATGAAGCTTGGAGTACTCCCAACTTTGACACCACCACTCTTCTTACATGAATTCACATACACAGAAGAGTGTCGGATGTCTATGAGAAGGTGGTGTCAAAGGTGGTGTCTACCTTGAAATTGTGTGCCTGGAAATTTTTAGGACATTGTGCATCTTCATAAGTTTGGCTAGCTTTAGACATTACAACTTTCAACCCAGCGAGTGGACACCGAGGATCTTCTTCACCTGCATCGTCCCCAAACATGAATTTTTATATCCTTCCATTCATTAAAATTTGCATGGAGAGTGGTCTTGATAACAGGAAAGACGTTTCAAAATATGTGACGGCTTAGAAAGCCAAGGAAACATTTCAAGTCCTTTGATTAAAGATCGGCCTTACGCTTATCCTCCTCCTACCCTAAGAAGACATTGATAAAAGGTTTATACAATTAAGGCCCCATTTGGTACCCGTGTGAGTATTCATCCAAACCCATACCTCTTCTTCGGTCACAAAAACTCATTTTTGAAGCCTCCTCAAACCCATTCCCTCATTCCCCCAACCCCTCCAGTTTGGCAACCATTCCTACAAATTTGTTCTTCTCTCAAATATTCTAAAATCAATTCAAAATCATTAGAACATCATTCCTGCAGCGAAGATGGAGTAAAAGTAAGAAATTTGAGAGCAGATGGAGTAATAGTAACCACTATCCGATAATTTGGTAATAGAATCATATGCTGGGTAAAATTAAAGGGCATGTGTTTAATGAATAATCATACCATTAAGAATCAGCAAAGGTCGTGGTGAAATAATCGGCACTGTGTAGGGCGAATCAAAATCTGAGGCTAAACCTGGTGCAATTCTGTCCCACACCTGTCCACAAATGAAAATTATAGCACTTCATAATCTTTTAGGGCACATTTGGTGAGTGCACAAGATATGAATTCTGACATCTACCGATATCGGACCCTTTTGTGAGTGTTTGGTGAAGACTAAACATGGTTTGAATTTAATACGGGTAAATTGATATCTCCCGATTTTGGGAGATATCAATTTGGGGGTTTTGATTATAATGACTAATGAGCTTAACAATGCAACCTTCCCTGAGCTACCATCTTTGGATAGCTTAGAAGGTCATGATGGTCCTATAGAAAGCTGGACTCTCGAGATAGAAAGAAAATGAATGGTGATTTACTTTGTTTGGGAACTTGGATTTGGATTTCAAATATGGATTTGGCTCAAATTCCATGCTTGGGAAACTTAAAAATTATACATTTGGATTTCAAATATGGATTTGGCTCAAATTCCATGCTTGGGAAACTTAAAAATTTTAGATTTGGATTTGAGTCAAATTCCTCTCATTCATAACAAAGCTTAATTTGAAATCCATGCACCTCCCCTTGTCATTTGAAATTCAAGATTTCAAATTTTGGAATTGAAATGAAATGCTAGTTTCCAAACACTACCTTATGGATTTCAGTGATGAGATTGCAAAGCACGATATTTAAAACTTTAAATGATTGCTACAACTTGAGAGATGAAAGATGGAAAAAGTTGTTATCCATGCATACCTTCTCCACCACATATTTATCAATCTCATCCATTCCTAAATCAGCCCGGGCTTCTGGAAATAGAATAAATAAGTTTCCAGTTGAAATGGGGAATAACATGCTCCGAACACACGTATCGAAAGTATCATATATCAGTAAAATCTACTTTGGAGTACTCCCTTTGTCTCATTTATAAGTCCCCCTTCTAATTGTCTTTTTTTTGCTAGGAAAAATTCATACCAATACTTATAGAAATTTGAGATTTTACATGAATACTCCAAAATTTCATTATTATCACCAGCGCTATCAAAAAATCAACATTTGTACAATAGTACTTCAGGATTGCATATTGATCACAAATATGCCTAAAAAATTAGGAGATCCATGCAAACTAATAATTCTATTGGAGTACTATTATAAAAACATGAAATTTCTGATAGTGCAGGTGATAAGTATGTAATCTTGAAGTATTCTTGTAAAATCTCAAAATTTATAGAATATTGGTATGAATTTTTCCTTTTTTTATCTTGTTTTTTTTTGGGTGGGGGAGTTTGGCTAAATATCAATTATTATAGAAGATCTCACCTTCAAAGACAGCCTTGATACTGTTCACTCTAGCTTGCCATTTGTCATTTTCTATGGCCCATCTGAATCCCTAAATTTGCAATAGAAATCAGATTTCGTTATTTAAAAAAACACCTCAAAATTCACTCCCAATCTGCTACAAATATAATACCTCCCTCCATTAAAAACAAAATCATCTTTGTAATATCATTTTTAGCATAAGAGGCCCAAGCTACCTGTACCCCGATTATGGGGACAGCCACTGTATAACGAGTGTCAGCTGAAGCAGCAAACCAAGCATGCATGCCTGCAAAGTGCAAACAAGATTTTCTCCAAATCAGCCCACAGGAGAGATTGTGAATCAGATTTAATGGCATTTACCCTACCGGCCTACCTCCAAGTGATTCCCCGGTGACCCCTATCCTTGACGGGTCAATATCTTCCCTTTTCGTAAGATAATCCGCTAGTTTTATCATATCCCAAACCTGTATATTCAACCGTTTAGCTTGTATATTGTACCTATTACCTTACCTCTGTGTAATTTCAAAAACATATTTCAAAAAACTTCAAAACATTACCGTGTCATATATAAATGGCATTGTATCTCCTTTCTTCCATGAAGAAACAAGGGCCTGCATTTTATATTGAAAGAAAGAGCAATTACACTGTTATTTGTGCTGAATAGTATATGCCATATTCCTTTGTCTCTTTCCCATTTTTTTGAAGAGTCAAATATATAGACGCTCAGCTTATATTCACGACTTCACATGGTATCAAAATTTATTTTGTTTAGAAGCCCAAAGACTCAAGTTCCAAGGTGGGGATTTTCCTCCAAGTAAGAGAAGCCAATCAAAAGATAAACAAAAACACAAAATAAGAGAGTTGAATTAGTATGTACATCTTGATAGGTTGTCAAGCTGCTTGCCCGCTCTCCATGATAACGAGAATCAATGGCGATAGCTATGTATCCCCTCGAAGCATATGCCTGACATATAGAATAAAGTACGCTTAAAATTCCTCAAGGCGAATTGTTGATAATACGCTCTCAAATGTATCAACCCTCACCTCAAGCAGTGGCCTCAACCACTCTTTGCATTTACTTGTGCTATGCAAAAAGACAATAGCTGGCCTTTTGGTCTTATTGACTTCTTTCATGCTCAATATCAAGACAGGCAACTGCCCCTGGTCTCCCTCCTGAACGCGGTAATCCCGTAGTTAAATAATAGCCAAAGATTGAGAAGTTTCGAGTAAATACTCCCTCCGTTCCATAATTATCTTCTTGTATGGGATTGACATGATTTTTAATAAATTTAAACTTGCGTGGTTGTAGTTTGTGTAGAGGAAAGAAATAATATGGACCACACAATCTTTTCTTTAGAATGAAATGGAAGAAAATTCTGCTACAGCCCAAATAGGAAACTAGGAAGATTTTTATGGGACGGATGGATTTTTTCTACATCAATAAAATCATTAGAAGCTTTACAATTGTCTGCAAAATAACAATATGTTGTGTTCTATTTTCTTTTCCATTTTCTGTGGTTCGATGTGTCTTTTAAGGCAAATAACATCCAGAAATAGTGGAAGATGGAATGACAAACCTAATAGTTTATTGAGGTGAAGAGAAATACGGAGTACCTCCATAACAATTCAACTAGTTCCCTATCGTTTTCAGAAACACATTGTTTTTTCTTTCATTTCCCTGCACTTATCATCCATCTCACTCAAGACGCAGTCCCCGTGAATCTGAAAACTTAGGATATGTTCGGATGTTGGTTTGGAAGTGTAAACTTTTCATATTGAGCAAATATTCCCTTTAACTTTGATGTTCTCTAAAAAATTCAAAAGAAAAAATATATACAATGATAAATTAGTATATACTTTAAGTTCTTAACTCAAAATCAAATACTCTTATTTATTGCCATAACCCATAAATAACTCTTTAATTTAAAATTTTAAAATATTCACTCTCACAATCCCACCCTCCCCTTTAACTAACCCTCTCACAAACACCTCCGAGGTCGAGCTAATGAGTAAACAAGCTGGCAAGTTAATCACAATAACTAATTAAGCAAAAGTTTAATTACCTCGGTAGTGAGGTAGAAATTTTCTTCCTGGAGTAATAGTTTAAAATTGGGGACATCTGCATTTGGACAAGATGCCATTGCCTGTTTCAACACTGATTATAGTAAAGGTAGAACCCAAAAAATGTGTATGATGATCTTTAACCATTCAAATCTTTACCTCACTAAACACTGGCTTGGGAGTTTGCTGATACAAAGGATCTGTAACCGGTTTTCCAGGTATCACAGAAAGTGGAACTGGAAAGAAATCACACCAAGTCTCGGAATTAATGTTTTGGACAGAAATTTGCACTCCCTCCGTCCCATAACAAAATCATCAAGAAACAACTTTTAAATTTAAGGTACAATTATATATAAAACTTCTTCTGTCCCAAAATAAACTTCACACTTTCCTTTTCTGTTCGTCCCAATATAAACTTAACACTTCTCCTTTTTTCCTATTAGGGAATAAAACTTGGGGCTCACAAGTTTTCTCTCCCTAAACAAATTTCAATCACACTTTTTACATTGTAACACTTTTCTTAAACATCGTGAAGTCAACAACTGTCAACCCATGAAGTTTATTTCCCGACAGAGGAGTAATCAATTATAGCTATGTATAAAAGAAATCAACCTGAATAGAAGTAAAACATAGAAAAAGTACCAAAATAGGACTTCAATGTTTTTAGGCATCTCAAGATTTTTTTTGATTATTGAATTATATTATCCATTCATCCCATAAAAACATAGAGTATTCATATTTGACAGAGATTCTACAAGAATACTCTGAAATTATATAATTATGACCAGAGCTCCTAGAAATTCAATATTTTTGCAATGACATTCCAAGATTGCATATGGATTTCAGATACACCTCAAAGGTTGGGATGTAAAAACTCAGATTTGACTAAGCAGGAAATGATTAGTAAACACTTTTTCTCTGGATTAAATAATACTCCGTTAATTGTTTATTAATTCCATGGAAATCTATTTCTGTCCCCCCAAGGAAAAAATCGATCTTAACAAGTTAAGCTCTGAATTTGGATTCTGCGAAGAAGAAGAAGGGAGGAATTGAGATACCTTGAGGTGGACGGCGGCTGAGGAGGACTTGGAAGAGCTGAGACCGGAGTAGCTCGCCGGCGCCGGAGTTAACTGTTGGTACGCTTGCCATTTTGTGGAGCAGACTTGCAGAGGAGCAACCAAAAAATCAGTTCCTAAGTAAAACACAATATTTTATTTTATTAAATTATTGATCAAAAAACATACCCTATCTTGAAATATTTTCTAGATTTTAATATGTGAAAAAAAAAAATATTGTATTATGATATAACTATAACATCAATATATTTCTATTGAAACTAGTTTTCAAATGTGAACTTTTTATACGGAGTAAATAATACTCTGTATCTATGTATAAATAAAAATATTTGTGGTCAAAATATAATTTTAGATATCGTAAAAACTTGAATAAAAGAATATTTTCATGCGAATGAAGTAATTAAATTTCTAAAAGTATGCTATCAAAAAAACAGAAATCTGGAATAGTAAACAAGAAAAAAGTGGAGATAATGAGAGTATACTTAAAAAAAATTTCTCACAATTTTTTTAATAAAAGAAATCTTTCTAAATAACTAGACAAGTACTAAAAACTCAAGTGAAGCTCCAAGTCTTTTAAACTCAATTAAAAGCCAGTTGATTACTAGACTACAATGTCGTCATGTCGATCGATGGTGACACTCTGGTGTCTAACCACCAGCAATGGATGATGGCGGTGATATTGTGACTGTTGCAGTGTGACAATGCGATCGTGTTACAGTGTAAAAATGAAAGCATGAGCTCATATTTTGGTCTTAAAAGATTTAGGATTGCTATTTTAGCATTTTCAAATTTTTTCACTCGTATCCATAAAGTTTTCTCTTTTTGAAATGCTTGATTTTAACTACTCTCTTCGTCTAAAAAACATTTACTGTTTCGAATAACGTGCAAAATCTAATCTGTGTAAAAAGAATTTTATTTACTTATTGGTTTAGAAAAAAGAAGTTACACATTTAAAAGTTAAATAATTTTTTTAAAAAAATATTTTATTTTATGAAATGGGGAGTAAAAAATAAAAAATAAATGATGGTAAGGTTTGTAGAGTACTCCCTATTTTGTAATTCAAACCTCACCAAACATCCAAAATGAGTTTGAAGTCAATTTTGGAGTCATCACCTTTATTTTCCATGAAAAGAATAAGGAGCTTTCAACTCCAACAATTCTTATCCTGGTGAACAGCAGCAGGAAGCGGCAAAGCATGGGAATCCTCAGAAGACTCAGCTCAGACGAGCTCCAATTCTTCAACGCTCAAGGTTAGCTTCACGCAATTACAGGTAAAGTATAATAAATCCGCGATTGGATTCTGAATCGAGGCAAAATTGTGTGATCCCACAGGGTATCTTGTGCTGGAATCGTTCTCCGCCGCAGAAGAGATTGAATCCATGAGGAGGAGAATGGAGGAGTTGCTTGACGGGTTCGATTGTTCTTCCACGACCTCAGTTTTCTCCACCAAGAACCAGGTCAACTCTTGCCCTTGACCCCATCTCCCAAATCTATATGCTCATCTTAGAAATCCCAGAAAGTTCTCTCCCCTTTTCTGAGGTTTTCGTTTTTTGTTGTTGGGTGTTTTTCAGAAACAGACTACTGACAATTATTTCTTCGAAAGTGCTGAGAAGGTTTCTTTTTTCTTTGAAGGTATCTTGTGGCCTTGATATTTTTGTTTTGTGTGTGTGTGAGAGAGAGATTTGTCTTTGAATTTGATTGGTGGGTTTGTGAAAAGTTTTGTGAAATTTACAGAGAAAGCATTTGGGGATGATGGTAACCTGAAGCAGCCAAAGCATCTCTCCATCAACAAAGTTGGCCATGGTAGCTCGAGTGCAGCGTTCTTAATTATTATTTTTTTCCTTTCCAAAATGACTTGGATCCTGGATCCTTTATGTTTAAACTACTTTCTGATCTTAAATCAAGCATACAAGTATATGATGCTGTTTATTGCCTGAGTTCTTGCAGCTTTGCATGAAATCGATCCTGTATTTAAGAAATTCTCTAGTTCAGAGAAATTGTCTGGTCTGCTCCAATCTTTGGGTTATCAGAGGCCAGCTGTTCTTCAGTCCATGTACATATTTAAGGTATTTTTTTATGATGAGCTTAAATCAATTATAAAAGAGAAAAATGAAGAATAAGAAATTTAGAAAGCTAAGTAGGAAGGAAAACTGATTACTAGAAAAGGATGAGGACATGAGGTATATACTCTATCCATCCTAAAAACTTGATGTTTGAACAAAAAAGATGATATTCACCATATTGAATGCTTAAAAAAAAGTGTCCCAAATATGTTGAGTGTGTTAAATTTAGTTAAACCAACAACAACAACAAACCCAGCAAAACCCACAAAAAGTAGGGTCAGGTGAGTTACCCCTACTCAGAGATAGAGAGGCTGTTTCCAAAGAATAAAGTTAGTTAAACCAAAGAATAAATTTTAAAACATAGATGTATGTGATTATTGCATAGTAGAAGAGAAAAGGAGGGGTTTGGGTGGGACTAACATCTATATGTTGAGACACATGACACTTCGACATTGAGCAGCTTGTCAAGTTGTCATTGCTCTCCGAGTGCCCACACAGTAACTACACCCTTAAGGGTGATGATATGTTGCAGACTACACACAGAAACCATGGTTAGTAACTTAGTTTATCAATGAAGAAATAATGGAATCTTTCTTAGAATGACTGTAATTAGACTTCCCTAGTGGGAAGTCCCACATTTGAAAAATGTATAAGTTGTAGTCACTGTGAAGACAACTTGCTTCGATTATGAACTTATTGTACTGAATCAGATTGGAGGACCCATGTATGCAATTAACACTTCGATTATAACTTGTTGTACTGAATCCACACTTGATGTATACAATTGGCACCACACAAAACATACCCAGTAAATTCCACTCGAAGTAAGGTCTTGGGAGCAAGATATATGCAGAGCTTACCTCTACACCAAGGAGTTGAGAGGGTATCTCTGAGAAGACCCTCAACAAAACATGATATTCAATTAGTCAAAGCTACAAAAATTAACACAATTTCCTTAAGTGCATCACCTAGATTGTTTTTGTTCATCTACACAAGTTGAATTACTTTTCAGGTTGAGTGACTTCCCAGCTCTTCTTTTTCTTTCCAGCAACCAGGTATTGGTGGTGAAGTGGTGCCACACCAGGATAACTCGTTCCTGCATACCGAGCCAAGAACTTGCATAGGGTTGTGGTTGGCTTTAGAGGATGCAACAGTTAAAAACGGTTGTCTATGGGCTATTCCAGGGTCTCATAAAAGTACTTGTATCAAATACTTTTCTAATTTTCACGCTTTTCTGATGTTAGTTACTTAAAGTCAAGTATATAATTTTTTTGCATATTTTTTTAGATGGCCTCGTGAGGAGATTTATTAGAGATGAGAATGGGGTTCACTTTGATAAGCCACCCCCTTTATATGACCAAAAAGATTTTGTTCCTATCGAAGTTAAAGCTGGGACTCTGATTGTAATTCATGGTGACCTTATCCACCAGAGGTTAGAAATCCACTAGTTATGAGATTGATAGTTGCTTAATGTCCCATATGCACCTATACGTTTATTCCTATAGCCCACTCAACATTTTTTCAATGTCTGTTTTTAACAGCTTTGAGAATGAGTCTGAAAAGTCAAGGCATGCATACAGTGTGCATGTAGTAGACACAGATGGCTGCAAATGGTCGGAAGACAATTGGTGAGTTCTTTGGTTCACTTATCATTTGCTTTTTGTTTTTTTGGTGAAATGCAAATAGTAACTTTAACAACCCAAGTGAGTACGTACATCAAATTTGGGCATCCCCGGACAACACAAGCCCTAGCCGGCCAAATCAAAATCATGGAAGGTACTCATAGTGATAGCCAAAGTACCCTAGCCAAACCTCAAAAGTTCAACTAAAGAGCCACAACAAAAGCCTACAAAAATCAATCAAGAACAACAATTGCACAGTATGTTGCATGCATCAAGGGTCATGGCTTTCCCTTTCCCACATGTGACACAAGCTAACATAATCCTGTTTTTCTGCAAAGAAGTCTGTATTGTGATAACCCCTCCCACGACCCCTGGTTGGGACAGTAGTCATAGGGGGGTTGGATTGGCAGCCATTCTTCTTTGGATGGTCTTCCATATAACCATTCTCAAATGATATACGTCTGCCCCCATTCCTCAAACAATGGGTAATAGTACCCATTAAACGTCTTGTTGCTTTGTAATGATTGATTGATTTCTGAGAATGTTTACTTTTGTGTGAACAATGGATCAGGATTAGGAGGAAAACAGACCCAGAGCCCATATACAACAGTTCTTGACGATTCAGCCGTCCAAACGTGGCATCAGGTTCTTTGTAATGCTAAAAACAAAATCTAACTTTAAATCATTCTGATTACTTCTTTGCATCTGAACATAACTCAATGTTAATAAGTAACATTTTTCTTTTGGCATTTGTTATTGGTGTATTTTTTTTTAAAAAAAATATGATGAAGTGTTACATTTAAGATCATGACAACATATATTACTGTAGATGCTAAATTTTGTGTCACTTTCTCATGACTCAAAAATAGAGAGAGTTGGGTACATTGTTTGAGGAAGAAAAAACATGAATAATGTTTGTGGATGATATATTTTACACTTATTTCTAAATGGAAAAAAGGAGACCCTTCATAGTATGCCATCACATTTCATCTTCCTCATCCACCTGTGCCTCTATCCTCTGGTCTTTGAAAGGGCCATAAACCTTGCTAAAAGCTAAAAATAACAAGAAGTTGACCATGCTTAACCCTGCAAGAACCCAATGGAAGTAATCATAGTGACCTTTGTTTATATTACTTGATATCCAGCTCTCTCTCCCTCCCCTACTAGTCAGGTTATTGACAATGCTCATGAGACAGCTTGAGACCAGACTGGCAATGGCCATGCTCAGCCCGAATAGACTCGATGCTATGCTCGACATGCTCTTCGGGAACTCCGAGATGTAGAACTCGTTTTGAGCTATCGTGTTCAAGCCCTCTGCGAGTCCCATGAGGGCGTACTGTGGGACCACCCATAGTATCGACATGTGGATGACTCCCTTAGGGTCGTCCTCGTACCCCTCCTTGATCGCCACCCTCCTCCTGATACCCTCCACGGTTGCCACTGCAGCCATCGCAAGGAATGAAACAAAGATCCCGCACCCCATTCTTGATTTCGTGCTGAAATGGACCGTTTTGCCCCTGATTGCCGACGCCAAGGGCAGGATGACGCGGTCGTACAACACGATCCAAGTGACGATGAACGCGGCAACGAACGAGGCTACAGAACCCGCAGGAATTTCGAACTTTGGACCGATATGGCGGTCAAGGGAGGTCGCTTGGAGGACGGAGAATGAGCCTTGACTAATGTTTATGGACATTAATACCCTCGTAGTCCATATTGGGATTACTTTAATCAAGGCTTTAAGCTCTTCCACTTGATCAACTGTGCAAAGCTTCCATGGATTTACAGCTCTTCCATCTGCAGTCAAGTCTCTTTGAGGATCTTGTATAATGCAAGCCTTATTCAGACACCTTAAAAAAAATAAAGCAACAAAGGGCAGCATTAGAATCACATGCTTGAAGAAGAAAAAATACAATTATATATATAAACAATTTACCACTAAATATTAAAACACTTAAAAAAAATTAGCTCTAGATGTTACACCACTGTATATTACAACACTTCACAAATTTACACAGTTGGGTTGGAGGATACTAACCTTAGCTTATCACTTGGATGACTTAGAGTTGATCCTTTGGAATAGTATTCTGTTTCATCACTGCCCAAGTAGACCTTGATATGTCTGTTTCTATAAGAGGCAACCATCACTTCAAATAGCCCGGTGATCAAGTTCTTGGTCGGGGTTGGCTTCACGTACCAAGCGGACCCGGAGAAGAACCCGACGACCGCAATGAGTGTGAGCGCAAGCAGAGCACCGTACCCGAATTTCCACCCGAAGTTTTCTTGAAGGTAAACCAGACCAGTGAAGCCCACAAGGGAAGAAAACGAACTGGTGGCGTAAAACCATGTGAAATACCTCTCCGTTTTACTTGCGTTCTCAAAATGCTTCAATTGGTCGGAGCCGAATGCCAAAGAAGATGACATTACCCCTCCGTATCCGGCTGCGAATGTGAACAGAGCGGCGCAGAGAAGAACCAGTTGTGGTGTTGTTGCAGGGGTACATTTGTCATTTGATTCACTGCAATGAGGAGGCTTTGCTTGCATGATCACTGTTGGGAGCCAAATAAGCGATGTTCCCTTCACATTAAAAAAAAGAAAAGAAAATTACTCAAATAGTACTCAACTATATCGGGTGTTTCTATGTACTTATAAAATGGTCAAAATTACTTGTAAGCAATTTTTAACTTATAACTCGGATAATGACGTGTCTCTGTGCTTATAAGCCAAAAAAATAAGGTCTTAATTATTTATTTTTAAGTCATACTTTTGTTTCTCCGTTTTGACTAAATTATTTACAAAACTGTCCCTCACCATGTATGAATATTTTCAAGTGACTTGTCTGTCATTTTACTTTTATGAAAGAATATTTGATTTATGAGCCGTTTATAAGTTAAAAATTGGTTATCATCAATAAGTCAATAAGTACTCGCACAGAGAAACACCCCCCATAGACTAACTAATTTCCTCTAATAGTGTTATGGCTTCCTTACGGAATAATGCTTGTGATTAGCACTGAAGTTTTAGATAATATTTTAATAATTTCACCATTTTTAGCTTTGGGGTGATGGAATAAATCAAAATGGATCTCTAAACTGTCTGCGCTTTTTTAATTAATGAAGTAGCAGTTAGTCAAGCAATGCAATTTTCGACATTGAGCCGGGGGTTTCTTTGGAAACAGCCTCTCTACTTTCGAGTAGAGGCAAGGTTTGCGTACATACACCCTCCCTAGACCCTACTCTTGTGGGATTTAACTGGGTTGTTGTTGTTGTTCTCTGTCCCAATTTAAGTCACATGTTTTTAACGAAGTTTGACTGGAGTTATTTTTAATTCAAAAATTAGTATGAAATTTTTTTAAAAAAATATATAGTTAAAAAACTTCATAAAAAATTCTACAAAACAATAGACTAGACTATTATATTTCTCAAATGGGTAGCGAAAATGGGTAAAGAATGTGGTTAAAGTTTAACTCTATGAATAGTAAACATGTAATTTAAATTGAAACGGAAGAAGCAGTAAAAAACACCAACAACTATGAAGCTGGTAAAATTTTCTGGAGGGGGGGGGGGGGGAGGTGCTTACGAGAAGGGCGAAAACAGAACCGAGACCGATCATCTGAAACCGACCCACCAAAGAATCGGCCATGAAAGCAGCGAGGATGGGTGCAGCATTAGAGAGGGCAGTCCAAATGTAGATTAAATTAGTTCCATTAGCCATTTCCATGTGATATTCTCTCATCAAATACATTATCAGATTTGCTGATAATGCTGTCATCACCATACTCATCAACCCATTATTCCCTACATGTCAATCATCCAAAAAAAAAAAGACAAAATTTACACCCAAAGCTAATTAATGTCATTTGATTTTAGGTTTAGAAAAGATTTTATACTGTCTAGTTGGCTTTAAATTAAAAGGCCGAGGATTTAGCTCCCGGAATAAGAGCACCTGCAATGGCAAGGTATTCCATTGCCTTGCCCTGTCACTCGTGGAGAGGAAGAGACTACTGTGGTGAGGTAGGAGCGAGGCACAATGCATTCCCTCGCTCGTTTTTTTATTTTATTTTATTTTGTACTTTTATTTTTGAAGGAAGAAGAAGATTCTTTTAAGGAGATTGATGTATTTTTATGATAAAATAGATAAAATATTCGGGTATTAATTTAGTTAAATCTTTATACAGTGTATTAAAAAGTACTCCCTCCGTTCCTTTAAACCCCTCCACTTTTGACTTTTGGCAAAAATAAGGAAAGTGTAATTTTGGTTGACTTTCCAATTTTGCCCCTGATGTGATGGGTAAAAGTAAGATGTGATAGTTTGGTTATTAGAGAAAAAGTATGATGTGATAGGTAGGGTATGAAAAAGTAAGGGTAAAAGAGGTTTTTTAATAGAAAGTGGAAGTGTTTTAGGGAATTCAAAAAAAACGAAAGGGGAAGGGTTTTGTGGAACGGATGAAGTATTACTTTAGAAAAACAAAAAGAACTTATAGTAATGCAATTATTTGATGAAGCTTCTAAAAATATTTTATTGACTTTAACCTTGTAACTATATGTATCTTAAATAAAAAAGAAAAGGTTAATCTTTTATATAAAAAATTCATGACCTTAAAAGGATGAATAAATGAATCAAAAGAATTTTGAAAGGACTAGAAACAAAATTTGTTTTTACAAGAATCAAAACACATATTTAAATTGGGATGGAATATTTGCAAAAATAATAATTTAAAGGGACGATTTCATTTAGAAAATATTTTACAGACACCAAAACCAAAACTAACTAATTTTACAGAGACTAAAACCATATTTAACCGAAGAGAAAAAAACAGGAAAACAAAAACCGAGAAAAGCGAAGAATGTATAGTATACCTATGATGAAAGGCACGGCCTTGAAACCACCCTTTGGCTTCTTCTCCATAGAGAGATGGTTTTTGGGCAAGAGATGCTTTTCTTTCTCATGACCCTTTTTTTTTTTCCTTTTTTCCCTTTCTCTACTTGGCAAATAAAGTTGTTATTTATGAGAATTCCTAGCTAGCTCCCCAATGGATTTAAGTACTCCATTTTATTTTACCCTAAAAAAGTACATTTTCATTTTCGCTTAATTTCGACTGATGGCTCTTGAAAATTGAAGCCTGAAGTACGAAATTCGGAGTCTGATAATTAAAGTTTGAAATTTGACGAATGCATTCTAATTTCTAACCGATGATCTGTAATTCTAGTACATGAAATAATATAAAGTTGAAAGAACAAGAACCTATAAAAGAAATGATATTATTTGTGAGTCTTTTGTCTTTCAGATAAAGTAAAATTAACGTTTAATTTATATCGTTTCAGACTAGTATTTGAGTGGCCCTTTTTTTTAATTAATTAAATGGGATTTGGTGTATGCATGTGCCGTATAGAAGAAACATAAATAGGTGAGAAAGACAGTACGGAAAAAGAAACTCACATTTAATATAATCAATTAATTAATTAATATAGTACTAACTATATCCTAACTCCAACTAATATGGAGTATAAAATTGCATGCACATTGTACGGAGTGTTTGGGTAAACTATAGTTGTTGGTTGATTGAGGCTATACTTATTATCAACATGTGTTTCAACATTTAATTTTAATTTTATTTTTTGACAATAAGAACTCAATTTATCATTACAATAAAAATAATATTCGCAAGGAAAAGAGGTGAAATGACGTGCATGTCATTCCACATAATCAGACACAGATTCTGCTTCTCTAGCCACAAGCTGGACAGTATGATTCGCTGATCTTCTAATAAAACTGAAGCTCGATCAAACTATTCATACAAGCCGCATGCAGCTATTTTAATATCAGAAATAATAAAACCAAACGATGAATTAAATGGTTTTCAACATTTAATTTCAACCTTTCAAAAATATTATCTAAGAATTTCTTTTATTTTTTATTATCTTCAAAACTCACTGTCAAAAAATTATTAAGCATGCTAGCTCTAGATGATCTTCCCAAACGAAGCTAAAGTCTAAGAATTTATAAATCTCACTCACTCATAAACGGTGTTTTATGGAATGTGTAAAATATAATGATTGTGGCAAGAAGCAGAAACTGATATTCCAAACATAACAAAATAACGGCCGCTCAAAACAAAAGCAAAACTCTGATCTTAATTAGATGGCTTATGGCAATGACAAATCCAAAAATATTTGGACAGAATCATATTAAAAAGATTGAACTCTATCAATTATCTAATTTAATTCAAAGCCTTAAAGTTTTTTTTTTCTCAAAATTATAGGAATTTTTTTAAAATTGTTGCAATGAAATTGCCCAATCTCTAGTTTGTTACTCTCTACGGCTCTCTATTTTTAATCTAGTACTCGGTTTGAATGGGCACACCGTTTAAGAAAAATGTTAAAGATTGAAAAATTCATGGTTAAATTTTGTTTTGAAAAGAATTAAGTGCATCAAAATAAAGATAGTTCTTTTTTAGATAAAGAACACCTAAATTCCTGATCAAATAGTTTCATTTTTTGATTTTGTCAATTCATCTATTAAGAATCTTAATTAAAATGGAACCATATTTTCAAAACCAAACCAATTAAGACTAAGGTTATGTCTTTTCCAACTTATTTTTTTTCTTATTACTTATTCTTATTGGAATCAGATCAGACAAGATCAGAAATAGCTTTAAATGTAACTATTATCATATCAGATCAAAACGTATTTCAATCAGATCAGAACCAATCAGATCAGGTGAAGAGAACGTGGCCTTAGAGCGGACAGAGTTTCGGAACCAAAACTGAAACCTTGGGTTCTGGAACAGGACTGGTCAAGAGGGGCCCAAAGAACCAAACCACAACTAATGAATGGATCGGAATGGTTTTGGATTCTCAAAACAAAGGACCGGAATAGGAAATCAGAGACATTAATCACTATTGTTGAATTAGAATTACCAAAGTAGGAGTTGCGGGTCTGAAATTGGACCGGTATCGTGTTTAAACCTAGTCAAGAAATTGATCAAACTAACAATTGGTTCGAATTTACCTAAATAGGACTAAAACATAATGACTTTCTCAAAATAGGACCATATGTTTTTATTTCCTAATGTAAGACCATTGGTCATTATCAATTAGTCATTATTCAACTAAATGTCCAGCATCACTTGGACATTATTCTTCTCACTGGTCATTATTAAGTCATATTTAGGGAATAAAAAAGTTTATATTCTACATTGAGAAATGACTTATGTTATAGTCCTATTTTCATATGTCTTTATATCTCTCCTTATATATGATCCTTTGGGGAAAAAAAGCTCTAACTTTTTTTGATCAAATTTGACAAATGTGTCTAGATTACTGTTGTTCTCATGTAAGACAATTACATAATGTAGATATAAAGTGGTCTTTGATATGTGGGGCAAAAAAGAAGGCTCCAATCAATCAATATATAGAATTATTATTATTATTCTAATCTTCAACATCATAGGATTGTTTATTCTTCTTCTCTTCCCCATAGGGCCCATAAGCCCTGCTACAAAAGAAGAAAAGCATGAGATTGATCAAACTCAACCCAACAAGAACCCAATTGTAGTAGTCATAGTGACCCTTGTTTATGTTGCTAGATATCCAACTCCCCCCCTCCCACCCCCTCGTCGCTCCGGCCACCGCGCTCATCAGCCCGCTCGCCGCCATGCTCGCCGTCGCCATCCCCACCCCGAGGAAGTTGGAAGCTATGCTCCACATGCTCGGGGGGAACTCCGACACGTAAAACTCGTTCTGCGCCACTGCATTCATCCCCTCCGCCAGCCCCGTGAGCAGCGCGTGCGGGACCACCCAGAGCACCGACATCCCGACGATGCCCTCGGGGTTGCCGGAGAGCCCCTCGTCCACCGCCCGGGCCCGCCGCGTGCCCTCCACCACGGCGGCGGCCGCGACGGCGAGGAGGGAGACGAAGATCCCGCACCCCATTCTCGCCGTCGCGGAGAGGCGGAAACGCCGCCTGATCACTCGCTCGTACAGCGCGAGCCACGCTATGATGGAGACGTAGGTGAAGATGCTCAGGGAGGCGGCCGGAATCTCGAAGCCGCCGGTGGGCGGTCCCACGTGGCGGTCCATGGTGGTAGCTTGGAGTATGGAGAAAGAGCCTTGGCTGACGTTGATGTTCATTATAACTCCGGTGGCCCATATTGGGAGGACTTTTAGGCATGCTTTGAGTTCCTCCACTTGTTCCAATGTACAAAGACTCCATGGATTTAGTGCTTTCCCATCTGAGTTTAAGTCCTTTTGGGGGTCTTGTATTATGCATGCCTTATTTAGAAACCTATTTGGCATATAAACAGTTAAGGAAACCTCATGCAAAAGGCATCTAAATATGCACACAAAAAAAAAGCTAAATAGGAGTGTTAGTTATGTTTTAGGGCTATAATATTGAAAACTGCTAATTAAAAACGCTAATAAAAAATATTGTTCCCAAAACCAGGCCTAAATGAATAAATGCATAATGTATATCCATATTCCTCCGAGATATATCATAAAAGTCATAATGGATCGTCAAACGTAAATGAAGCGAGCAAGCATAAAGAACATACCTTAGTGTTTCGCTGGGGTGGCGTAGCGCGGGACCTTGTTGATGGTACGCTTCGACAACACCTTTATCTTGACGGGATGAAATTGTGATTCTTCTCTTTCGATAACAGGCAACGACAACTTGGAATAGCCCCGTGATTAGGCTCCCTTTCGGCTTCGGCTTCACGTAGAAAGGGTACCCCAAGAGGATGCAAGTAGTGGCGAAGAGCATGAGAACCACAAGAACTCCAAAACCAATTCCCCATCCCATGTTCTCTTGGATGTAAACCAAACAAGTGATGGAAACAAGGACGGACGCCATGTTAATGGCGTAATAACACCCAAAGTAGCTCTCCATTGCGCTCCCGTTCTTCTTCTCAACGTTCTTCAGCTGGTCAATGCCAAACGCTAAGGACGAAGACCTTACTCCACCGGAACCAACGGAGATGAGGACGAGGGAGATGAGTAAAACTAAGAGTTGCAAAGGGGTTGCTGAAGTGCAAATGCTGTTATTGTTTGATTGAGTGCAATGAGGTGGCCTTGCTTGTGGCATAACAGTTGTTAGCCAAAGCATAGATATTCCCTACAAAAATCACATAAATTTCATCCAAACACATCCGAGTTAAAAGTGAAAAGTCGACTTTTTTTAGACGGACGACGAAAAAGGAAATATGGAACTTTTTGTGGGGCGAAGTTAGTGTATATATATATTTAAGTTCAAAATAGTAAATTGAAGGAAGACTATATATTCTCTAGCCTCTACCATTATAATTTGTATGGTATATCAATAGTTGAATGAATTTAGACATACATCATGACCACATTCATTTCACTTTTGATGTATCACAAATGAGGTAATGGTTAGTGACATGTGAATGAAGATAGTACGTACACACATATATATAGTAGAAGATGCTCCCTTCAATTCTAATGAACTGGTCATTATTATGAAGTATGACTTTTGAGGTGCAGCATAAGTTGAAGGAATTGATATTGACAATGCATCATATCTATATTCATTCCATTTTTGAAGCATCTCAAAAATCATAATAGTTAGTTAAATAGCAACGAAACAACTAATTTTGTTGGACTAATAATTAAAAAGTTCCGGAAAATGTACCAAAAGGTTGATTAGGGATCCAAGGGTTATCATCTGAAACCGGCCCATAAAAGAATCGGCCATTAAAGCAGCAAGAATCGGGGTGACGTTTGAGAAGGCGCCCCACCAGTAGATTATATTGGAACCGGTAGTCATATCGAGTCCATACTCTCTCATGAGATACAATATCATGTTGGGAGCTATCCCACAATTCACCATCATTGTCAATGCCAAGTTTCCTATATATCATCACCAAGTTTAAGATGATGATTAAATTGATGTTGTTAATAATTTATATTGAATATTAATTAGATGAAACCATATTTTGAAAATATTTTACAAGATGAAACTAATAATAAACTCACTTTTGTATCGATATGTATTATCAACACTATTTAATAAATGATCAAAGTTTGTCAATTTTAAGCATCATAAAAGGTCGAAATTGGACAAAGACTCTGAAACAAAGATAATATTTGTCCAAATCGGACAAAGACTTCAAAGCAAAGACAATAGTACTCCTATATTAAAGTTTGTCAATTTTACCTATTTACCTTCTTTGTCTCGTAAAACATGTTTGACACTTTGATTTTACGAAATTTAAAAAATTTATTGAAAAGTTAAAAAAAATAGTTAAGATCTGTTTAAA